ATGGGTTTGTTTCATCAATCGTTCTTGCTTTCCTAATGCTGATTGCCTTAGTTATATCGTTATTCTCCCTTTCTCCCGAACCCACTGTCCTGTGTAATGATCTTGGAGTATCTCCCAGCGCGTTAGACCTTTTTTTTAATATCCAATTTTTCAAATTCCTCTTTTGCTGCTCTTGGTTGGGTTTAATGATTCCTATCTGAATGTATTGGGGGAGGGAGGCAAAAAAGAAAAAGTCATCCTTGCTTTGCTTATTATCCCTGCTCTTGCTTTGATACTTTCTTCCTGTGTAAAAGCTCTCCAACAAAAAAAAAGGACAACCTAGTAGTACAAATTTGATTTGAAATGCTATTTTCTTTGGAATTCTCATCTATATGAAGAAATCAGTGTAGGAGAGCTATTATCAAAAAAAAAATAATTCACAGTCTGGGTTTCAATTGCGCAAATGATCCCTCCTTGCCCTGAACTCCGTCGTTTTACGCCATTGGCACAGACTACCAGCGGAAAAGCAAGAAACAAAGGGATGGGATATTGGTTACATCGTTGGTTCAGCAAAATCAAATGTCGAAAAAAAAAGAAGACTTCCATGGTCCTGCAATATGGCAACGAAAAGGGGCAGGAATAAAGACACAGTTGTGCTTCTGCAGATGACATTGAATCTCCGCATTCATATGATCATATTGGTTTTAAAACCATTCAAACTCACCATTACCTTTATGGAAAACATATCTATATGGAATTAGTATTAGCATCAACCAGGGACAGTACAAAAGGACCAAACGTACTCTTTTCCTCCTGTGGTCAAGATTCCGTCCTTTAGAGTGCACTTCCATTTGCTCTTGACCCGTTGGACCTTGTCATATGTGCACAGCATGACTTGGCCAACGGCGTCGTCACCTTCAGGATCATCAAGAGGATCATCGGGGTCGTCAAGGTCAGAATTGATTGCATCTTCATCTTCGTCCTTCTTGATACCATAATCATCAACGCCATCATACCCGTTGGCCTGGCGGGGAGTGGCTGGTGCTTCTGCCGCCACAAGTGCAGAGAGTGTTGGGTTCTCTTTAATAGCATCTTTACGCTGCTTGCCATTGGCGCGGGGATAGCGGTCACGCAACGGAGCCAAGAGACCATTGCCCTCCATCTGTCGACCCTTGATCTCAACGTACTCCCGCATAACGCGGTCTGCGTTTGCTCCGTTCTGCTCCGCTGCTTCTCTTCTCCTTGCAACTTCCGCCTTCCACTCCGTCAGCGGGTCACTCCCGGAATCGTCTGCACCGTCGGTCTGACTATGTCCTACGGGCTGAGGAGCTTGATGGGGAGGTAGTTTGGGGTCTTGACTTTGGCCAGCGGGAAACTGTCCCGGCTGGAACCGTTGCTGGCCGGGAAGAGATAGCGCTGCCTGAGATTGGGCCTGCAACTGATGAATCTGGCTTGCTGCAGCTGCACCATAGCGCTGCTGCAAGGCATCGGCGGCCCGCTGCTGGGCGATATGTGCGGCAGCAGTAGGATTGCTGATTGGGTTTGCATTATTGTATCCGGGTTCGGTCTTCACACGGACATCGCCTGGATTGTGACCGTTTCCGGCAGATGGCTGAGGCTGCGAGATTTGCTCTGGGAACTCTTGCTGGGGTGGAGGTGACGTACGGGGCGCATTGGACGGCACTGTGACAGGAGGCGGAGGAATGGGGGCTTGCTGAGGAGGGGGTGGAGGAGGTTGGGGGGCCGGGTCCCAGGGGAAATGGGCAACCCCGAGAGAAGAGAGTTTTTTCTGCCATCCCTATATAATGAGACGAACAGTTAACAGGTCAATCCATCACCAATAAAGCCAGGATGCAGGCGTTGGGGCGTGCAGGGGGAGACAGGAAGTCGACAAGATTAGTAAGCCGGTGTTTAAAGCAGCAAGTCGGTCAAAGCCACATAAAAGTAACAACAAGCAGGCAGCCAGTCGGCCACACCTCTTAAACAGCCGAAACCCCCCGCAACTTTGGCCACACGAAAAAGTCGACACAACACCACAACCACCAGGCAAAATCCCATGAAACGCATCGACACCAATATATTGGCGCATGACAACAAGAGAAGATGCTGACATATGTTTTCCGAAAATTGCGCATCTCGAATATCGAAGGGGAGAAGAGCAGGGCATATCGTTTCGGCTTACCTTTCTCAGGTCTTCCAGCGTCTGCTGGTCAACGCCACCTTCTTCGAAATCGATCTGAGACGAATCGCATACTTCTTGGATGACACGGTCGAAAACGACGCCCTATAAAAAAACAAAAACGGAGATGACTGTGAGCCATGGAGCTTAACGGCCAGAGCATAGCCGACAACGGTGAGCGCCGAGGCAAAGACCTGCTACTCACCACCAACTGATTCGACATTGCGCAGAAGGTCTCTCGCAGAGAGTTAGGAGAGGAGAGGAGAAAAGGTATATCAAGTCGTTGTGTTTTGTCTCTGTGGTCCAAAGCAACACATGTGGTTGTTCCTGTCGAGGTCGCTCTGGGCGTCAGCTCACCGCAGCCTTACCAACCACCCCAAGCCCCGCAGTAACGTGTAGATATTGTTGTAGGCTGTCTGTGGGTACACTATATTGCCATTTAAACGACCTAATTATGCGTAAAGCCGGCGAAACGGAGTGTTTTCGGGCGCTCGTTCCTGTGCTGCGCTGATGGTTGTTGAGGAGAAAGTGGATTTATAGCAACGAAAGCTGGCGGCAAAGAGAGGCTGCTTAGTCAGCGGGAGCCGGGGTTTCTTCAAGTTTGGTGAACAAGCTATCAAGATATCAAGGGACGCATTTCCTGCTCCGATTCCATTTACGAGCATTTTGTATTAATCTGGGCGCTGGAGACGAGCCTCGGAAATGAAGTTCTTGCTGGTATCGCTGCAGAGATCTTTTGGGCCTCACTTTCTCAGCGCGCACTCCCTTACTTGGCTGTGTTCCTGGAGCTCATACCCTCAACTTCTCACAGCGAGCACAGGCACACATTGTATGATGGTAATTGGTACGAGGATCATGAAGGTGATTAATATGATTGCTTCGAGCAGGTCCATCGTTCCCAAAAGTATTTCAAGCAACAAATGCAAAACCAACGCCATGCGCACAGCGCGACACCAACCAGTCCAGCGACAAGATTCTAAAAGAGCCAGCGGAAAATATTTACCGAATTGTCATCTGCTTGGCCCTCTGGCCCCCTTTACTACCGACACCTCCCTCTCGAGAGCTAGAAGCGGCTGTGCCGGGTTTTCGTTCAAAGATCTTCCAAAATTTAAGACTCTCATCGGCAGCTGTTCCCATTGTTAGCCAGAATCGTAAGAATTATATCCGTGGCACTTACCAGCAGTTGCCAGCATCTGCCCATCGGGGCTCAGACAGCTGTGAAGCACGCGGGTCTCGTGTGCGGGGATTTCCACATTGCGGACCAAGGAGGGATAGCTCCAAATGCTCAAAGAATTGTCAGGGAAGCCGCTGGAACTAACCAGCTCACGGTAGTGGTTGCTCCATCTAAGGCTCGTAACCTGGGAGCCCGTGTCAATGCTGTTGGTCCTTGCTCCAGTCGTGGTATTCCAGAAATGGATGTGTCTATCATACGAACCTCCGCCAGTGGCGAGGAGGTTCAATTGCCACGGGCACCAGCTCAAGGCTTTGACGGCTGCGCGATGGTTTGTCTTAGTAAACTTGGGCGCGCTCAGAGAGCGCGAGTCCCAGATGGACACAAGATTGTCGTTTCCGCCCGTAGCCAACTGGGCGCCATCCGATCTCCACTCAAGGCCACAGACTTCTGATGTGTGAGAAACAAGTTCGGCTGTTTTATGCTGAGCAATGCGAACATCATGATTGAAAACGAGACCACTGCGTGCACCAGTTGATAAGGTATGCTTCGACCATCCCATCACGCCAACCCGCGTTTCGTGCCCAAACATACTTCGCAGCTTGGTACCCTCTTCTACGTCCCAAATCTGGACCTCACCGGTGCCCAGGCCGACGCCAACATATGCCCCATCGTTGCTCCATTTCACACTGCTGATATACGTATCTGGAGATGATTCCAACAAGCAGTCTACGGAGCCACTGTCCGCAGACCAAACATATACGTTTCGCTCAAGGCCAATCGCAACTTGGTTACCTGAGCTCCAATCCAATAAGTTGAGGTAGTAGTCGTCCACGAGGCCTGGCGCATCTAAGACCCGTTCGGGCGCTGTTTGAACTCTTCGCCGAAATTGAGCCGACTGTGCGCTTGCAGGTTTGAGCGGACGATTGTATTGGGATCTCAGGTCAATAGGTTTCGAAGATTCGGGCGCTGGGGGCTTGAATGCAAGGATTCGGGTGTTCAAGGGAATGTCGCAAGCTGAGGCAAGAGAGGATTTGTACGCAACTGAATCGGGAGCTGGCCTTGCGTACTTGCTGCTCTCATTGTCCTCTAGATCAAGGCTCTGCAGGGCATCAGCAAGGTCATCCTCATGGCTTCCCATACTAAAGGCACTCGCGGCATTGGCAAGAACGGTAGAACCGTCACCAGTGCTTGGGCGCTGCTCATCTGCTTTCGCAGTTCCGGCCGTGACAAGTCCTTCACTCGCTGAGCGATTGGGAATGAATCGATCAACAGCATTATGAGGTAGGTGGATGGTTGTCTTGGCTGTTCTGGAACGTAGGTTGGCTCCTTTCTTCGCACGCTTCTTGACCGGGGTTTGGGTTGAGTGGCCGGTCCCCGTTAATGTCCATTGTGAAACTCCGAGTTCAAGCGGACGGGGCGAATTTCTTCCCTTGGCAATGTTTGACTTGGGGGAGTCTCGATAGGTTCTAGAGATAGATCTGGCAAAATGTGATGCGAGATTTCCACCATACAACGATTTCGGTATCTCAGGTGGTGTGCAAGGAGAAGAATCGCTTGTTGTGGTGACGCTCGTCGTTCTCTGCCGGGGAGATGGGGTCAAAGGTATGCGGCCTCCGGCTGTTTTCGATGAAAAGATACCAGTGTGGCTCTTCACAGGTGTAGACACAACGACAGCAGCCATTATGCCTTTTGATTGTCCGGAACTCGCTTCTTAACAGAATACGACACAACCTGCACAGCATCTTTTAACTTCACTTTCTTCTTCAATAGACGAGGACAGTTCTTACGCTTATTATTTGAAAAGGCCCAAGGAACGCAAGTTTCGAAAACCAAAATGTGGTGTATATGCAAACTTTTAAGGGATGGTAGTTAGGCTTGCTTGGATTAATCTTACAGACTAACAGATGAGAAGGTATCAGGATAAAATAACAGAGTGCTTTTGACAATAGAGGAGAGGTGAACTGAGAGCGAGAGGAAGAAGCAGCGCGAGATATCTAGATGGGAATGCTCTCCTTTAAAAGCAAATGTTTACTTGTGCTCGTCGCCCGGGCAACAGACGCCACACCGCGTGCTAGTCCAGAACAGGCTAGCGCATTATAATTTAGAGTTTTCAGGTCTCGGATCCGTTTTCGGAAGGCTCGACCGTGAGGCTCCGTTTGCCTCCTTCCCTTTGCATGCAGACACCAGCAAGATCAAAAAGCGCAACCGGACGTCTCGCCATCGTTGTTCTTGATCAGACATCATCTTCTCTAATTATCTCCAGCTGTGATTGTGAGCTTTTTTGGTTGAAGATTGTCCATCTGCCCGTTGATGACGTTGTAGCCTGTTGAGTACCTGGTCGTCCAATTGTTCAGTGACGTCTCCCATATCGCGGCTCAATGTCGCTGGGCGCCTCGTCGACGCCAGTTGGTGGTGCACCGGGCCATGGGGCCAGCGGATCAACGAGTGTCACTAGAACTCCCATGACCCTCAGCTCCAATAATGACCCCAGTGCCTTCGTTCTGCCCACCAGCCCGTCCAAGAACGGTCGTGGAAGCGATGGTTACCGTCCAACGGTGAAGAAGTCCACCGGACAGATCCCCGCCTGCCTTGTAAACGCATCCGTAACCTACTGTGGAAATAACCAGATATATGCATTTGGTGGATTTGATCAGTACACAGACGAAGGTCTGTGACTTGGATAATGATCGGCGTCGCTCTTGGCTAACTGATGCTTGAACCCAACAGTCTACAACCACGTGCGTCGCCTAGACTTGGACACTTTGACATGGACAGTGGTAGATAACTATGGAGACATACCGGGCGTTCGCATGGGTTAATTGCCCTTGACCTTCCGTTGTTCTCTTGACGCTGACCAGGTTCCTAGGCCATACCGCAACCCTATATCAGGACGACAAGCTGATTGTTTTTGGCGGCGAGAACGAGCGTCGTGAATACCTTTCCGACATCGTGATTCTAGACCTCAGTACGTCCACATGGACATCCCCCGAAATTCGTGGACCCCTGCCGAGAGGTAGGGCTCGCCATGCAGCCGTCATCCACGAAGATAAGCTGTTTGTGGTCGGTGGCGTGACTGGCGAAACCAACTATATTCTCGACGAGATATGCTACCTAGATCTGAAAACTTGGACCTGGTCCCGGACTTGGAGCTTCATTGCTCGCTTCGATCACGCTGCCTGGGTTTGGGGAGACCGACTTTGGGTTTTCGGGGGACTTGGTATCGACATGGAACGTGGAACGGATCTATGGTGGTTGGATTTGAAAGGAAGCCCGGCCTTTATGGGCACTTCAACATCCTCTCAAGGTACCGTGGGAGCCCCAGGACTTACGAACAGGATGACTTACAGCCCAGATATGCGATTTAGTACCCCATCCCAGGTTACAGGGCGTGCGAGTGGCTATGCACCCAACTCGGGTAGTGTCCAAGTTCGATCGTTAGCTAGACGGAGACCTAATGCCCCTGGAGCCATATCCTCGGTGAAATTTCACTCCGGCCCGTATACTCCGGTTTTGCTCTCTGGAACACATTTCCACGTCTACACTTCCGGCGTCCTTCTTGACCTGGTCACCCCTTCCGAGACCGTTCGCCCATGGGAATGTAATCTATCGTCGTTGGAGTTGGATTCATTGCGCTGGCAAAGGCTAGCTGATGGCCCCGAGATATTTAAGTCCGGGTATCGCTGGCATTACTGCACCGTCAATGAGGATGGAACCAAGGCATGGCTACTCGGCTGCAATCTGAATATTGCAAATGCACCAGGTATGGGCGATGAGAATCATTTAAGCGAAGTTCTTTCCATCGACCTGGAGCGATACGGTGTTCTGGGTAATGAATCTCTTGGTCCATCCCGATCGCTAGCGGATGGCCAACAAGCATCCCAGATGTCCGTGTTGGGAGCAGAGCTAGCTGCTGTTTTCGACTTACCTCCAGAATCAGGTAGCGGAACGGACTTTATGATCACCGCCGACTGCGATGACCGTGGATATTCCAGTGATGATGAGTTTGCGTTAGTGACTGACGCATCCCAACCGCCCACCTTTTTACCTGCCGACGCCGCTACTTCTGCTCCAATTCACGTGCATCGAATTATACTCCAAGCACGTTGGCCTCATTTCAAACGACTATATGCGGCGCAAATGGCCGAATACCACACAAAGAGGATGCACATTCCCGAACCATACAAAGTGGTTCGTGCATTTCTTTATTATTTATACACAGATAGTATTTCATGTCATCTTGAGTTTTGTCCGGATATTACTGAAGTCGCAGGAATGCTGGTGATGGCAAATCTTTACGATATGCCACGGCTGCGCCAACTGTGTGTGCATCGGCTAAGCCGCGAATTAGCAGTTGAAAATGCTGCTATCGTCTGGGAACGCGCCGGACGGACGAACGAAGAATGGCTTAAGCAACGTGCCGCTGCATTCTGTATGACCAACTGGGGACGCATCGTAAGGACGGAAGGTTTTCGAAGCCTCAGCCGACAAAGTCTCATGGAGCTATGCGAAGTAGTAGACACGGAAGGCCGAGTGGTAGCGGGCCATGAGCTGGACTACGGTAGCTGGGCGAATGATCGGTTTGACCCGACTGGAGACAGCAAACGGGCCCTCCCACCTCTTGTCGGCGACGGTGAAGATGTTGAAGTTGATGAAGATGACGGCATGGAACTTTCATGAGAAAATATCTCCACAATTGGCGTTCGATACAGGTATTTGATGGCATATACTAATCGTGAGATGATTTCATAGCGTTGAGAGTTCTGAGTAAGGCGTTGGACGAAATGTGCATTTTCCTATAGTTTTGATATAACTAGGATAACTTCTAGAGCCTAAGTAGAATACCATTCTTGCAGCAGCAATTTCGTGGAATCTTATTCCATAATTTTACTCTGGAGCTTCCAGCTCGCATATTTCCAGTGGGCTGTGGGAAATTGTTGATCCAGGGTTGACTGTTCTTGACAAGGGTCTCGAAGCAAGCAGCAACGTCACTAGTTGGTCTCGATAGCCTAATACTTTTACTCTTCATTGAACCTCAGGACTGTAGTATCTCAAGTGGTAAATGTACGGGGCGTTAAACAGGGAGAAGGAAAGGGGCCGGATGAGGGACTGAGAGGTGATGAGTCAGCCTAGCCAGATCACGTGCGTAAACTCGCATCAAAGTTATCAACATTCTTCCGCACGAAGTGCAACTGGCCGCTTTGATATCCGCGGGACTTTTACGAGAATCGCAGGCGGAAATGGCACAGGAATCGCCAAATGAGATTGTCCCCAGTAATGGGACTCTGAACTCAACTGCCGAAGCTGGTGGCAGTTTCGAAGAGTCACCCGCAAAAAGGATAAAACTTGATCAACCGGCAACAACCCAAGATGTGCTGGCAGCAAACGATGGAGCTCAGCGCAACAGAGGCATGGCGCCAATAAAGGCAGAGTGAGTTTTTGCCGTTTTTCTTGCTGGGCATTCTTTTTACCTATGTTTGTTAATGCTGACTGGGTGAGCGTCAAGGTACCTGATGTCTCGGGGTGGGCAAGATGTAGCAACAACTTTTGACGCCCGTGATGATGATGAGGCGGAGGCGGCCCCTCTTAGGGAGCGTGCGGATGAGAGAGGTGCAAAGCAGAGAAAAAAGCAAAAGGGCCAAAACACGGGTCGCCGGTTCGGACAGTCGCGAGACGAAAAAGGGTTGTGTCAGAGCGTGTCGCACAGTCCTGAATTCTCGCCGAAGGCATGTCAGTTTGGCGAAGGTTGCCGGTTCGAGCATGATTTGCGCAAGTATTTGAAGGAATATAAACGAGAGGATTTGACGACTTTTGATGGCGTCTGCCCCGTCTGGAATGCGCATGGTGTGTGCTTCTCGGGGTGGAAATGTCGATTTGTGGGATCACATATGATGGAGAGGGAGACAGGCGATGGGAAGAAGGAGTTAGTACTCGTCGAAGACGAGGAGCGGAAGAAGAGCGCGAAACCGTTGGTAGAGGGCGGAGTGGAAGCCGGAGTGTTCAATTCGATAACGACGGAGCATAAGACGCAACTCATGAAGAAGAAGTTTAAGATTTCTAAATCTGACGCGTATGTACCCTGGCTTGATGAGACGTCAAGGCAGTTGGAAATGCGCATGCATGGCAGGAAATTTGAAGGGCAAGGAGACGAGGGTAATGCTGAAACTAATGGCGGAGCGGAGAACGTCGCAGAGGACAACAGAGCGCAGTACAAGGAACCGCCATTTCTCCCCTCGGAAAAGCGACGATTGTATTTCGGCCCGGAGACTCCGGTTTTGGCTCCTCTTACTACGCAGGGAAACATGCCTTTCCGAAGGCTCTGCGCCGAATTGGGCGCGCAGTTCACATATTCAGAAATGGCCATGAGTCTCCCACTGATTCAAGGGCACAAAAGCGAATGGGCTCTCGTGAAGGCTCATGAGTCGGAAGTACTCCCCCCAACGATCAATCCAAATCAAGCCGTGGTCAAAGACTACGATCGTACTCGAGATCTCAAGTTCGGCGTTCAGATATCAGCTAATAAACCATGGCAAGCTTTGAAAGCCACCGAGGTCATCACTACTCTTTGTCCCCACATTCGTGTCGTGGATCTCAACTGTGGTTGTCCAATTGACCTTGTTTACCGAGATGGTGCTGGCTCGGCTCTTCTCGAGCACCCTTCCAAATTAGAAAAGATCCTACGAGGGATGAACGCAGTCTCAGGAGAAGTCCCAGTGTCCGCGAAGATTCGTATGGGTACAAAGGACAAAAGTCCAACTGCGCTGAAACTGGCGGAGCGTCTCATACTCGGAGGCCCTGAATTCCGCAAGATTGGACAGGGACCGCCCGGAGTAGCTGCGCTCACGCTACATGGCCGAAGCCGACAGCAGCGGTATACGCGACAAGCCGATTGGGGTTATATTTCTGAATGCGCAGCTCTCATTAAGCGACTAAATGAACGGACTGACGAGGTCACGGACACCGTCCAAGAACCCGATGAGCGTCACCAAGCTCCTGGACGCAAGGTGTTCTTCCTCGGAAATGGCGACTGTTACTCCCACGAAGATTATTATAGAGATATTCGCGAGTCCGGCGTGGACACAGTAATGATTGCTCGTGGAGCGCTGATGAAACCATGGATCTTTGAAGAAATTCAGGCGGGACAGTACCTTGACAAGTCCGCCTCGGAGCGTTTAGCTCTCGTTGAGAAGTTTGCAAGATATGGCCTTGATGCTTGGGGATCTGACGAGCATGGTGTGGGCACGACGAGACGGTTCCTCTTGGAATATCTGAGTTTCACTCACCGGTACATTCCGATTGGGCTGTTGGAGCATCTCCCGCCAAACATTCAGGATAGGCCGCCAGCGTATCAAGGGAGAAATGAACTGGAGACTCTGCTCGCTAGTGACAACTACAAAGACTGGATTAAAATCAGGTACGTGTTTTTTGCTTCTTTAGCCTTTCTAGAAGCCGCTCTTCTAGTGGCATACCCTTGACATTGACGGCTAATGTTTGACTTCTTGCAGCGAAATGTTCCTTGGTCCTGCACATAAAGACTTTAAATTTGAACCAAAACACAAATCCAACAGCTATGAGATTGAAGGATAAGATACTGACATATAGCATCCAATTTCTTGCTGTAATTGACAGATAAAATGTACCTAGAATTGATAAAACAAGACTATAACCACGCACCACCTTGCAGGCCGCATCAGCCCTTTGTCTTCACTTGTCAGATCCAAAGCCAACTATCCCCATGAAAACCCAGCCTCATTACCTCATTCCCAAAGCCTTATTCAATTTTCAACCACGACTCCTAAGCCGCAGAAGAACAGGAAGAAGAATCTTGTCGGATTTGGTTCATGCTCAGGTAGTTCCATATCATAATACGCCGTTACTACATGAACATTGAGAACACCATCTGCATTTTGTTCTGAGGGTACCGGGAATGACTGTTCGTATTTATTGAGGACAAAATCTTCCATGCCTGGAACAAGCGAGGATGAGATAAAAGACACCAGGCTAGCAGTTGCCGCGTCTTTGGTCGAATCCGGCAACGGAATATCTTTGGTGATGGCTCGCTTGATATAGTTGCTGATGTTCTCGGGAGAGGGAGTGTTGCAGCCGATAAAGGATTCAAATACCGGACCTGGAGTGCCCTGGGGAGGCTGGGTTCGTTCGCCAGCTAACTCATAGCCGAATTCCGCGAGAAATCGGTCAGCACAAGCCTCCTGGAGATTCGCAAAGATTTTCTCGTATTTGACTGCAAAGTCGGTTTCCTCAGGCATGAAATCCTAAAAATGAATAGTTAGAAGGAGTACAAGCTTAAAAATCTTCCTGAGAAGAACGAGTGCTGAGAAAGGAGACTTGCTTACCGGAGTTTTCCATGCAGCACGTAGTGCCCTATCAAGCAAGTGATCAGTCGCAGATGCTGAAGCCTTCAGCAGAGCCTGGGAAGCCTGGTTATTGTTGCTATCTCTGCAGTGGGCGTCACCCTTTCCGCACTGCATGCATTCGCACCAGTTCGGGTTGTTATAGCAAGCACATTCATAGCCCTTGAGGCAGTTGCACGCTTTGCAGCGGCATAAGCAATTCGCTCCACACACCATTGTCAAAATCAAGGTTCAGTACTGCAACAGGTTGAGTATTTGCTCTGCAAACCGAATGCAGCGAGGACACTGTCAGAATGCGGGGTGGAGCTCAGCCTTATATCTACAGCTTGATGTAACATCCTTGGCATACGGAGGGGTAGCATCAGGCTGAAGAATTCGACAAGGATGGCTCCCCCCATGATCTGAGCGGCCCGTCGACTGAACCGGACGCAATGGTATCATCTTTCGACTTTGCTGAGAGCGAGAGGCCGTGGGTTAGATGCGGTGAAGGCCGAATCATCGGGAGATTATCTAAGCCAGAGCATTCTCGGATAATATATTTACCGGCATTTCAGCCACTTTTGTGCTGATATAATCAAAGTCCTAGCCACAGACGGTACACCCAATCACGTGCATTAGGAGTGCACTCGGATGACGTCTATGTGGCTTGAGCACCACACCAGCTTAACCTCAACTTGGCTTCTGGTTTTATTTACTGCCTGCCTTGCTCCTGGACAGCACGACACACCGCGCCTCTCTCGGATAAATGCCATTCTACTGGGAACAACTCTTGTCTTAGTATTTGAATTCTCTTTTGATTCTTGTATCGCCTATCGGTTCGATTTTTGACACACGAATTCCAGTCGACAAGGCAGCAACCAAACATTGACATATCCAAAACAGTGAACATACTGCCAGGATGACTCTCTACTATACTCTGGTACGTTGCATTCTTCTCCGACATTCTGCTCGTTGACAGGCTCAAGCTAATGGCACAATGCCTCCTGTAGGTTTTCCTTCTCCTGGTGCTGGAGATGGCCATTTTTGTTGGCCTCATTGTGCCTCTTCCCTTTACATGGAAGCGGAAATTATTTGCTTTTATCTCAGAGAGCCCTATCATAGCTAAACTACAATATGGAATGAAGGTATTATCCCGGTTTTCTGTTCTAACAGGCTAGGCTTGCTAATCAATGGAAGATAACCTTCATTTTCATCCTCATTCTCTTTATTGACAGTGTCAATCGTGTTTATCGCGTTCAAATCGAGTTGTCCGCATACTCTAAAGATGCAACTGGTGCTGGGTATGTTTTCCCCTGTTGAAATCGCCTTAGTATCCTACCTTGAAAGATCCTTGACTGATTGTCCCTATTGCTCCCCAAGAATTAGAGCTAGCGCCCTCGGCTCTGAACGAATGGAAGTCCAGGCTCGAAAATTCTACTCCCAGCGTAACATGTACCTTTGTGGCTTCACGCTTTTCCTCTCCCTCATCCTCAACCGCACTTACACCATGATCCTTGAGATCCTTCGTTTGGAGGATAGAGTTAAGCAATACGAGGGCAACACAAAAGCAGGCGGTAAAGACTCTGCGCGTATCGCGGCCGCGGGCGACATGGGTGAAATTGGACGCCTGAGGAAAGAGCTTGCCGCCCGCGAGAAGGATCTCGACGCTTTGCGGAGACAGAGTGAAGGTCTTTCAAGAGAGTACAACGAACTGAGCGACAAGTACACCAAGGACCATCTTGACAATACCCCCAAGAAGGATCGGTGAAAATAGCTGGCTTAGTGGCTTGCACGCTTTGCCCGCGTTGCCTGGTTACATCGGGCGTTTCGAGGTTTCGGGGTTTCACTCTCCCAAGCTCACTACAAGGAAGCTTCTTTATCGAGTCAGACAAGAATTGAAACATCCACAGGGGAAGATATAAGTGGCGCAAAATTTCTATCTTTTTTGCTTTTAGCATGTAGGACGCAAAATTAGTCAGATATTCCAGAATGCATCGTGAATAGCTGGTTAAACATTTTGTTCGCTGAGTACGGAGTACAGAGGGGTAAAATTGCTTTGTAGCTCGTTACTAGTAAACGGGAAAGGAATGAGAGCCTGTTTTTAGACGAGAAACGTCCAAAAGCTAGGGTACACAAACTCTTCCTCAAAAATCCGACGGACCTGCTCAAGGACGAACTTCTCTACTTTTCCCACATTTTTTAGGACTGGTTTTCCGTCCTCTTTTCGACCGATTTCGCTTTCTACCCGGACGTCGCGAAGGAGACTGTCGTCTCGACGTCGGGAGGACGCAGCTCCACCACTGGCCCCGCCACCAATAGGATTTATACCTGGTATATATCCCGTCTCATTGCTTTCCTCCGATCCCAAGAGCGTATCCGCATCTTCTGGAGACAGGAAGCAGAAGTGCACTCGTTTTCGAATATAAGCGACCACAGCGACACCATCAAATGACAGTCCAGTGATGTTCAGTTTTAGAGGCAGTCCAACGAAGCTAGGCATGGGATAATCGAGAAGGACTTGGGCCGTGAGGGATAGGCGGATGTTTCCGTTGTATCGCAATTGGCAGAGGACTTGGAGATCATCGGGTTTTTTTTCATGCATGCGGCGTGGCGGCGGGCTATGATCTCTAGTGTCGGGATGTGATTCGTTTGACGAGTGGGGATGCGATAGCGCTGGATTGGAAATGCGCTGGGAGTTTATGGAGTTCAAAGTGTCTGCCGTGGAAGGCCTGGAATGTCCAGAGTCAATATCGGTATCAGTTTGGCGATGAACTGGTCTTGGATAGTCACGAGCCGGGGGGTTGTGGATATCTCCATAAACAGAGGAATCACGTAGGCCAGGCGAGAAAGGGCCACGCGGCACTGAAGCAAGAGGAGTCTGCGTCCCCGACATCCCGCCAAGAGGCATATAGTAACCCAAGTTCGATGTCCCACCCGGTATCCCCGGCGTCCCAGCACGCGGAAAGAAATAGGGGTTCAAAGACTCTCCAAACGACATGGGAGACCGCATTGGTCTCGACGCCAAAAGGTCTTCTTTCGAAGGTGCAGGTATATCGCGAGATTCAATCCCACCCGGTAACCGCCCGGCTACAAACGAAGGATGTTCCGCCTGCCACGTGCCCGCTCCGCTCCGCTCGGTCGCGATGGTCGGAGGATGCTTCGGGGCCCCGTCCTGATCGTCTGAAAAGTCCTCATCTCCCTCGTCCTCTTCGTAAAAGTCCTCAAACGGATCGCATAGGTCCTTAATCTGTAGCTGGGGCCTGACCGTGCCAAAGTCGAAGGAGTTCACCTCCACGGACCGGATGAATCGAGGGAGCGCGATTTGTTGGAATTTGTCATGAATGAAGGAGCGGATGCGCTCCGCAAGGGCCTCGCCATCTGGGCCAGAGGTAGCGGCCTCCCAATTGATGTCTATGGACATTACATGAGTAGAATAATTGTTTGGTGTTCACTCGCCTGGCCGGGGAAATCAGCAATTCCATGAGGTCACCAGCCGGGCATCCCAGAGAGTGTCACGTGATGACCAGGCTGGGGTTGGCGACTATTAACTAGCTCCAACTCTGGACAACTTCAACGCACCTCAGACGCTCCCAGCACTGCCGACAGAAAGGCCCAATGGAGTACCCAGACCCAAAGCGCTGGTAAAGCGGGAACCGACAGCTGTCTCATTGCCGATAGCCCACGACTTCGGGCTTTTCCATGAAGCCACTGTTGCCCGTGTGCTAGGACAATGTTCTCGATCACGATTTGAAGCAAAAAGCACGCGAGGTCAAGCAATCTCATGACATTACCAGAAAGAAAGCACAATACGCTGAGGTGATGCACGATCCTTGCAGTGTGCATTCAGATGCCTATCTCTTTCCGGTAGGTAAGAACAAGCCACTCATGCTTGGCCTATTGCAGATCGAGTCTTCCAGCTCCCTTTGTGTTCTTTTCGCGAAGCTCGGGGAATGCAACGTTAAGCACATCTGGCATGCCTGCCTATACCTCTGGCCGGCTTGCCCACCGTCGAAGCGTGATGTTCTCCGTTGACGCTGAGTGCTTGAGAGCAACTCCCCGCCCCGATACGTCATTGGTTATGTGAAGGGCCGGTTTAAGAGCCACAGCAAGGATACAGCCAGTGACATCTAGGTACTTTTGGATGTTGGGGCGATGACCCTCGCAGCGGGAGCGGAACCTGTGCTCGGATAGGCGTATGCATGAAGCTTGATTATGTGTGTCTCTGCCACGACTCAAGAATGAGAATTACATATGCGTCGCATATTCTGGGCAATCTAGCACCCGAGATTCGTTCCGGTGACCATTCTGGCCGCATTTCACACCAAAATTATTGGTAATCGAACCATGGGCGCTCCCTGTCACCCTGCAGTCGGGTGCAGGGCAGAACACTGCGTGGAGCCCTTCCAGGGAGGTCCAAAGAAGCCATTATGACAATATACTCCAACATCTTTTGACTCTGATTATGGGTGTCACTTGCGAATCAAAAGGGCTTCCCCCCATAAATCTACCAGTAGTGGATTCAGGATGGCTTTTGTGGAACATGCGAATAATGTTGGCCGACACCACCATTCTTGGGCCAGTGACCCGGCCGCTGATCAGGGTTTAAAGCATGGTCTAGTGACTGCATCATCTGTTCACATTTGGCCATGCTTTAGATCGTCCAAAGGGGAGGTCTCACCATTCCAATGCAACCCGGCACAGTCGCATGGAATATTCACAGTGGATGTCTCTTAACACAGCGTCTGCAGTAAACGGTTTTTTGGCATTTCCGGATACTGTCGGGGCTACAAGCCGCCATTCTGGTCGGCGCTGTGTTTCGCTCCCCTGCCATGGGAACCAAAGCGTAAGTCACATGATCGCTGCCGTATGTTGGTAATCGTGCAGCTTTGCCGGGATCTAGCTATCCGTCCAGGGGCGTTTTTTGAAGCGGGTTGAACAAAAAACAGAAGTTGATCCAGCCGCATGAAATTCTCGTTTCTCCAACATTTAACCTTGCTTGAAATTGCGGCGCATCGCCCAGGAGCCCAGTGGCACGCACGCGCCAAGCCGCATACCAATTACGCCCCATCTGCATTTCTTCGGATGGCATCCAGAATCTGCTCAACGGTCGCACACCACAACAGTTTGCGCCGTGATTCTTCAAGGTTGCAAAAACAGGAAGTGATGAGTCGATTCTAGTCTTTCCCGGTCTTCAGGCTACCAAGCATTAATGATCACCCCACCAACACCATTACTGAAGGATTCTTCTGACGAATTTTTCAAACCAAAGACGGCGAATGGTGTCAATCAACGAAACGAGGCGGCCATAAATGACCTGTTTCGGGTCTTTCCCACTCCATGGCTACCATTAGTGAGCGGGTATCGCACTCCGCCGGCATCATAATTCCAAATTAAAAGGGAGCACGATCTTTGCAGGTTTTCTCCTCATCCAACCCTTGGCTTTCTCTTTGTGCACTATTTCTAGCTACTGGAAAGGGTAGCAGTGACAGCCGTCCCGGACAAGGATAGGTCAAATATCTCTAGACATTAGATACTTGGCAACCGTCTGTGGCATTGGCATCGAATTCGATGGGCACATGGCGACCACCTGGTGGCCAAAAGGTCAGTTCAAACTACAAACCAGTGCTCGCGGCAATGCAGGCCAGCTCCCGTACCATCGAAACGAATTCGAGCCTTCCAATTCGAGGCTAGGCCTCTCTGTTCGCATTTTCGCTACCGAGTGAAGAGCTGCATGCCAAAGCGTGATGCACGAAAGAGCACTAATGATGTACCTTACAGTATGATATGCCATTTGCAAAAGGGCGGGGAGGCTTCTTACGGATTCTAATCACCCCGAATTCCATCGCAAGCATCCAATCTCCGCACAGTGCTCCGCATGGCCAAAGCCCGAAAGCATATCCCTACAACTCAAACCGCCTTTCGAAAACCTGAAGGCGAAGAGATAATAGGCTGATGACTCCCGGCTTTTTAAATTATCATTACTCGCTTCGTGCTGGGTTATTGATCAGTAGAAGGAAGGTAGAATACAAGGCTTCGACAATGCCAGATCCAGGCGGGATCCGCGCCTCATGGGTGAAAGATATTGGACACGCTATCTCATGAACTTGAGTCAAGTCCAGGTTCAGAGCTGAAACCAGAGACAGCCCATGGGGAAGGATGGTCCTATCAGCTTGTGTGAAAGGGATGTAATCCCCAAGTGCTGTGCCGCACGCAAGGCCGGGAGCCATCTGCGGGAGCGTTTTGATGTCTACGCCTAAGAGCTTGGCTCCCGAGTTGATCACAGCGGGAACGGGTTCATGGGTTCTAGGGCAAAAAAGGAAATAAAATCCCAGCTTAGTTACTCATATGACCCAGAGTATAATCTTTTTGATTAGTAGTTGTCTGCGGTCCGGAGGCTGGGATCACGGAAGAAGGCGTAGGGAAGACGGATCGGAGCGACTTTGCTCGATATAGAATCATAGGAGCAAGGGATCAATAGACCCAACCCGTCGTTCAACAATACGTCCAATATTGTCAAAAGTATGTGCCAGCTAAGCCAAAAAAACATGGCGGTGTCTTCTTTCAGGCACAAAGATTTGAGGTGAGATGATGTATCACGGTGCAGGACCACAATCCCTGCAACAAGGCCGCATGTCGTATCGACTTGGGCACCGCCGCTTTGGTACAATAGATGCACTTAGTATTTGTTTTATTTTATTGTCGGTAGCGGTGAAAGGGGGGGACACCCCCTAAAGAACAGGAAAATAATGGGCGATGAGTAATAGAATTCCCGCAAAATTACGCACTAATTCCGCTCAGACTGGTGGCTTTTCTTTTTTGTCCCATTGAGAAGATGAGTATGATGTCCCTTCAGAGGGAATATCTGTTCAAGTTAGAATTGCACGCTCAAACCAAGACCCAAAATTATGTATTCATGCTGTATATCTGCATATTCCAAAACAGGGGGGCAAAATTATATGACAATAGAAACTCGAAAACAACAGAATAATAATAAAAAATTCCCCAAAGCCAAGCAGCCGAATAGGAGAAAATCAAAGGCGAGAACTATTAATAGTACCCTTGATCCTGCTTCTCTTCGTCTCTCCCATCTGCTTGTCCTGCCCTTTGTAAACCATTCCCATCAAGCCCGAAAAATAAATATAAAAACTAAAACACAAAGAGGATGTAATGGTGATTTTTTTTTTCGTCTTTTTCTGCTGCTTTTCAACTTGAGAAAAAATTCAGGTAAAGGGAAAAAAGAAAAGATGTCCGTAAAGCGGAAAACGCCCTTGCTGCATCCGTGACGAGCCCTATCGGTTGTTGCCGTCCGAGATTAAAAGAGTGGTAGAAGGAACCGTGTTGTTTTGGTTTTCTAATTCGATCTGAAGCTTGCAGAACTCGAAACTCGACATAAAAGGGATTATGATTAGGCGGGAACTCGTAAAGCTCTATCGGCGCGTGAATTCGCAAAAAAGGAAAGAAAAAACCCGCATGTGGACATGGTTTACTGCAGTGGCCTCGTTAGCTGAGGTTTTCATATCTATGAGAGGCATAGCATTGTAGGAACGTACAGCAGCTCAACTGCTACCACCGTGCTTTGCGCACTTTCCCGGGCGTAGAGTATACTTCTTTCTCATCTCGACACCTGGGTTCTTGGGGCATTGGTTCCCAGAGCCTTGATTGCCGGAGCCCTGGCTTCCCAAATAGCCCTGATTGCCATGGTTTCCGGACGAGCACGATTCAACGTTGCCGACGAAGGAGGTGCATCCGCACTCGAACTTTTCCCACCACTGGACGCACATTTTTGCAGGAGAGCTTTTGATATAGGAGTGGCGTTTGGAGGGAAGAATAAAAGAGGAGGATAAACTTTTGTTGAAGCTGGTTTATTGGATTTGTAGTAGGGCTGCTTCGAGTTCGGGGTAGAAGAAAGACTCTTTATAGATTGAATTTCCGTGTGAAGGATGTAGTCCAGACGAGAAACTGTGTTTGATGCTTCTAAGATCTTGTTCACCCGGGCCTCGACAGTCCTTTTATAGACAAACTGTGCGGCTTTTGCTACAAGCTTGGCAGATGCAAGAAAAACTCGGACCACAGCTCATGTTGATGCAGGGCCGTCAGACCAAACAGACGTCCTGAAAGCCCAATGGGGGTAGGGCGTAGGTGTCCAGGGAAGGCAGAGCAGGAAAAGAAGGAGCACAGTCCGGCAAAGCTGTTAAACTCAGAAAATTTTTGAGTAAAAAGCCAACAGATGGAGCAATGGACAAAGGAATACAACGATGTTTTCAGGATATGTTGGTGTTGATCCCTGAACGAAGCAAAGTGACAAGTAGGTCCCGAAAGCTTTTCCCCCCCATCGGTGGCACTGCTTGAAAGGTATGTGTCTGTAGTTTCATGGCCAAGTACCCTGCGTTAGTTCGCGGGATGTGCTCTGCATCCGCTCGTCGACGGGAATGAGGTCAGGCTAGGCAATCAAATCAGTCACATTGGCGAATTGATCATCACCGGGTGTGATGGGAAAGAGCGATCCCGGTAAATGCGCCAGAGATGGACTAACAAATGACAGCGGCCAGATGCAAGTAACGCTGTTAGACGCCAAAAATCCACAGGTGAGCAGGGTAGGAATTGCACCTGGGCACCGGTCGAGGATCTCTCAGACCGTTCATGGGGCATGGGGGCAAGCCGTAGCCTCAGTGCCGTTCAGATACCTGGATCTATATCCGTTAGAGTTCATGTATCTGCGGCTTCTTCCGTGAAGGGATATGCTTTCCAAGCACGGCACCTCGAAAGGCGAAAACCGGAAAAGTTACAAGCACAATTAAAAAGAAAAGAAACCTGACAGAGCTGCTCTCCAACGAGGTACCTTGCCGTTGAGAAACAGGTGACCATTGGCATATGCCGGGTTTCGGAAAGTATCTGCAGCCCGACGACAAATGGGGTGTGCCTGCTGTGGCCATTCTGGTCAGACCCCGGCTCCTGTCGCGTTCTTTTCCTGCGGAACAATAGCATTGTTGCAGAGCCCATAAAATAAAGGGGCGACACAGGCATCCACAGCGTTGGAGGGGGGTATGTGAAGCGTGACGATGCAGCTCTGCGCGGCATAAGGAGGAAACCCCACAATTGGCGGACGCCGGCAACGGGGAAATGGATAGTCGTAGCTCTCAAGTCTTAGCTGCATCGTATTATTGTGGAAGGGGATGGGTATCTGATATCATCCGCTGTGCCGCCAACTGGAGGCGTTGAACACAAAAGCGGAGAAAAGTCCTGAAGAACCGAACCTCGCCCCGAAAAAAAAAGGGTCTTCGGGGGCAAAAAACAAAAAGAGATGCGGCCGGAACGTCAATTTGTTGCATATAGATAGGTCCGTGATCCCATCCTTGGATCTTCTGCGATGACAGTGCCGTTTTGGCAAACAGGAACGCCTCTTTTGCGAAACAGAGTCTGACGGGGCACCCAGGCCAATAAGACCCGGCCATCCAGTGTGAGTTAGCTGCGCAGTGGACCAGGAGAATTGTTTTGCGAGCTAATGGGAAATAGGAACGCAGCGTGTCAGGATGGCCATAGGCCATTCGGGGTAGGGGGCCTGCGATCCAGGAGGGTTTGGGTGCGGTCACAAGGGGCGCGTCCCGGGGGAGACTAGGGCGGGAAGAGGCTGATGAAAGGAAAAGAAACGGAGGCCATTGTTCTGCGCATGAGGATCACAAACCATCCCCGCTGTCGGGTGCTTTGCCGCTGGATTTTGTGGCAGTGAGCGCGTCCCGGGAGTGGTCCCTGGAGAGGCCGTCGAGCTGAGGCAATGGCCCCTGCGAGATATCCGCTCCAGCGAACACGAGAGGCTCTGCGGCCAATGACTGAGCTCAGGAACGCTTTTTCCAGCCTGCAAGGCTCTCGCGCAGACCGTGAGGGCCGGGGGGTGTGTGGACGAGAGTGGATGGGCATTGGGGCGGAGGGAGAGCAGCGGGCGGGCGTGGTGCCAGGGTGCTAACCGCGCGGCAAGCTGAAGAGACCACACAGAGGCCGAGAAAGGCTCGGGGCCGGGATGCGAGGCCAGGGGCAGAGACAACGGGCGGCGGCGCAGGAGAAACGGGCAGCAAGAGATGGCCGTGAGGTTGAACGGAGACAGCGAGACTGGAGCGGTCGTTCTCCTGGACGCTGCTATAAATATCCAGCCGGCCGGTTGACGGGGCGGGTTGGCCGTGATGCGGTCGCTGAGCAGAAGAACCAGAAGATGATCGGAATGCGATCTGTTTGATCTACGCTATTCGCGAGTGATCCATGCCCCGAGTTCGACTGTCCTACATCACAGGCTTGTCTGTTTGACGGCTCAGTTCACGACCTGACGGCGCATGTCTGCTTCGAGGGGGCGGTTTACAAGAGGCACATCAGCCAACAGACACCCTGCCTCCGTCCTCTCTCCATCCTCTCTCTCTCTCTCTCTCTCTCTGCTCTCGCCCGTCTTCGCGGTCGCACAATCGCCTCTCCCGATCGCCATCGTCTCTCGTCCTTTGTGACGTCTGCGCTTGGCAGCTTGCTGGCTGGCTTCACAGCATGGTTTCTCTCGTGAAATAGCCCGAGGTTTGTCCTAACCGCCGCTCCCTTGGCGCAGCGACCAGGCGTCGGTTGGATTCGGACCAGCAGCTGATCCTGTCGCGATGCACGTCCTGCTCTGGCCTGGCGGGAGGCAGCGTCCCCAGTCTGGCCCAGTTCGTCTCGCTTCCATCCGTACGCCGTCGACCTGGTTGGATTGTGTCGCCGTCATTTCCCGCAAAACGTCCAGTTTATTCCCTCTCTAGCGTCGCCTCAGCGGGGACAATCGCCAGCCAAACCCCAGTTTTTTTTATTTTTATTTCTGGTCCTGTGATGCGACGGCTCGTGCAAGAAGCCGGCCTGGCATTCGTCATGCGCAGGAGATGCCCGGTCACGCTCAGTGCCCGTGGATAGTTAAAGTATATAAACTCGCGCCCGCATATGCGTCTGGCTTCCATTATTCTGCTCAACAACAGCTAACAATCACGCAAGTCTCTAGACTATCACGCAGTTCTATCCCTCGATATCACCCCGTCCCTCAACCTCAGACAATTGAATTCGTGCCGCAGACCGTTTTTTTCCACTAGCTATACACCTCAACCCATCTCTACTCCAACACTCCTCCTCCTCTCCACCATGTATACCTACACAGAGACCAACAAATTCCTCGTCCTCCTCCCCCAGGCTCACGCCGTTGCACAGCTGGGCCTGGAGCTCCCCTCCAAACCCTCCGTCAACAGCCCCGAATCCACCGTGGCAGACGAGGCAGTCGTCATCCCCGCAGCCGCTCCAAAGACGCATCGTTCCTCGAGCACCGGCGCCAGCATGAATGACGGCGAGAAGCCCCTTGACTGTGGGTTCCTAAAGCTCGGTGCTTGACCGAACAGCCAAAACCCAACGACATGAGATCAACAGCAACCCTGCAGACAAAGAACAACCATAAAAAGTGCTTTTCTTTCTTTTCCGCTGCCAATCATCATTCTTCAAAAAGCCAGTTTCGCTTTGACTTTGACTCCACGGCCAATCAGCAAAGCACAAAAAGTTCCTGGTCGCGCAAATCCTGGTGCACCGGTTACGCACGGATGCTCGACTGTTGGCGGCTAACTACTGCTATCGATGCGGGTTGAACGCAGACAACGAACGACATCGATCAAGTTCTAGTTGGCGATGGGGTGCTTTGTCGTTGGCATAAGCTTCTTTTCTCTCTAACGGTCTAACCTTGGGGGAGGGAGCATGTTTCACCGCAGCAGCATCCTGTCGAACCGCTGAGATTCCCCTTTTTTTTCTTTTCTTTTTCTCTTTTATCAGTCAAGAATTGTCTCACTATTCCGTATTCATATCATTTATTGGCCTCGACAGCGCCCTTATCATAATTCCTTTTATCTTATCATGATGCGATCTCCAAGCGAAAGCATTCCATTGTTCGCTTTTCTTTTCTTTTTCCTCGAACCAAGATTCGATTTACCCCTGCTAAGAGTTGGTTGGACAGCTGTATTTCTATCTGATTTGCCAGAAATGAGAGACAAGCTTTGAGAAGGAGAATTCTCCCTCGATGCTCCCTTTGAGGAAATCCTCCCTGTCCTTCGTATATAATCCGTAGTGTCATCAACATCCCTTGGAATCATAATAACTCTTCTATAAGCCCGGTGACCTGACCAGAAAACCTTGCCATCCAAGCATCCTCCAAAAACCACACCCATCGAGACACTTGCATCTCGCAGCAGCAACAGCATGCATCGCGTTTCGTATCGACGGACCCAAACTCTCCGCTTCTCCCCCCTTGCACCGTCTCGTCCATCGGGCTCCAGGGTCTTCTCGATTTCTCCAAAACGCCCATCCAACAGAACAAAGATCAAGATCGAATAAAAAAAGACATCATCAGCCCGTAATACCCGTCTCCTTCGATTCCCAATCCGGCCCTCCTTCGTCCCGCCGAGAATAACCTCTCCGTCTTCCTTCATCCCCTTCTTCTCCCTTCTTCTATTTCTCCCGTAAACAAATCAATCTCCAACAAGCTCGCCACCCGCCATGCCAAGATCCGCTTTCCCCCTCGGCATTACGTAGCAGCAAAACGGGGGCAAATGGAAGGGCCTTCTTTTCTGAATCCAAAAAGAAAACCACCCCAGGTGATCGGAAAAAAAAAATAGTGAAGACTCGCCTCCGAGTTGCTCTCATGCAAAAACCAAAACAACCCCAGCTGGCAATTCGGAGTTACCCCGTCTTTCTCATCTTGTCTCGCATAAACTTCCAGTCTGGGACTCCAGCTGCAATCAACCTGATACGATTCCGTGACTAAATAATTATTATTAGCAAGTATATTCAAAGGGCCCCGCGAACCGGCGAACCGTTTGACATTTGCTACAACGGCGGGAACTCAATGCATGTCCTGTGTGATTTAGAATAAGTCACGCTTCATGTAAAAAAAAAAAAAGCCCGATCACCACGCAAGAAAGCTTGTCTAATTTTCTTCTCGCATTCTATCCTACCACTGGCCAAAAATACCCGTACATACATCCCTCCGACTCTCCAGCCCATCTCGCAGATTATGTATACCTAGCTTCATATGTATACCGGAGGTCCGGAGCTGCTAGACAAAAACAATATTCCCCCATCCACTTTGAGCATCCAACCAGCAGACCAGGAAGGATGAGAATGGACAATGTATCCTTTATACATCGTGGCAGAGAGAACGGAACAGAATCGAATAGAAAAACGAGGATTTCCGGTTTTGAGACATGTAAACCAGACGCCGGAATACCTTCCCTGAGCGAAACTATCAAGTACCAAATCGGAGCAGGCCTGCACATGGGAAGCTGAAGAGATAAGGCTGTGTAAAAAAAAAAAAAAAAAAACACATAAAGGGTAACCAAGGTATGAACATGGTGTGTCCGGCTTTTTGGGAACAGACTTGCCAGTGAAGAAAGGGGGAAAAGATTTTTGGCTTTAAAAGGGGCCCAATCTCAGAATAAAGGAACTAATAAGAAGCTTCCCTCATCCAGGATGTTCAAATCATTGGGGTGGTGATGAAGAGTATGAAGGTCTTAACATAAACACACAAAAAGCAACCAGCTGCGGCCCCAGTTGGTTTTGAACAGAAAAGCTCTCTTCAATGCCATATGTAACCAAGACAGCCATGCAAAACCAGATAAAAGAAAAAAGAGACTGCAAGAAAGATCACCATGGTAAGGGAACGCACGAGGCTAATTCGAAACTTGTAAAGAAAAAAAGGGAATTCCTAGATTGATAGTAGTACAGTGATACGAGCAATCGCTCGAACCTCGTTCCAATTGAGCCTCTCCGTTCATCCAATCTGCCGCTAGGAACCCCGACGAGCTCTTCTTTTTGCTAATTAGAAAAATGTTCCAGATTGCAACCGTGACAACGATAATAGGGTTGGGTATCTAGCAAACAACTGTTGCAACGATCTGAATAACAGGACTTTTGTAGCACGGCATAGCCAAGGTGGTCGAAATGCAGGAAGAAAATGAGCCATTTGACTGGGCGCAAGGTGCTTAATGACCTGGACAAGTTGATTAATGGTCTTCTCTGGCTCTGTCTTTGCCTCTGCGACGGAAAAAGTCCATCACTTTTCTTGCTGCTCCAGAACTGCCTGAGTGCTGAGGTTTCTCGTATTCATAGGCGTCTGCGAATTTGCGATGGCTTTTCTGAAGAACGTTGCTCCTCTGCATCTGTCTATTATGAATAGAAGGATGAGATGCGCTCTCATATCCTTGATTCTGCCCTTCATTGTAAAGGGCAGAAAATGTTTTGTTAGGGTCTGCTCGTCCATGCGGTGGTGAAAGATGGCCACCCGATGTGATATTAGGTTCACTCTGATAACGATTTTGGTAAGTATTCTCATATTCTTGCTGACGGTAAGGATTCTCGGGGGTGCCATGCAAGCTGGCAAACTGCCTATCGATCTGAGCGGAATAATCAGCCATATCAGCGCTCTCTCTATAATCTCCGATATTGTTTTGATTCTGCAGTGACGATCCAGGACGAACTTTGCGGGGGTTGTGATATTGATTGAACCCTGGATCATTGCTGGGGACTGTTGCAGGTGCTGTGGATAACCTTCGCTCTTCTCGGGACGCTTCTTGTTGCCCATCTGTGGGTTCGTTTGGTGTGAGTTGTGACGAGTCCCCTGTTTCAAGACGCTCTTTAGTCGAGTTTCTGGATAAGAATGAGGGCGGAATAAGTGAAAATCTCCTATGTCTACTCCCGTTGCTATCGGTTTTGCGAAAGGCATGGGATAATGACCTGCGAGAATCGACTGAAGCGCGTGACGACTCGAGGGCAAATGGTTCCTTCATGCTGGTCGGCGGGATATCGTTACCAGACTTGACCCGAGGGGATCCCGGGCTGAGAACCGCGTCCACGGAAAATCGAACCAGGCCGTCCAAATACTTTTCGGAAATGCTGCTTACAGTGCTTGATCTCTTGTGTCCTTTCGATAAGTGATCTTGCTGTTGCAACTGTAATGGACCTGGTTGTGTGCTTGGCTGACCAATAGAAGTGGCCGGGAGCTCGTGAGGCTGCAATGGAATTGGTGCTGAAATGTATGGTTTGCCGCCGGCTTTGGGTTGCGCAAGACGTCCCTGAGCATTGGCAGTTGCAACTGCTGGAGCAACAGGCTGGCTGTAGGAACCGCGAGAAGGTAGACGGCTTTCTAGCCTGCCCAAAGAAGCCAAAGACCCACTAGTAGGAGGTCGCGCTGATTGTGAGTGTGAACCTTGAGTTCCAGAAAAGGCACCAGTTAATTCCGAAATAGACCGTGCAATGTCTCTTGATTTTGGTCTTTGCGTACCTTGATTGCGATTTGGTAGAGAGGAATAACTAGCTGGTACAGAGGCGTCACCGACAGCTGGACTTTTTGGCAAAGGCTTCGACCGAGGTGCTTCCAAGTTCTCTGGTTGAGTGGTCACAGGCACTGTCATACGGCTAAAGGTCTCGCCACTCGGCTCTCCACGTGTGGTTTGGGATTGCGGTGCAACATATTCGACCTGCACCGTTCTTCTCTTCGCATCGCGTTGCTGCCTGGCTTGTTCTTCAATCTGTTCAGCGTTGCTTTGTTGATGGTTGACCCCTCCAGCTGGACCAGCACTGGTCTGTTGATACGACTTTGGAGGTTCTCTGACAGATGCGCTGCGAGCCAAAGGCGTTTCGTAGCGCTCTTCTGATGATATATTATCAGCAAAGTTCAATAATTCCAGTAAGAAAGTGATACTAACCAGTCGTGACCGTGGTATTGGCAATATCGGAAACGTTGGTAGTGTTGCTCGTGATATGAGACACTACAGTCGCATATTCAGCTAGCCAACTGTGCCTTGCTACCTCGAACAGGTCTGCTCGTTTCCTTGGATCTGGGACAAGAATACGCCGAAGCAGATCACGAGAGTGAGGCGTGACATATTCAGGAAAGGTAAGGGGCGTAGTAACAATGTATTTATACAATAGATTTATGTTATCACCGTCCGGGTTCGCAGGATCGTCGTCAAAGGGTAAGTAGCCGGCAAGCATAGCGTACTGGATTCAGTTAGCACACACATACACACATATATATTTATATCAGCAGAAGCATACCAGTATCACTCCACAACTCCAAACGTCAACTTTGCGCCCAGTGTAGAGAGAGTCACTGACTACTAGTTCCGGAGCAGCGTAACAAGGGCTACCACAGCTAGTTTGCATAAGATCGCCTCGTCTCATGCCCTTAGCATCGGGGCGATCAAGTCTCATACGCTTGACAAATTCCCTATTCATCAAATTGTATTCGATTTCCTCGCTCAGCTCGTCAGCAGGATTAAATGTGTTCGCAAATCCAAAATCTGTGATGATGATATTTCGATTCTGATCAAGGAGCAAGTTTTCCAGCTTCAAGTCCCGATGCACGATCCCTTTTTTGTGGAGATATCCAACCCCCGATACCAATTGTGCGAACAGGCGGCGAGCAGCATGGTCCTTGAGGTACCGCTGATTGAGGATGTAGTCGAACAGCTCTCCTCCCGATGCATACTCCAGAATAATCCCAATGTGACGATCGGTTTCTACCATTTCATGCAGCCGTACAATATTCGGATGGGATAACTCTCGGAGGATAGCGATCTCCCGGTGGATTTTTGGGAGGCGGCTAGGGTTATTTCCCAATGTTTCCCGTCTAATCAATTTGATCGCGACCTGCACACTGCCATCCCTTTTCCAGCCTAGCCTCACTTTGCCAAATTCTCCTTCACCGAGGGTTTGACCCAGGATATAATCTCCAAAAGTAGTCTCCTTGTGTGCTGTTTGGGAGTAATCGTGTCTACTCTTCGCTGGGCGACCCGTCTCGGCACTTCCGGCACCACCATCCAAAGTATCATTATAAACGCGAGCAGCTTGAGCCTCAACCTGGCGCTGACGCTCCCGCAAAGCAAATTCTTCAGGCTCTGTCATCACCACCCGATTTGTAACTGTATTATCGTGGTTCGCTGGCCCAGTTAGGAAAGAACTAGGCCCCATTGCAGCCTCTGACCTGCTTTCCATTGCAGTTGGACCATGTGCCCTTTGCTCTCTAGTGCTTGCAGCCCTGCGTGGACCTTCGGGAGACGGTGGAGCCTTTCGGCGGGGTTTGGAGGTCGACGTGTCGTCTTTGGGTCTCTCTCGCTGGCCTGAACCATGTTCTCGATCCCGATCTTCACGCTCCCTTCTTTCTTCTCTTCGTTTGTTTTTGGAGGATCCAGTTCTATCATTGGGCGATGCGGATGAAGTTGGAGATGCCCGGCTTTTATTGTTAGAGGAAGTACGCGGTGGAGGAATTGGCGGGCCACCGAGAATGTCAGAGAGGCCTGGACGACTAGATTGCGTGTTGCTTGTAACTGTTGCTGTCGCCGGAGCTGCGGGCATTGTGCGAGTGGCTGGAGTCTGTTGTGGCTCGCGTGGAGAACTCATTGTTGTTGCCGAGCCAGGAGAATAAGGCGAATGCGGCTGGTGTGAATTGATTGTGGCACCAAGTGTCACAGCATTTCCGTGTTGTTGTGATGCCCAATGCGACGCCGACACAGAGCTCTGATGGAGAGACTGTGTTTGTGTTGGAGAGGTTGGTGCATATTGGCTCGGCGCTTGCGGAGGAGTTGGTTTGGGTGCTGCTTGCATCGCAGACGACATGCCTTCCTAATAATAAGAACACAGCTGAATGGTAGCCGCAGTCCGGAACCTTTCCTCGTGGAAAAGAGCAAGGGACGCGGCAAGAAAACAAAAAGATAACAATATGGTCTAGTCTACCAGTCCAAATTCACTTTTTTGACGCGTCAAAACTGAATGTTTAGTAAAAATAAAACTTCCTTGAACCACCTTAGAGCCGTCCTTTCGGAAGAAGGATATAATCGCGTGCGACGAGGTTTGGAATCTGTTGCCCTCAGGTTAGGCTGGCGCCATAAGCCTCTGAAAGTTTGGGGGAGGAAAATGCCAGTGATGTGTGGGGAGCTAGGCTCAGGAACACATCAGAACTGGCAAGCAATCTGGAAACTTCCGAATTCACTTTAAGGCCCAAGCATCTGATGTGTCAGAAAGTGAAGCCACCCACACAGCATGAAAACTGTCTGCACCACCCAGCAGGCTAGAATGTTTGAACGTGTTCTTGCTTGTCCAGCAAAGCCACCTCTTTTTCAATTGTCCACCAGTTCTACCCACTAAGCTTTGTCAGATAGCAGATGCCAATGACAAAAGGGCAGAGGATTGTCGATGCGCCAATCAGTTGGAAGTTGGCAACTTGCGGTTGAAGTTCCAAACACTCCGGCCAAACGAAAGGCAATACTCCAATCGGATAATACACCACAATGGAGAGAAACTCCCTCTGTTATCGATCGGCTTTCCCTTGTCTGATACAAGCGAACGATGATTCAGTCGGAACCAGTGACGCGAGCAGCTGGTTCTGGAGTCGGAAACGAACGAAGGCGCTGAACGGACCAAGCAAGCATGATCGACGCACGGGGTCACGGGAAGGCGAATTGGGAGGTCGATGAGCGAAGGGGCGTGATATTCGGCTGGGCGGCGTGGACCTCGATCTCGTTACTCCGATCGATCGTGAAGCACCGACCGGGGAATACGGATGAAAAGGGGGCGAAAGGAACCACAGGGATGGCGGACGCAACCAGCGACGACGAACTGGACGACGCAGGGACCGGTGGAGGGAGGCGGAGAAGGAGAGAGAGAGAGAGACGAGGGCGAGGATGGCCTGGGGAGGAGGAGGAAGAGGAGGAGGAGGAGGAGGAGTAATAGTCCGATGTAGGGAGTATGGGTGGTGGTTCAGGTGGTGAGTTGATCTCCAGGTTCCCTAGCGTCAACTATACTTCCACATCGAGTTAGCCGGCTGGTCAATGACCTGGCGCTTGGCATTGTTTGGGCTTGCGGTGGATGCTTTGCGCTGCGTTGCTTTGGTTGCTTTGCGGTTCCTCTCCACCAGAGCAACCAGGGAAGCTAAATGCGGGCATCCAGAAGCGCAATCTCGGCAGGCAAATGGGCTATTGTTTCTCCTCTGTCTCGGATCACAACAAGGCGCTTTTCCCACCGTGTCACACGGCCCTCTCGTCGCTAAGTCCCAATGCTGGTACGCAGTGACACCGACTCTCGATCGATTACATAGCCCAAATGGCGATCAAGACCGCCACAGCTCCCGCTCGTCCATTCTTCCCAATCTCGCCCGTCTGCCTTCCCCTGACTCGATGGGGCAAATTACCTTTGGCTAGCCCGGCGGGCGAGTTCAAAGAAATTCAGCCAACCATGCTGCCCGCACCTCTGCCAACGTGGCAGCTTGTTTCATGTCATTGTCGCATCTCCACCATTGAGCATCCCGGGAAATTCAACCCTGCACGGCGAGCCACAAGCAGCAGTCCAATTGGAAAATTTCTGCAGCGTGATTTGCTGTCTTTCCACCAGCCCTAAAAGACTGCCAACCCAAGAGACTCCACCCGGGCTCTGTCGTACTCGCTCTCATCCCAACTTTGATCTCACGATTCTTCATCTATAAAAGAACAAACTAATAGTTAATTACATGGATCCAATTATGATAGCTGGAGCTATAAACATGTGTCTCTCTCTACAAGTTCTCACCCTGAGCCTTGCCTCTGCGTCACTGTTTGGCCGGGTTTGTCCTTCATGTGCAGAGTTGGTGATTCAGCAGATAGTTACCCTCTCAACTGCATTATCAATATAGACACCAATGTATGCAAAACAACTGCCATCCACCTTGTTTCATAAATCTGCAATGCACAACAGCAGTCAAGTCTTTTTGAACAAGGGTATGTGGTAGACATTGAAACAAGCATTGAGTGGCTAATGCTGTCGGATATCATCCGCAAAATCCTTCTGGAGAGGAGGCTAGCCTATGTATGGAGTAAACCCAACATATTGTGTGCATAGCCCCCCTTAATCCTATGAAAGGAGAGAAGGCTTATCTACAGAGTATTCTAATCCATGGAAAATCACAGGGAGGCAACCATATTCCTCCGTATAGAGTCTATTTTTCAAGAGACGTTTATCTGCAACTGTAGGGATTTCCTTCACACCCACTCTAGATTTGAAAGCATAATTCTAATCCTCTATTACCTTATGGACAAATACCTTCTGTTAGAAATATTTGTCATATGCATGCTAAAATTCAAATTATGCCCAAAAGCTAATCAAATCACAAGATCGGCAAGTGAAGCGGACTCTGCCTAAGAGCCGAACCTCACTATGCATACAGTTACATACGTACTCTCAGTCACAATGCAGAGTATCGGCCACAAACAAAGCTTATAACCATGCCATGATTCATATTTATTGGTATCATATATTTTAGTTCAGGATCATATCAATGCAATCTCATGAAACCACATGGTCCAGAAAGGTACGAAGAGGAGAACGCAACAAGCATCATCTCAAATAATACAAAACAAAAAAGTCGTAGCTTAGAGTCATGAATATCATCGCTTCGATCCTTGCATCGGCGTACCGCCTAGAGATACACCACCCCTAGCGCCGTATGCCGGCGGAGGCGTAGGAGAAGGCGAAGGCACACGCGGATAATTAAGCGCACCAGTGGACAAATTACCACTCCCCGGCTTCTGACCTTGGCCAGACAGGTCGATGCCCGAAGGGAATCTGCCCGCCATCACCGCCCCCGGACAATGACCCTGTTGTCCATCATGCATACGGCCGACGAGCATTCCCTTTGCCACAGATTTGAGGATCGCTCTGCGTGACACGCCGGAGGCATCGATGTATACTAGCCCGACATTCTTAACGCCGCCAGTGAGATGGGACGTTGCAGCCCTCGCTTCATCGCCGTACTTATGGCCGACCACTGTGGTGGCTGCTAGTGACCCGGATTCCAGAAGGTTGCGGGCGCTTTGTTCGATTCCATCTCCAAGGGTGCTGAATGCGATGAGCGATTTATTCAAAATTCCTGGTTTGTAGTTGTAAATTGGTTTCCCATCTTTGTCAAAGCCTTTAGGCCTAGTGTCCCTCTCGCCCTTTCGAGACATGGAGGCACCGATGTTCTGAGCGTATTTCCCAATTTGTCCTACGGTTTTGGCAGACAAGGAGGCTGCGGAGCTTGATATAGTGTTGATTCTCCTGATATGTGCTTGAGTAGTCGGTGAAAAAGTCATCGGTTTCGCGTTTGGCTTGGTTTTCTTGGTGAAGGAGTCGGCTCCCGATTGAAGAGCATTGGAAATTTGTAAAGATGTGGTCACAAGCAGTCTGGATGCTGCAGCCGCATTCTGAACCAAGGTTGATTTGGCATATACTGGATGGCTCGCGAGTCGGAGGTATTCCGGAGGCGCATTACTGACATTTATCTGATTGCCTTCACCATGACCTGGTAGCTCAATTTGGACAGGGTCTACAAAAATGGTCAGCAAGCATGAAGGGCATAATGGAGAAACTCTCATGGATTGCGCACCTTTTGAACCGGGCTTGACGTCCGGTGATTCGGTCAGGTTGAAACCCTGAGATAGTTCACCCACGACACTTCCATTTTCTTCATCAACAAGAACAATCTGTCCATGTCCTGGTTTCTGTTTCTCCTTTCCACTCCCAACGTATCCTTCGCCGGAACCAAAAGTAGCCGGATTGTATGGCTCGTGGTAGTTCGGAGGAACTGATCGTTCAAGGAACGCAGTGCACTGCGCTAGAATTGTTTCAAAAGTATCGACATCTTCCTGGCTGACTGTTCCAGGCCCGGTACCGACTGGAGGGAATTGGATCCTCGTGAAGGCGCCGGCCTCGGGGCCCAAATCCCAGCGCGGTATAAGATAGCTATTCGGGGGTTGATGGTAGATCTGGGTAGTAGCAGGAAGAGGCAATTCTAGCTCTGGGGGAAGGTGTAAATGAAGGTAAAAGTCCTCTTCCGTGCACTGGGGATTATTGGGGTCTGGCGAAGGAGAACTGGTAGGCACCATTAACAGGGAGAGAGTTTGCGGCCCCGATGTCGTGAGCTCCGATTCCTCTCCATTTTGCAGGTGGAAAGCGCGAATATTATCAATGCTAAAGCAAAGGCGAGGGTCATTAACCGCCTGATTCATCTTTCAAGCAGGCGTTCTCAAAACGCGGCAGTGGGGAAGGAGTTGGGTTTGGGTGCTGGCCTGATAGGATGTTTCTAACCAACAGCTGATGGATTTTGCAAAGGGAAATGATATAACAAAGTTATATTTATTTTGAACCAAGCACAGGAGCTTGGTCTAGGAACGCAGTGAAGATTCCAAAACTTGTATGGCATCTGACCCCTCTCCCCTGGCGGGCAGGAAGACGACGCCAAGGGCACAGCCACACACGGTCGTCACTCTGACCCCTTACTAGGATGCTGATTGGATCGCTATCCTTGGTCAAAACCAGCTGGTGACATCATCCAAAGGGGGTGTTGCACCGCCACATAACCAATGTGGCGCGTGGCTGAGTCAGCGGTTCGCTTTTAACATCGAGTCCGTGAAGAAGGATATTGTAGCAGGGCAGAGGTGATTGCTGGCGCTGGCCTAGTTATGTAGTTATTATTGAGGGTAAAATAATCACGCAACACTACTCCGTAGTGGTATACCTAACAAGCCCACCAGCCAGTTGACACGGTGCAGGTGCTATTGATGAATGTGCTGGCTTCCAGCATGCCCGTTCATCCGCAAATTTTCTCTGGTTTGCCTTCAATCGAAGATGAGGACTCGCCGCAAGTAACCGAGGTTCAGTTTCTAGTGCATCACGTGTAGCTCAACTTTGGCGGCTGTAGATCGGTCTTCGACTGAGAAGACGTCCTCTGGCTATTTTGCTCCGTGCGAAAAATACTGGACTTGGTCGATTTCTTGTTCATCTTTCGATCTGCGCATTTATACTATGGCGTCCATTGCCCGAGTGTTGCGGCCTCTGTCCGCCAGGACCACTCCCTCTCTGCTCTCCTCCAGCCGCAGGGCCGTACCATCCAAAACACTGCAATGGTGAATCTTGACAGCCGTGGGCCTTGAGATTTTGTATTCGATTAACGAGCTGACCCGTCCCCTTCTAGCTCACGCTCTTTTTCCTCAACTTTACAACGCCGCGATGTTGATCTTACGAGCTTGACACCCACCCCCATTACCCTTTTGTCCGAAACTGAAGCCATGATGGCAGAGTCAGTTTCGAAGTTCGCACAAGAACAAATTGGCCCTAAAGTCAGAGAGATGGACGAGGCAGAAACAATGGATCCTGCAGTTGTCGAGCAGCTGTTTGAGCAAGGATTGATGGGTATTGAGATTCCCGAAGAGTATGGTGGCGCCGGAATGAATTTCACATCCGCAATTGTGGGAATTGAAGAGCTTGCTCGCGTTGACCCAAGTGTTTCTGTCATGGTTGACGTGCATAACACTCTCGTTAATACCGCCATCTTGAAGCACGGTAGTGCAGAGATAAAGAAAAAATGGTTGCCTCGCCTTGCGACCAACACCGTCGGCTCCTTCTGTTTGTCTGAACCAGTGTCGGGATCAGATGCTTTCGCCCTCCAGACGAAAGCGACAAAGACTGAGTCTGGCTACAAGATCAACGGCTCCAAGATGTGGATCACGAACTCCATGGAGGCTGGATGCTTTATCGTGTTTGCCAACCTTGACCCAAGCAAGGGATACAAGGGCATTACTGCTTTCTTGGTAGAAAAGGACACGAAGGGGTTTCAGCATCGCAAAGAAGGAAAAGAAACTTGGCATCCGCGCCAGCAGCACCTGTGTCCTGAACTTTGATGATGTTGAAATCCCAAAAGAAAACCTTCTTGGAGAGGAAGGACAAGGTTACAAGTACGCCATTAGCCTGTTGAACGAGGGCCGCATTGGTATAGCTGCCCAAATGACAGGTTTGGCGCTTGGCGCATGGGAAAACGCTGCTGGGTATGTATTCTTTGACCGAGTACTCCAGTAATCGCGGCACTATTAATCTGACTTTGACAACAGTTACATTTGGAATGACCGTAAGCAATTCGGCCAGCTCATCGGCACCTTCCAAGGGATGCAACACCAGGTTGCACAGGCTTACACCGATATCGCTGCCGCTCGCGCCCTGGTTTACAACGCTGCTCGCAAGAAGGAAGCCGGCCAAGACTTCGTCATGGATGCCGCGATGGCCAAGCTTTACGCCTCCCAGGTGGCGGGCCGGGTTTCGAGCTCTGCTGTTGAATGGATGGGAGGTATGGGCTTCGTAAGAGAAGGTATCGCGGAGAAGATGTTCAGAGACAGCAAGATCGGTGCGATCTACGAGGGAACTAGCAACATCCAACTTCAGACGATCGCCAAGTCGTTGCAGAAAGTCTATACCAAATAATCAAAGACACAAAAAAGCCATAGATGATTTGAGCGTACCATGACTTTGGACGGAGGGCGTTTCATGCGTTCCTGTTATAGGGATATGTTTGTATATATATAGCAGGCCTCTATAATGCCAGGCTTTCAATTTTTCTTGTTTAGAACACAGGGCCGCGAAGGGTGGATTGAGGACTCTATGAGGAAAACAGGTGGCAACCGCCAGTTGGAGCGGGAAAGATGGAAGATTAGGTCGTTAACTCGTGAAGCCGCCAATAGCTCTCACTGTTATTTTGCATAACCAATTGGAATTATTACGGATTCTCTCCCTAGAAATCCAAGAACCAAAAAAACCATGGCTCGTCCGTCCCAAAGCCACACCCACAACCACGTTGAACCTCGAGCCGCAAGCCGAAGAAATAGAAGTCCGCGTTAGTCAACCGGTAACCTAATTCAGGATGTCAATACAAGCCCTTTCTTCCGCAATACTATATCCCGACTTACAACAAATCAACCCCAACGAACACCAGGACAATCCGCAAAGACGAAACATTCCCATCGCATCATGCTTTTTATTTCCCCCCTTCCCCATCCAGCACAGTGTGCACAATACAAGAAAAGAAACGCAAAAAAGTAACGTGGAACAAACAACCGACGTTGCTAAGCTTTCTTCGGGGCACCCGCTTTCGGATCTATTCTCGAGCCCTGATGGGCTCCGCCGCCATGAATATGATGGCCGTTGGGCAATAGGTCCAGCCCGTCTCTCGACCGATTCATGGATGCTGCCGTGGCGCCGCTCCGGGTGTATTTCTGGCGACACATACCGAGAACTAGAAATCCGACCAGGCATGTCCAGGCGCCGCCGATGATGAACATGGTCTGTAGTAGGGTGTCCATTGCGGAAAAAAAAAATAAGAACAAAAGCGTTCTGGAATTGAATTGGGTCCCTTCCGAATGCTTTTTTCTTCGTTCTTCCTCCCCGCCCGAATTGAAGAAGAAGTTGCAGACACGCGGCGAGGGAGTATGGATTTTTGAGCCGGAGGTAAACACGAAACGGCGGGTGCCGGAAGGAATTCGAGAAAACTGATAATGGAGAATTACAAGTGCAAAAGTAAGAGAGAAGAATGAAGTCGGAGTGAAGAACCAAGAAAGAAAGCGAACAGAAGAAAAATAAACTCCCCAGTGGGTTTGATAGCGGTCTAGCTTTCTCTCCGCTGCACGAGCACGAGAATGGTAATCTTCAAGGTTCGTTGTTCAAGCCTTACGGGCCGATTTCAAGTCTCTCTCACGATCCTTTGCAGATTTAAACTTCCAAAGAAGAAAAAAAAAGGGAGTAGCGGACGCACAGACGGGAAGCAAAAAGTCGCAGGCGATAGGAAAAGCCACCGCGCAAGTCGCTCTCCCTATATATACATGTTCTTCCTGCGCCGCCATTTCTGTTTGCGAGCGGAGAATAAAGAAAATAAAGGACGGAAGGTAAAAACACGGAAAGACGATCTCGGTCGTTAGTTAACTGTGTGCGAAATCATATGTACGGTTCTGGCTAATTTGTTTGGATGAAACGCTGCCCTGTATGACATGAGGCCATGGTTGCTTCTCTCTTCTCCAATCACTGGGCGCATCTTCGCGGAAAAATGGTAGGGATACCCGGTTAAAATACCACCATGTGCGCAGCAAATTTTTTTATATTATTCTCTGTGTGATGAATCCGGTCTGTTGGGCCGACGGGATTTGAATGCCTATTTTGAGGGCGCAGGGGGAGAGCGAGTTGCAAGCTGTGAAGAGGCCAGTATCGGAGGAAATCTATGCGATGGCCTCTGCGAAACTTTCGTCCTGGGCGCCCTTAATCTTTTTCTCCCGTCTGATACGCTGGCCGGTTCAATCGCTGGCTTCCGCGGGCGATCAATTGTTGGCACGGCTGCGGCTCTTGCCGAAGCGTAAATTTATTATCCCTGCAGCCACGTTATTGGACTGAATTGACAACTTTTTTGTTTGAGAAGATCGCAAGTGCACGCCGTTTGCGGAAAAAACGACGTTCGCAGAAGCAATTATCCGGGGCTGGGAATACACGCCCAAATCTAGCAGAGATATGTAACTAGTGCTTCCATGTCGTGGGTGGACAAATCGTGACTACAGCCTGCTTTGACAGGAACGAGCCTCGCTAATATCGATTCTTGGCCGAACGGGAGGTTTGTCGTCAATGGCAGTGTAACATTGCTACCGCTTTGAGTCGACCTGGGAAAACTCGAAACGGAATCGAAGATTCGCGATGCGACTGCGCCCGAACCTCGGGCTTTCCAGCAGCTTTGTGTCTCGGATAATCTTGATATCCGGCAAAGCTTCCACAGAGTGACTCCTCCGTCATTCATGGGGAGGGGAAATCCTACAGCGATCACCTTCACACCCGCTTTCTACAGGCTTGATTTGGCTGGCTATCGAATATCAAGTGGCTGGGTGGTCAAGAGTTTGAATTGGCACCCGGCGGCCCGTGAAGTCTCTACGCGCCCAGGGAAGTGGGGTACGGAATGATTGGCTTCAACATGGGTCTCCAGAAGGTAGCTTATTTGAAACAGGGCAAAAAGTATGAAGAAGTGAATCCGACAGACTAGGTACGATCTCCCACCAGAGGCTTGAGCGCTAGGTGCGGCGCCAGGAGTCGCTTTATGCTCTCAGAGAGGAGAACCACCGGGCAAAAAGAAAGGAACTCGAAACAGCCATCCACGGAAGGGTCCCGACCCTTGGTTTGAGCTGTGGAGGGCGATCAACCACCCTGCCGGGCGGTTATTCAGTGTTTTGGCTGTCGAGAGCTGTGAAGAAATGCAATGTGCTGTTTGGCTGGAGGCCAGCCGCCCGGGCTATCTATATCCACGCTAGTCCGAGCGGGGACTAGCCCCCCTGCTCCCAGCGCGAACCGATTAGGAAATTCGAAACCTCACGCATCCAACAAGCGACGAGGTTCCAACCCCAGAGCCAGCAATGTTGAAACAGTCTACTGCCAGTGCGCGGGTATATACTCTCCTCCGTTCTAAAAATGAATGCTTCTTGAAACGACAGAGAAATGCGGGGTTTCCATTTCGTGCGCTCTCTGCCAACCATCCTGCCTGAAGGATGCATCGCGTTTCTGCATTCTCTTCAGCCAAAAGCTCCTCCGGTCATTATTGGATGGAGCAAAGAGCCAGGCAATGTATCTATGGCTTCCCGACGCTCTGGTAAAGTCTTTCCTTGGTGCATATATCTGATCGAGTCTGAGCGCGTTTCTATTTTGAAGCTCAGCCACGCTCGCGAGGATACCTGGACGGGACGTCGAGCTAGAGTGTTTCGACGTGAAAGGTGTGCTCAAATCCTATGAACTGAATACACCTTACTCCATCCTCATTGCATAAACGGGGTTGATCTCAGCTTCAAAAAGTACCGCGCTTATTCTCACTTTTAGTTGTATCAACAATCGCCGTGGATTGCCTTGGGGCTCAAATCCATAGGTTCTCAGCGTTTCCAAACTCCCTAGGTTATATTTTCTGGGGAAACTGGAGAGTCTGTGTCTGTCTTTCACTATTGAAGTTCGCAATGAACTTCAATGCGCCTGTCAAGTTAAAAAAGGGCAAACATCCTCTCCCTCGAGAAAGTTCAGACTACAGTTATTGCTCAATTCAAACTTCTATTGATTTGTCTCTTTTGATCCTTGATCCAGCTTCCATATCCCCTTGGAATCAATCTCGTTTTTAGTCCTGACTCGAAAGCACCGTTATCCACACCATCTTCTCTATGCCTTTCCAAAAGGAGCTCCACCGCTGCCGAAACTGCCTTGGATTACCATTCGGTCACGGCAGGGATAGCGAATCGCCTCGCATGTTCCGACCCAAGCTATTCGAACCGCAAAGTTCTTCCTCCCGCTTAGATGACATCAAGATTTCACCAAATGGTATCGGCGGAGAAAAGAGTTTTTCCTTAAGCTCTCTTTATCAAAACCGAGATTCGCTTATCCCTCCCGGTTTTGACCCAAAGTGCAAGATTCCAGATATGCCACCACCTATCGAGCCGTCGGACGGTGTACTTCCTAAGAGGTTATTTAAAAAACATACGGAAATACCTATTCTGGGCTCATCAATCGGAGTCGTTACTAGAGACGGTCGTGGTAGAAGCCGAAAAGCTTTTGTGCGGACCCCAAAAGATCGTCCAACCTCTGACCAACAAGGGAAAAGGCTTCGATCACCGTTGTATTATCCGAACGGTGGCTTTTCGAGTGACTATGTGCCGTTGGATAAAAGAAGGCGACACGTCCCTTCGCAATCCTCATCTTCGACTTTATCGTCTTCATCGTCCTCATCTTCATCATCTTCATCTTCATCTTCATCTTCATCCTCATCCGGTTCCCCTTCCCCTTCCCCTTCTCCTTCTTCTCCTTTTTCTTCTCCTTCTCGTTCCCATTCTCGCTCCCATTCCTCCTCGTCGTCCTCGTCCTCGTCTTCATCTTCATCTTCATCTTCATCTTCATCTTCCTCTTCCGCTTCCTCTCTAGCTCCCGCACCCCGTCCTCCGCGGGGTCCTTCATCGCCGCCACCGGTATCGAGCATATTCATTCCTGTCAAACCCCCCAGTGCTAAACCCTCTCCGGCTCGACGAGAGTCTCGAACTCCCTCCCCGCGCCCCGATAGTGACCCGGTTGGTCGGCCTTCTGGGCCGCGACGGCAACACGTAACTATAGCGCCGGACTCGCGCAAAGCAGCCACGAAAGAACAGCGACGGCCACATATCATCATAGAACCTAAGGAGCGGGTGGCCGCCCCAAAAAGCCACCCACACATAACTATAACTCCTCGCGACGACAACTCGCATCCACATGAGCCACCGCGCTCTCCACCCCGCTCTCCAGCCCGCTCTCCAGCCCGCTCTCCAGCCCACTCTCCAACCCGCTCTCCAGCCCACTCTCCAACCCGCTCTCCAACCCGCTCGCCACCCCGCTCGACGTCGCGTTCGACGTCGAGCTCACCTTCGCGTCCACGGGTAGTTGAAATTGCACCCAAAAAAAAGGTTCATTTCATGGATGATGACCCGACCCCAAAGCCTCAACCCTTTCGAACACATGGCCGACCCAAATTAGGCGCGAATAAAACCATATGCGCCCCTCTTGGTGATCCCGTACTTCGGGGGACTTACAAGTATTGGGTGTGCTAATCCCTCTACTAGCCAACATTCGTTTCTGAGACACTGACAAAAGTCCTAACTGGAACGAGGATTTTTTTTTTCTCTACGATATGTATACTGACACTCTTTATAAGTGCCCCACGTCACTCTTTGTACTCTACTATAATTATTTCCTTTGTTGTAATGTCGGTGATGTCTATACTTATTATGTACTCGGCATGTACTTATGAATGTAATGATGATCTAATATCCCAAACTTTTGTGTAGTTGGCCTTGGAGCCGTATCATAATTTCACTCAGTAGCTAGAGGGTTATAAGAAAGTCTGAAAAGCCAGATCTGGCCGTGAGTTATGCATGTACATGGTTGCTGGGTTTGAGGTGGTCCCGACCCCAAACCTGCAGGCGAACAAATCTCTGAAAAGGACAACTTTGCTGATTTCCAGCCAGCTCAACAACCGAAGAGATGCCTTGAATAATTCAATGACCTGTTATTGTCTATCATCTCCAAAGCATGCTCATTCCATCTGCCTTGAGTTTGCTGTTTTTACGCAACCAAGACGATTATCAACATGACCAAGAGCTACAAAGCTCGCAAGGAAGAGTTCGTCTCCAACCTTGGAGGGGGTGATATCTGGGAGATCAATGCCGTGATATTTGTGGCACAGGTAATTATCGACTCACCTACAATTCCTTGCAATGAGTGGCGGTGAAAGGCTGATGGCACTGGCTACGAGCCTCCCAGTCCGCCGTGCTGCTCTGGTCTGCCCTCCAGTCCCGGCGGTCTTTCTTCTCTCCCTACCAGGTACCCGCCCTCGTCACCGATTTCCTTCTCAATGTCCTCGCCATCCTTTTCGCGACTACTCTCTACTCTACCGCGCCGATTCTCCTAAACATTCTTCTCGTCACACCCGCCATATTCATCCTCTTGGGACGGAAGCGAAACCAACCACCTCAGAAGGCGAAACCACCACCGCAAGTCGTGTCCGCATCTCCACATGGCGCTTCCACGAGCGAGCTTGACCCGTTTCCCGTACGGCCGTTCCTCACCGTATACCGCGGCGGAATGATGGTGGTGACGTGCCTTTCTATTCTGGCCGTTGATTTTCGCGTATTTCCACGGAGATTTGCAAAGGTTGAGAATTGGGGGACGTCGCTGATGGATCTGGGCGTCGGATCGTTTGTTTTCTCCGGAGGAGTAGTATCGGCGCGTTCGATCCTCAAATCTCGAGACCGGTCGGCGGGAACGTTGCCGCGACGATTACTTGCTTCCGTACGCCATTCGATTCCTTTGTTTATTCTAGGCTTCGTTCGACTATTCAGTGTGAAGGAGCTGGACTATGCGGAACATGTTACGGAGTATGGTGTGCATTGGAATTTCTTCTTTACTCTGGCTTTTTTACCGCCGTTTGTGGAGCTGTTCCATGCGCTCACCACGATTATTCCATCTTACGAAGTCCTCTCCCTTGTTGTCAGCGTTGCATATCAAGTTTTGCTGGAGTCAACAACGCTGAAAGAGTATATCTTGGTTTCTCCGAGAGGGCCGTCTCTCCTTTCAAAGAACCGTGAAGGAATATTTTCTTTCATCGGATATCTGGCCATCTTTCTCTCCGGCCGAGCGACTGGATTGCGCATCATTCCGCGCGAAACTCAGCCATCCAAATCCCCCGATTCTCAGAAGAAGGGCTTAATTCGAATGGCAACTTGGACATCAATCTGGACGGTCCTGTTCATGTTTAATTCCCATCATGTCTTTGGCCTTGGAGCGAGTATTCCAGTTTCTCGACGGCTTGCAAACATGCCATATGTCCTCTGGGTGATTGCCTTTAACAATTTTCAGCTGTTTCTCTTTTGGATATTAGAATCTTTATTTTTTCCATTGGTCTACAAGGCCGGCGATCGCAAAACTGAAGCTGAGCGCAGTGACTTCGCTACTAGCAGAATCTTGAGAGCGTTCAATAAGAACGGCCTCACTATCTTCCTGATTGCGAACCTTCTCACGGGGGCAGTGAATCTGGGAGTGAATACCCTGGATGCGAGTAAGGAAATAGCCATTTGTATTCTAATTGGGTATGCGGCATTGTTGACGGCCATATCGTTGGCCTTGGATTACTGGAATGTGAAGTTGAAGATATGAGGCGATGAGGCCTTCAATTAGGCGCTCTTCCGTTTCCTAATTCGTACAGGCGATGGGTTCTAGATGGATGGAGGCGCAATTAGATAGCAAAACCTTAGACACAAACAGTTTCTCTCTCTCCTGCTCCAAACACAGTAAACAAGTGATCTCAATCCCAGTGTTGTTCCATATTCCATTGAGCTGTGATGGCTAACTAGTTAACCGATGCCAAGCCACTCCCAGCTCTCCTTTCACATGCGAAACCCAATTCGGAGCTTCACCCAAAGCTATATATATCAACGCCGATTTCAACACAATTGGAGTCGGTTATTTTGCATGAATCTCTTGTGTTATTCTCAAGCAAAACGGCACTTCGAGCTCAACTATGGCGAACGACGCTACTGAACGTCAATTTTGTCAGTACCCGACAGCCGTCGAAGGTCCGACCGTCCCATACAAGAATGAAGCTACGTCCAACCCTGTGCTTCGGGGTCGGTTGCTCCAAATAGGAGCCTCACTGTAAGCACCCTTCGCACTGGAGGTTTTTTTCCTAATCAGGATTCGATTCTAACGATGAATCCCCTAGGGTTCAGTCCTCCGGCCTTCTTCAGAGCATCCTCTGGAAAAACGCTGGCTTCGACGTTCTGCATACGATAAAGGAATTAGATGACTATGAGCCGCGATTCGATCCAACGGTCTTCCCGGCCAAGAATTACACAGCGCATACTGTACCAAGCCCAGTTTCCGGAAGCACCAAACGCCGGGGGGATTACTACACTGCGGCTGATTATCGTGCGCTGTACCAGTCTGGGGAGCTTACCCCTCGGGCTGTAGTGGACTCGTTGCTTCCATTGATCCGTCGTGATACCTCGCCGCCCGGTGAACATTCTGTTGCATTCTTGCAATCACAGGTTGATTTAATTCGTGCAGCGGCGGACGCTTCGACAGCGAGATACAAGAATGGAACCCCTCTGGGACCGATGGATGGGGTTCCCGTCGCTGTGAAGGATGAGGTGGATATAGCCGGATATAAATGCACGTCAGGAACCAAATTAGATTTTACTTGCAAATCTGGAAAGACATCTTGGTGTGTGAAGAAGTGGGAAGAGGCTGGTGCGATTGTGATTGGGAAAACGACCATGCATGAATTGGGACTTGGTGAGTGACCTGTTTTCTTAATACTCTGTTCGCGGGAACTTCGACCTGTGGTGGCTTACAAGGGGACTATGCAGATACTTCGAATAATAACCCGAACGTGGGAACTCCTAAAAACCCTCACAATCCGAATTATTACACGGGCGGCTCTTCAGGCGGTTCTGGTTACGCTGTTGGTGCCGGAATAGTCCCCATTGCTCTTGGGGCCGACGGTGGTGGCTCAATTCGCATCCCATCAAGTTTTTGTGGAATATATGGCTTGAAATCAACGCATGGCCGTGTTTCGGGAGCCCCAACCTGTGCACTTGCCACAACAACTGGCGTTCTCGGGCCTATGGCGAGCAGTCTAGACGACCTCGAGATGGCATACCATATAATGTCAAGTCCAGATCCGGATCATGTCACATCCTCCGCGTTCCCGGATCCAGCATCCGCTATCGCCGTCAGTGACCGTCCAAAAGTCATTGGGATCTATCAAGACTGGATTAAGCGATCTGAACCGGCTGTCCTTTCTCTTTTCAATCGAGCAATCGAGTACTATCGCACCCAACAAGGCTATGAAATCGTCGATATCACAATCCCCTGCATTCCGCAAGGTCAAAAGGCGCATGCACTCACCATTCTCTCCGAAATCGCTTCTGGCATTTCAAAGGAACAGCTTTCTCATCTCACTGCTCCTAACAAGGTGCTCATCTCATGTTCAAATTCCCAGGTCACATCAAAGGACTTTTTGGTCGCCCAGAAGCTTCGCGCCTTACTGATGGCACATCTTTCATTCTTATTCAAAAAGCATCCAGGAATGATCATTGCAACGCCCACTTTACCGATTCCAGGATGGCAGATTGGCGGAGAATCTGACCTATCGCACGGTATTAGCGATGTTAATACTTCCTTGCGCACGATGGAATATGTCTACTTGGCTAACTTCTCCGGCTGCCCGGCCATCTCCTGCCCTATGGGCTACGTCGAGGACAGCAAGATGCCTGTGGGGATTATGGGGATGAGCGAATGGGGTAGCGAGTGGGCTTTGATTGAGTGGGGACGTGATGGCGAAGGGGTGTTAGATATAGATGAGGATGTCACGGTCAGCAATGGTGCTGAAAATGGTGAGGAAGCAGCTGTTGTGGTCAACAAAGGCTTGAGGGCACCGTCCGCGAAAAATGGAGGGAGGTGGATTGATGCGATCAGTCTGGCGAGGACGAATGGCGGTAATTAATGCTCGATGAAGTGGTGGGTGATCCGCCTTTTCCGTTGGTTTATACCCTGCTTTGCGTGTAGTTATATATTTGCCGGTGTGATTGTGAAAATGCAAGCCATATCATTACTATTGACAATTTCCTAGATTTGGAGGACCCTTGTGCTCATCCGTCACTTGTAGGATACAAATGCGCGCCCCATCTCCCCTTTGCTAAGGATGCGCCACCACAAGCTATCTTCTTCAAATCCATCGTCTTCGTCTTCTTCTTCGACCCATTTCTGCGGCTTTTCGTCACCGCGCTCTCTATAGCGTGTACGTAAAATAATGAAGCTATTCGAGCTGTTGATAACTATCCGAGTGGCCATGGTGTAATTCGATAGGGCGCCACGGTTGGAGCACTTGGGAGATTTCTTTGCTATTAAGTTCCCTTGTGACCCTTCCATTGACAGGAAGATGATCAGGAGGAAGGCGGCTTGCAGCAAGGAATGATGGAGCCAAAGAACGACACTACTGAGAGTGGGAGAACGGAGAGTCCTAGACCCAGATGCGCTATCAATGGCGTTATAACTGTTGGCCGTTGCGGTCCTGGAGGGAGCATCTTACTATCAAGTACTGCTCGACAGGGAACCCTAGGATGGACTCATGTAGTGAAATTTTCCATAGAGCTGTCGGTCATCGCATCCATTCAAACGGATGCCATACGTCTCGAGGTCTAATGCATAGATAAGCTGAAAAAGTGTGAAGCCAGAATGGAAGAGTTGAAATGAAGAGGCTGGGCAGCTAACTATATCAAAGCGCCTCTTTCCAGACCCAGAGAAGTGATCAACTGGACAACATGTCTAGTGAGAAGTTGGCGATACTGGAGTTCCTCTCCTGTCGCGTTGGAAGCTAACCTAGCTGTCGGGGCGGGTCGTCTGGCAGGGAACATTGTTAACGATCTTTAAATAGAACATCTCCAGACTCCAGCACAAAGAGCAACTCGAGGTTCTTTGGCTCCTGGTAGACTGTAGTTGACTCCAGAGGCGGAGTCTTCTAGAATAGCGCCATAGAGTGACGCACGTTTTGTGGCCTGCCTGGCCGTTACACCGCACCAGCTCGGAATTAGTTAGTTAACTAACTAATAACTACTCCGTAGTTAGCGAGTTATGTAGAGATCGAGTGTGCACTGATGGGGGCGGCCTCAAAACCCAGCACTCTTTGACAAGAACCGGCCCATTGTTTGTTCCTATTACTCCGTACGGGGGAGTCCATAATCGGGTCAATCGCAAAATTGAGAAATTGGGGGCTGTACGGAGTACGGAGCAGCGGGTTGACCAGTTCTCTGGGCGGCGTTGTCCAAGCCGTTTCAGACCCTGGCATCGACCGCAGCAGGCAGCGCGTGAGGAGTAGGTAGCATCGAGGGCGTGCCAACAAGTGCTTTCATAAAGGGCGGTCACGATGTCCATCTGAGCTAACTAGATGAGCAAGGAGCCCATTGATTAATGTCGAGAAACCACTTGATTCTGTCGGTTGACGGCGTGGTGTTTATTGTCCGTCTTGTTCCCTTTGCTGCCAAGTGACTTTCTCTTAGTCACATCCCCCACCCAGACGCCAAACCCGCAGCATGACGCCGGTTCCAAGTCTTGACACTCCAGCCTGACGCTTGTCTCATCCAACCTCGACTTCACCTTCATTCTTAGCTGTGCTTCTCTTTGGTCGTCAAGATTGTGTTCCTCGACGCGCCCTTCTCGACTGGAGCTGGTCTTCCTTCTTTGCACTGCGTTGGACTCGCATGATTCCAGGATGAACAATGCTCGATCGTAACCCCGTCTTCACCCCAGTTACAACGCCGCCCATTCACACCACGCATACCCCATCGCCCCAGAATCCCATCTACCGTCAGCCCGACGCCTTTCCACATTTATCGGCGCTTCCACGTCATGGGTATCAGTCGTCGCAGATGAGCGCGAGCGGGAGGAACAACATGGCTCCTTTTGGTGGCAACGTCGGTTCGACGGGCAAGGGAATCTTGATCGGGATCCTTTCTGCCTTTGGCTCGGCGGGCATCGCAGTCGTCGTCCTTGCGGTGTTTTTCTTTTTCAGATATACTCGGCGTGGCCGTATTATCCTCGACCGAATTGGACGACCCGGTGAATACGATGATGAACAGGCCTTTGCGAGGGAAGAGGCTGAGGCCTTGGAGTCGATGGATGAGCTTCAGCACGCTGAATATATGAGAGCTAAAGGTATGCTATGATCATGCTCATTGCGCAAATCTTGGCCTATTCCTAATCTGTATCTCGATAATCCCGCAGCCTTCATCCAAGCAAACCCTCCTGAGTCATCGCAGACCGATATCTCTCTATCACAATTTCTAGCGATTCAAGAAAAGGGCGTTTCCGCATGGGAGTTTGAACCAGAACTAGAAATTGCCAACTGCTTTGTTGAAGCGCGAACTGAGATCGAGTTCTTCGACTCGGAATGCAGCGTCCAAAGTAATTTGCCAGTGCCGAAACAGAACGAAGTTTACTACTGGGAGGCCAAAATATACGATAAGCCTGAAACGAGCTTGATTAGCATAGGCATGACAACAAAACCATATCCCTTATTCCGACTACCCGGTATGCCCGACTCTCTCCTGTTGTGGTTCAGCTAGTCGCTAACTTTGCCCCTCGCCAGGCTTCCACAAAACCTCCATCTCATATCAATCGACGGGACATCGCCGCTATAATCAGCCGTTCAACCCCACCCCCTACGGACCGGAATTCGTCCAAGGCGATGTCATCGGTGTCGGATATCGCCCGCGAAGTGGCACGGTTTTTTTCACTCGTAACGGAAAGAAGCTGGACGATGTGGCCCATGGGCTGAAATCTCAAAACTTCTTCCCGACAGTTGGAGCCAACGGACCTTGCACGGTTCATGTGAACTTTGGCCAGCTGGGCTTTGTTTTCATCGAGGCTAACGTGAAGAAATGGGGCTTAGCGCCTATGACCGGAAGTCTGGCTCCTCCTCCTCCATATGGCAGCGAGCAAGGAAGCATCCTTCTTGAGACTGGCCGTGAAAGCGCACAAACTCCGCAATGGTGGGAGTCATCCCATTCGCGATCTCGAAGCGGTACGGTCAGACCCGGCCAGGGGGATCCTGTTCGGTGTCCTACCGATATATCCCTTGCCCCTCTTCAGCACGTATCATCGCAGCAAAGCGCTGGTGAGGGAACGTCTGGGTCCTCTCAAATGAGAGAAGGCGATGATAGCGATGCAGTACATGCCTCTATGACCTTGGACCAGCCACCCCCCAAGTATTCAAGCCCCACCACGACCCCCCCTAACGGCCAGCCCGGCGATGCAAGAATTGACATTCACCCCGATCCGAACGATCCTCCAATACCCTCCTATGATGCCGCCGTGTCGAGTAGTCCTAGGCCGCGCCAATAAAGAGCCCAGCTTTTTCACCCAATACCGTTTCCTTTTATTCTTATCAAGCGTTTCGAAGTATTTAGACGTCGATCACCCGCTGCAGTATACCTATATTCCCCATCTTTGCTTTTACATGTCTTAGCGATCATTCAGTGTGGTGGCGTTTATCGGTTACCCGAGGAGGTAATGATGCCTTTTGAGCTCATTCTTGTGTTCCTTGGTGGCTTTGCGCCTCAGACGATGTTACGACCCTCCTTTTGTAGGAATATCTTTGGTTCCCAATCGTGCGATGCGGTGTTCGTGTCATATGCTGCTCCTTTCAAGGAACAGCCGCTCGCTGTGTTGATAGCATCCTGGCGATTGTTACAGGCGTTATGTGGAGGTATTTAGTTGATGGCTATGGGATGGGAGTTTGCCTTTAAAACATTCATTATCTTGTACAGATCTTCTTGATATCGTGTGGGCGAACTCCATAGTAGTGATAGCACCAACGTACAGACATAACAATTCCAATATCGGTTGTTTTGCAAAAGGACTCCATCTCTACGGGTCAAAATCCAAAGGTCGAAGAGGCCCCCTCATCTTGCAGCCATGGACTCATTCCACAAATGCCACAGGCCGATGCAAAATGACCCTTTGGCCGCGAGTTACCGGCCTTATCACCGAGACTCGCTAGTACTGAAGTGTCCTTGGGCTCCTGTCGGCGAAGTCCTAGCTGCAGACGCCGCACATCCCTAGTCAGCCAATTCGAGCAAGGCCCATGCTCCACCTGTTGTTTCGCGCCATCGGAACCAGCTCAGTTCTCAAAGATAGGGCTGGTTGCAATCCTGGTTGATGTGTGCAGGCACAGCAGGCTGTGAATTTTTTATGGACATTTGAGCGATCACGCGATGTGCTAGTTAGCCTAAATATCTGTGGCTTCGTGAACTAACTAGCTGCAGGATATCACTGACTAGTTATTATTAATGGCCAGAATACAGTCTCTCGCCATCTACTGGTGGCATTTTGTTTGACTTCCTTGCTTTTTGGCTCATGTCTCTCCAACGGTAGCCCGTCAGGTAACTAACTATAGGAACTTGTGTTTGCTGGGGAAGCTGATCTTAAGGACTTGTATCAGATAATTCAACTAGGCATGATGCCTTTTGCATTCTGAATGAAGTAGAGTCCTCTCTGGATTGAGGAAGAGGTGAAGGTGAGTCTCCCAGCTAGCTATTCTATCAGACAAAAGCAACATGCCAACAGTCCCAGAGGTCTTGCGATGCGTTACACATTTCAACTAACTATTATGCAATGATCGGCTACAGATTCTATTTACGCAGTTGCACCTTACTTTCTACTCCTCACCTCATTGTTTCCCTTGGACAAGCCCAACATCCAACCTGCAGGGACAGTGCAGACAGTGTGCTGACTGCTTCCTCGCATTGCAAGGCCCTTCCTTTCTTTATTGTGCTACAGACTACGGCCTTCTCGACACTGCTGCATATGCAACACGTGCCATTGTTGTTAGACTCTGTGATTGCATTGGTTGGTGCCAGGTGGAATGAGACAGCCGGATGCGCGATTCAACGAAACTGCACTTCAGAATACAGACCATGAGAATAGATCAATCGCACTAAGCGGGCCTCTTGATCTGGATTCTTTACGGAAACCCTGCTCCTGATGCCTCGTCGTGCCGCTGAAGGCGGCAAGGCCGCGGAGCGGCCCAGCAGCCGAGACGACGGCGCATTTCAGGTTATCACACTGGTATGACTCAGATTTCTTTGAGCTATGGCGTGAAGGAGCAACTGCCGATGCTTGAATATGTGTATACTCTCGTTTTACACGCAGCAGTATCGATTGATGCTGACCATATTGTCTCTGCATAGGGCGCGTCAGGCGGACCAATCGAAGATAATGTTACTGGCCTTCTTGTGCGGTCCACAGCCACGAATTGGAGCAAGAATTCTGTCGTGGCTGTCGACGCGGGCGTGCTGATGTCAGGCATTGCACGAGTCCTCGATCGTTATGTGACCACCGAGCGAGACGACAAAACGAAAACCGAAAAGGCCATAGTCACCGGCGGGCCTTTTTTTGGTCTTGACCTCCCAAATCTCTCTGCCCGGGCGAATGCCGCTTACGTATTTCGGGAGATCGTTTCCTCTATCCTTATTACTCATGCCCATCTCGACCATGTTGCTGGTTTGGCGATGAATACACCCGCTGTTGAATTTCAGTCTGGGCCTAAGACTGTCGCTGCGCTGCCGTCAACTATCGCAGCGCTTAAGAATCATGTTTTCAACGATCTCACATGGCCAAATCTCTCTGATGAAGATGGTGGAGCGGGAATGATAACGTATCAACGGCTGGTAGACGGTGGGAATATGAGATTGGGTCGTGGAGACGCGAAGGGCTACGTCAAAGTCTGCGAAGGCCTGGTTACAAAATGTATGGCCGTCAGCCATGGTACGTGCAAGCAACGGTACAACCCAGAAACTGGGAAACATCATCGAGCAGAAAGCGCGGTTTTCGAGTCCATCTTACTTCCATCCCGGCGAGTATCAATAGATGCATCAGACATAAGGTCAGTGTGAAGTCCTTAACCTTGGATTCTGAGCTCAGCTCATCTCTGTCCAGGACATTCTCTCCTGCTCATCACGGGGGCAATAGTAAAGACCCATCTTTAGCACCAGTGGAGAGCTCCGCTTTTTTTATCCGGGATGAATCGACAGGCGCCGAGATCCTCATTTTTGGTGATGTCGAACCAGATTCGATTTCTATAGAGCCTCGAAATGCTGGAATATGGGATTCTGCCGCCCAAAAAATAGCTTCCGGCATCCTTCGTGCGATTTTCATCGAATGCTCTTATCCTGATTCAACCGAGGATGAGTACCTCTATGGACATCTCTGTCCGCGCCATCTATTGAAGGAATTATTAGTGCTAGCGAGCAAGGTGCTGGATTGCCAAAAGCCGCTACAAGCGGCATTTGAATCTCGAAAACGAAAACGAGCATCCGTTCCCGGCTTGCCTTTAGAGACTCCGGAACAACCTCTCAGCCCAAAATCCTTAAGACCCCGTAAGTCGTCGAAAACCCGGGAAGAAACTCCAGGTTCATCCGGGAAATCAAGGGCAAAAAGCATTGGTGATTATCATGAGGCCAAAAAGGCAATCCATGTAGGCCCCTCCGAAGCCGAGTCCGAACGGATGAACGTTGATGAAGCTACTCCTACCCAACACCAAGCCACATCGTTACAAGGCTTCCGAGTGTTTATCATTCATGTTAAAGAATCACTTATGGACGACGTCTGCCCCAGGGACCAAATTCTGGAAGAGCTGCGAGACGGAGCCCAAGCACTTTCGTTAGGATGTGAATTCTACGCTCCCCTTTCTGGAGAATCGGTTTTTATTTGAATAAGGCTATCTTGGGCTTTTTATTCTACTAGCTAAACAAAGCATGGTTCAAATGTTCTGGTGCCCTAGGCGACAAACACGTTGTCTTGCTTTGGGAGCGTTAGATAATGTTTAACTACTTCTTTAGCCAAGTTTTGTGAGTATGGGCTATGATTATTATGATTTAGTATGGTATGATACTTGAGTACACATTGACTGGTAAAGTCATTTGGTGTTGTATGTGTTCACCAAGCTCTTGTCCGTTCATTCAAAGTTTATCTGCAATTACATAGAATACCTAACTAGCGAAGTGAAGTAGGAAACTTGGGCAAAACGTAGGTGAAGAATGTATGGGATTTCGTTAGTAGTTTCTCAAGAAATCTATGAAGTTACCCATTAAGCATTCCTCCAGCTGGACTAAGCATGACACTGTTTTATCTATTCTATCCCATGATTCCCATGGACAAAAGTAATAGGTGTGCCTTAGACTTGTTCACTAAAGCGGCGAGTGCAGGACGCTACTTAGTTAAGTGCTTGGGAGACGAGACGACCAAACTCTTGCATATTACATCCTGGCGTTGCAAACTACAAGAGAGCATCATAGCTGTTGTTCTAGCAAAATCTACATTATCAGCGGGCTCACATACCATATATCTGGATCCTTTGAGAAGCCACAAATTTGCCCAGCCCTGGATAGAGATGAGTGGCAACGCATCTCTGGAGGATGACACTCGCGGCCATACGTATTCCATTTCCATCCAAACACGGGGGACAACATTGGATAAATATCCCGGTTAGTTGTTCGCAAAGGTTTTTAAAACAAAAAGATTCGGTGTAATACCCCCGAGAATTCCCGCTGACCAGCTTGTGAACCAGCCAAACAACATGCGCGCAGGGTTGCAGCGCAACTTGGAGCCAGAGATGGCCTGATATACCTGATGGGCCAGCAGACCCGTCCCCTGGAGGATTCCGACCAGGGACGGCCCTTTCGGCAGAGACGATACTTTTTCTACATGTCAGGTGTTGCTGAGCCTGACTGTTATCTTACCTACGATATTACATCCGATACTTTGACGCTCTATGTCCCTGATTTCGACCTTAGGCGAGCAATTTGGATGGGCCCAACGCTTGGACTGGCAGAGGCTCGGGAAAGGTAAGGTTCTTTTTTACTTCTTTTCATATTTTAATGGTTCAAATGTTGAGAAAAATCTTACTTTATTTTGATAGATACAATATCGACCAAGCAAAGTATCGTAGTACTCTCGAGCAGGATATTCTCGACTGGGCGAGCAGGCGCGCCATTGGATCCGTCATATATGTGATCCACGACAACCAGAAGCCAGTTGTGCCTTTCCCTTACCTGAAATTTAACCATGAGGACCTCATCCCGGCAATGGACACATGCCGGGAAATTAAGGATGGACACGAAATCGGCCTCATCAGACGTGCTAATGAGATTTCGACGTCTGCCCACACCGAAATCCTCCGGAACATATCCGGCATGCGAAACGAAGCTGAAATCCAAGGAAAGTTCTTGGACTCATGCGTTTCGCTTGGGGCGAAGAACCAATCGTATGAAATCATAGCTGCCTCTGGTGAGAACGCCGCTGTCCTTCACTATACTAGGAACGACGAGCCACTCAAGGGCCGCCAGCTTGTCTGCCTGGATGCCGGCGCTGAATGGAACTGCTATGCGAGTGACGTGACTCGGACGTTTCCGATGCAACCGCGCTGGCCTAGTGCAGAGGCCTTCAGCGTGTATTCGGTGGTGCAACGGATGCAGGAGGAATGTATCAAGCGTATCAGCGAAGGGGTCAGATATCTGGACCTCCATATTCTTGCACATAAGATTGCAATTGAGGAGTTGCTCCGGCTAGGCATTTTCAGAGGCGGTTCCATAGCAGAGATTCTGAAATCAGGCGCGTCGCTTGTCTTTTTCCCTCACGGACTGGGCCATCATGTGGGATTGGAGGTTCATGATGTGTCAGGGAGATCGCTCATGGCGCTTGAAGAACAGGAATACCAGGGTCTGCCGCTGCGTGGTTGCCGGGCGCCCTGTACACTCTCGGCTCCACACCTGAGAGCTGGCATGGTCGTGACGGTGGAACCTGGGATATACTTTTCGCGCCTGGCGCTCGACGACGCAAAGCAGAAACCGTTGTCGAAATACATCGACATGCAGCTGGTGGCCGAGTATATTCCGGTGGGCGGTGTTCGGATTGAAGATGACGTCCTGGTTACGAGGGACGGGTGGGAGAACCTGACCAGCGCGCCAAAGGGGAGGGCGATGCTAGATATTATCGGGGAGGGTGCCCGGTTACGTGCATAGAACGGCGATTCTGCTAGTAGCAAGGATTTTTTGATTGCTCAGTCGGGTTTTAGATGATTTGTTGAGCAGTACAGAGAGTATCAGACGTAATTTGATCCCGATGGCATCACTTCGAGAAGCCAAGAACAGGCTGCATCACCACCTCACGCGAACCTTGGCAGCAATCCCGGTCGCGACAGAGCATGTTTGCCGCCGGACGGCCATCAGGCACACAGTCTGAGGCTTGATGCTCTGTGGAAAGAAGAAAAGCTTCTCTCATTCAAAGCTGCTCAGTGACCGGGACCGACTGACCGTGCTGATGAGTCACCAGGCGCCACGGGAAGTGTTCCCATGCTGGCGCCCGTTCCTGATGATCAGCCAGAAAATTCTGCTCGGCCGGATATCGCTGGCTGCAGTGGGCCTGGCTTGCCACGCTGCACAGAGACCGGCCCTTTATTGGATCAGCCCACAGTTTCGTCATCAGGCCAGGCCTCCGACAGCGAATGTTTGGCGATATTCCGACTTTTGGATCGTCATCTCGTCCGCTTTGGGTCATCAGGCACCGAAATCAGGGATGTGACTCACCTGATAGGCTCCAGCGCTTTTGCATATATTATCCCCAACAATGACTCTTCGTCGTTTGTCTTCTCTGCCCAGCATCTCCCCATTTAAAGGGCCCTTGTGCTCTTGGGGTTGTGCTCGGTGGAAGGTGGTCGTGAGTCGCTTGGGTTAAGAGATATATCCCAACTTACCTTTGACAGCCACTAGTTAACTACTCATCGGCCTTTTTGACGATTCGTTAACTGCCATTCGAAAGAGCTATGGGTCAAAAGCACAACCGCCGTCGAACCCGTCATCGTCCAAGAAACCGTACCAACGCCGTCGCCAAACGATGCCCTCAGTATGCACCCGACCTTGCTGGGCCCCAACCTCTCTATCCTGGTGGCGCTTATGTTGCTGCTTCGTTTCCTTCCTATACGACACAGGTTTGCCAGCCAGCATCGGCCCCGACCTGGCATAGTCGGTACCTGACATCGCAAACCCGAGATCGTCGGCAATATCTATCCGCCTCGAGATGGGAGGCTGAGCAGTGCCGGCTTTTTGGAGGCGAACCTGGCGATGATGTTGATTTGTGTTACCGCATGCTAGAATACTTTGGTGGATTGGATTACATCGATACGTGAATCATACCTACCGTCTCCTTGGTGGTTTTCTTAATCGGGGTTTCTCCTCCCTCCTCCATCCACGCTGTTATGCAAGGACTCATCACCGCGAAATCCCACCGAACGGGACTGATTGTTATTATGCAATTCGATATCAAGAGTCTGCGAACATGAACTCAAGCCGCTGGTGCGAATGTGAAGCGATTGGGCAGCACCTCCACTGACTACATCGGTTGCGTGCACGACTAAGTCATTACGGAACATACCCTCCACCATCGACAACCACACACCTATTTGCATCGATAGTCGGCACGAGAGCAGTGGATTAGCATGAGGTATCTGACTTGTAGCAATGAAGGTGCAATCCGACATGTCTTCAAGCTCGCTCGCTTTGAACACAAACGTTTGCACTGGAATGGTCCTCTATCTCCTCATCCCACTAGTCTCTACGTGATCCTTACGCCCACCTCCTCATCGAATGGAGTTGACGGCACTAGGAATACTTCAACCATTCCTTACCACGGACAACGCCTAATACGACGGGTGGTGCTCGCGACCCAGTGTGCTTTGATTGCACCCGGGCGCTTGAGCTCTCCGTCAAGGCTTGTCTGACAAACATCCACATACCTCCTCCACGGTACGGCGATCCGCGAAAATGCAGAGAAAAGTAAGGAGTTCGGCTTTGTTCAAATAGACAAAAAGTTTTGTGAAATTCTTGGGGGAAAAGAAGGGACAAAAGCTGAGATATAGAAATATGACCTGATGCTGTATATGACTCTTAATAGACTCCCTTTGTTTGATGGAACAGTGCTTCCTTGTATAGATATATGGCGGTTATTTTGTATAAAAGTTCTGATAACTCCTTTGTCTCTGCTGGATGATCGCCCGTGAAAATGCTGCTTTGGGAGTGCATGATTACCTAAGCTAGCCGATCTGCGTCGGATCATAAACTTAGCCGAATCGAGTAAGGCGCCAATGGTGCTAGGTAGAATTAGGCTTAGCCTGTACCAGCACCCTGCCGCGCTAAACCCGACTCGGACCCTCCGGTGCTGAAAAGGCCACGGTGCTATGAGATGCTTGATATCGCGGCAAACGGGATTTCTTCATGGTCTTGGGTTTACTCGACTACTCTTCACGCAGTTATTCTTGATTCCATACTCTCACTGCTTGGAATTAATCTACTCGATGGTTGGATTTGTCTAATTGAGCACCCTCTTTGCTCCATGTCCGCCACCCGTACGCTTCTCCAGCTGTGATAAGTTCAAACGAAGGCGGGCTTTCGCCGCACGCGCGCAGCAACGATGTCTTCGAGAGATTATACTTATGATGAGCAGGTGGGAAACTCGTCTACTCCCATACAACGAAATCAACTTTGCTAAACACCGTTAATTTCAGGGTCAATTCTTTCCCTTCTTCATCCTCACGCTCACTGGCCTTGTGACGCTCCCGCTCACTTACACACTCCTCAAACCCGTCAAAGGTAATGCCATCTTGCTCTAGGGGGCCGCGTTTTGTGCCTATATCGTGTCCCGGTTCCACAGTATGCTGATTCTTCTCCGCCGCTCCAGGCCTAGAAACCTCCGCACCGAGGATACAGTCCGATTTCAAGCCTCAACATGCCGATCTTATTCGGGGTCAAAAGCAGAAGCTTTTGCGCAAAGAGCGCCGGATAAAGCGCATGATTACAGTCGTTGCGGGCTTCGCAATCATGGCTTATATGGTATATCTGATTGTCGTCACCCAGAGGGCGATACCGAAAATATGGGACCCCTACGACATATTGGGAATCTCACGCGTAAGCTTAGTCTCTCCTGTTATCAGTTGCCTTTTGTCTTCGCAAAGGTCATCGGCTGAAGTTAATTTGTTCCTATAGAGTGCAGATGAAAGGGCCATCAGCAGACATTACAAGCGACTTTCGATGAAATTTCACCCGGACAAAATCAGACCTGATCCTGCGAAAAATGAGACGATAGACATGTTGAATGAGCGTTTCGTCGAGTTGACCAAGGCTTACAAGGCTTTAACCGACGAAGAAATTCGAAACAACTACCTCCAATATGGCCACCCGGACGGCAAGCAAAGCTTCAGTATTGGTATTGCCCTACCCAAATTTATCGTTACGGAAGGAAACGGCAAATACGTGCTCCTTGTCTATGGCCTTTTGCTCGGTGTGCTGCTCCCATACATCGTAGGCAAATGGTGGTATGGTTCCCAACGCTATACTAAAGATAAAGTCCTTATCGCCAGCGCCGGAAACATTTTCCGAGAATATAGACCAGACATAGTTGATGGTGGAATAATCAGCGCTCTCAGCACCGGGGAGGAATTTAACCAGATGCTCGACGATGAAAAAGCTCATTCCGGGTTGGCGACGGTAGAAAACAAGATTTTGGCGGAAACTAAAAATGGTACTCTTGCAGCCGGACTATCTATGAAAGATCGCCAGGCATTGAGTGAATTAGATGACGAAAGGCGGAGGAAAGTTCTAGCATTACTCTGGGCATATCTCGGGAGGGTTGATCTCGAGAATCCAGTCCTCGATACCGGTAAGCGTTCCTCATATGATATCAAGAATATCGTTATTGACAGCCCGCAGAAAAATACGAAGTTGCCCCCATTGCCCTTTCCCTCAACGATGCATTCACATCAATTTCTCTTTCGTTCGGAAACCTACAACCCATCCTCGGATCATTCCAGACTGCACAGCACCTCATACAAGCGATATCCCCCGGCTCATCGCCTCTACTCCAATTACCATATTTTACTCCCCACGTAGCTCGAAATGTTGAAGGAGAACACTCGAAGCACCACATGACAATCCAACGATACATGAAGTTGTCTCCGGAATCACGGAGGAAACTCACAGTTGGCAGTGGGTTGCTCACAGAAAGCCAATACCAATCGGCAGTGTCTGTTGCGAAGCAGATCCCAGCATTGGAAGTCTCCAAGGCATTTTTCAAAGTGGTCGGAGAGAAGGTCATCACACCCAGTAGTCTTGTTCAACTCGTTGTCAAAGGCCGTTTCATCCCTCCAGGATACTCTAATGTGCCTGAAGTTAATGAAGCTGATCTCGAGGATGTTGATTCTGACGAGGAAGATGCCGGTTCGAAGCCGGGCCCCAAGGGTGCAAAACCCAAGGCCGAAAAGCAACAAGATGAAGTTCAACCACCACTGGCCCACGCCCCTTACTTTGCGCGTGATCACTCGCCACGGTGGCACATTTTCCTCGCAGATGTCAAATCCGATAGAATGGCTGTCCCTCCATTTACATTCACAACCTTCGATAAGCCCATTTTTGATGAGAATGGCAAACCTACCTTCAATATGCAGACTTTGAAGATGCAATTCCAGGCCCCACCTCAAATTGGAAGCTTTCCCTTTACCCTTTACGTTCTCTGCGATAGCTATATTGGATTTGACACCTCGAGAGACATTGTTCTTGAAGTCGAAGATTTGACAAAGGCGGCACAATTGGCGGATGAAGATGAAATCAGTGAGCCAGATGAAGGTAAGGCAACAGCTAATTCCTATAACAAATATTGGTGTTCACAATTATACTAATTTTCAACACAGATTCACTTGCTGGCCAAATGCAGGCTCTGAAAACCGGTCAAACACCGGCACCCAAGAAAAAGCGGGCTGCTAAGGACGAATCTAGTGATGACGATGAGAGTGATACAGAAGGCGATGTTGATGATGATACCAGCGCGACTGACACGGAGACCGATACGGACGGAGAATGAATCAAGCAAAGGAACCTGTATATGTAATTGAGCGAGGTTTCTCCATGATACACAAAATTTCCATGCCTCACTGTCTATTTCTTTTCCCACAGGTTTTTATGGCGGGCCTTATAAATTTCCTGTCTCGGTCATATTGTGAAGCACCCAGTTCTTTATGGCATTTTGTCGTGCCAACATAGCTGTTTTAGTGATTTTCTTCTGACAGATTAGAATGGTTTGTCAACACCATGATTGAATTCCCAAATCCATCTTTGATTGCCAATTTCCCCCTGGCTCGGGGGTAACAACTACCAATGGAGAAGTGAAGCGCTCAGAAAGCGTATTCCGCAGGACTCTTGCTAAATCTCACAACGTCCGTGGCCGCCAGCATGATGGGCAAAGGGAGCTTATGTAGACACCTAGGAAAAAGGGATAAGGCGATATTATATATAACTAGCTTACTGGGAAATCCATGCATATCTGATAGCGGAACTGAGGGCATAACCTCACACGTTTTTCACCATCATATGGAGTTGAACAGAGATTCGTGTATCAAATTATAGGGACGCATACCACCAATTCATCCTCACCATTACAGCGTTTTCCAAAAAAAAAAAGGGGAAAGAAGAAAGGGAAAAATTAATTATATCCAGATAGAATCACCCCATGTGTCCGTAGCCGGCAGGGCCCATATGCCCTGTACCGTTATGTTGCGCGTAGTCTTCGTATTTCAGAGAAGTCATTGCCGAGAGAGAATTGTCGTCATCAATTGCCTCATCAGCCGAAGCAAGATCTTCCTCAGTGGAAGGAAACTAGAGAGCCATCTTGGGCGTTAGCACAGAGGCGCAATCGGTACCGCCGGGCCGCCAGCCCTGTCCATAACATTTGCTCACATCCTGGGGGAAGTTCGCCACTTGCCTCTGCTAATGCATTCCGGATATCTTGCTGCCTGCTTAGGTCTTGTGCTGGTAGCAGCTGCTTCAGAAGACTCTCATACCGCTCCACCTTGGCAGCCATTGTTCTGGCATTTCTGGTATTGGAGTCACTCAGCGGGCGCCAACAGAATAGAAGAGGATGCAAACAGCCCAAATGAATCGAACAAACTTTCCCCCATGACAACATTCAAAATGTGGAGGATCAACTGGGGTCGACTCGCCGTTTAGACGCAGCTAGAGAGAGGGCACAAGTGGTGGACTCACTGCTTCAACATCTCCCTTTTTCCAGCTTCATAATGGCACTCAATCTCCTGATCTCTGCAGCGGCCGCATGACGGTTGAACGCCGTCACACTTGGATTTCCGTTGACGACACATTCTGCAAGCATGGCTCACACGCTGGCGATCAGATCCAGGGCTGGAGTGCTTTGACCCTAGGCGCTGTAGCCGTGGAATGGCCACCTTCAGCTCTGTTTGGAACGATGGAGGGGTCGGAGTATTCCCCAGATCAGACCCCAGGGGTGAAGGCGCGCTAGGGATCGGATAGTTGACGGCGTTTGGCGAGGGCGAAGCAGCGAGGTTGAAATGGTGAGGTTGAGTTAGGGGCTGCCCTGCTTGGCGTCGTTGGACGGAGAATCTGTTGCTATCCATCATTGTCACGTTCAAATCTCTCAACTCCCAATTGATATCGTGGAGCACCACCGCGAATCCCGAATTGGTCATGTCCGGAGAAGTGGGCGTATATATCTACTCATGGCGAGCAAAGCAGGAAAGCCAAAGAAGCTGGTGAGTGCAAAAAGGCTCCCCACAAGATCCTAGCTGACATTCATAGTGACGCGTAGGGCTCCCGGATCATCCCTCTACCCTCCATCGCCTTTTCAGCTTGGCTGCAAAGCAAGATGCACCTAGTTAGGGGTTAGCAGATTGTGTGAAGGCGAGTTTCTCGGAGAGAATGCCAATTGTCAGGAGAAAGTCGATGACCTACAAGGCTTCAATTTGACAAGGCCAGAAAGATCTCTTGAACCAGGGTTTTACAACGAAGAGTTTGAAGTGCGGCTCGTAAACAGATTCACCTTTGGTCGAATAGGAACCAACGAAAACAACCAGCCAAGGAGGAGGTGGCCGTTTTGAAATTCGACATCCTTGACTTGCATCCCAACCAGGGATACACGGCTCGATCCCCCCTCATAGCTGCATACTGGGACTGGGAAGGGTCATCGCTTATGGGACAGCCACAGATCCGAAAAGAAGGTCCATGTTTCCACCAAGGCGCTTGAACCCCTGTTCCAGACTTCACTGTTCCCTCGATGGTGGCCATGGAGTAAAACTTGGCAAATGAGAATGGGCGAACTCTGTGCAGACTGTTGGGTCTGATTGAGATGTCAGATCTCAAGTCGGTTTGTTTTGCGATGCTATGATGTGCATCAACCTCGGGAGACTGCACGCCAGGCTCCAGCGAAGGGGCATGGATCATGGCTGCAGGCCGGGATCAATTGGCAGTTTCTCCTCTCGCACGGGTTGCGAAACGTACGTATATCTCCTGAGCTGGAGGGTTTTACAGTCCTGGGCCGCGAACCATACCCACAGCCTGTCCCCTAATTTGTTGAAAGCCACCCCATGCCTTCGGGGAAGCCCAAATGCAGCAGCAGTTTACAACAGTTTGGCGAATTTGGCGAACTATTCTCCGCCAAGTGGCAGTGCTGATCTCAGATTCTTTTTACTCCGTACAGACAGCTAAATAAACCCAGGCGAGGGAGGGTGGCGACTCGGAAAAGGGCGTTTGTTCAACTCCTGGATATCGTACTCCGTATGCACTTATGCTTGATGTACATTGCAGGGACGTGAAGTTGGTGGTGCTGCTCGTTCAGAGATCCGAGCGTCTACCTGATGGTTGGGTCGATAAGGACATGTGTCCATCGATCGAATAGCGTTGAGCAACGTCCAAGGATGACTGAAACGGGAATAAGGCCATGCAGCTCCGCGCTTTGCGCTGTCCTCAAGCCTCCTATTTGCTGGCACTTTTCGAACCCCACGGAAACCAGCGAGTGTGCTTGCAGCAACCATCTGGAGGATCGTGGCACCGCGCTTCGACCTCTTATCGTGGACTGATAGTTTTGGAAACGCAGAAGGGACGGATCGCTGCCATCAGTCGGGACCCGAGACACATCCGCCGGGAGAGACAAATCACTTTTCAACAAGCTTTATGATTTGCGATTTTAGATCTGGGGTCGGTGGCTTCCCCATACCGCGGTGCCTTCCCGTGTTTCGGGGTTCTGCAGGTCAGAAAAAGCAAGCTGCAGAATCTGGGCCTCCCTAGGATGAAAAAGGTTGCTTCGAGCCACTCTTCCCGCATGCGCGCGTGGGGAGAGCACGGCCGTTGCATTTTGGATCAGCGTTGTTATCCAATCCCATTCCCTGACGCTTTCTAAATGTTGCTGAGTTGCATTAGATTGCGGCTTCGTCCTATGTTTTTGTCCAACTTCCACGGGGAAACATGCTCTCGAGGGTGTCTTTGATGGATACATATGTTGACTCATCACTTTTGATGTCTAACCGGATATCAACCGCTTGCTCGCCTCCAAATTCGTCAGATTTTTGCCCATTGGTTTTGATGCTCAAGGATCCGGGTATATGATACCTACAGAAATATGATCTTCGCTCTCCCCCCTCATTGGGGTTAACGACTTCATTACCCATCTCTGAAGACCTTGCGCAGCTGTAGGTAGCCCTTCCTAGATTTGCGGTTGTCGAGACTCCAGTGAGAAATTTTTCTAGCAAAACCCGCTTCCCCAGAGGACGCCTATTGCTAAACGTCTTTAGGCAAATATTTCAAGGATGGATCGAACAATCCCAGCCCTTTTCAGCCTCAGACGCAAGATAATGTCAAGTTCTTTTCGAGTTCATGTTCTTGACGGGTGAGCGCTCGGGCCCTGCTATCCTCCATGAATGCCCGAATAGCATCTGTCCACAGATGCCCAAAATTCCTTGGGCCATGTCCATCGTGTTTGAACAGAATCTAGACTGCTCCAGCCCTTTGATTGCGCAACACGAGACCCCAGCAACGACAAAACGGACTTGCAATCATATATTGACAAGTCGAATAGAAAAATATGTCTGTTGCAGACTAGAGGTATACGGACGTCGAACCGAAACACTATCCTCTGGCTGGACCAGTCGAGAATCCATGCCTTGTCGACTCAGCAGGGTAACGGCGCAAGTTTTTTGAGTGATTACGATCAGTGAGGCATTCGGAAATCCTTGAAATGCAGCAACTGTCTCCACGGATGAAGGGCTCCATCAACTCTAACCGCCGGCTTCTGCTGGCTAATTATTCCAGTTTTTGGGCATCAAAAACGCGTTTCGACCAACACAAGGGCCTGAGCTGAAGACTCAATGAGCAAAGCAGAAGAGAAGAGAAAGAAGGCTATATTGGTGTGCTTGAGAATCGACCCAATGCTTTCTACGATGGCTTTCCTGCGAATCTGGAAAGATAAGGATATCCCACTGGTAATGATAGCCAAACAGACAGCGCTTGAGACAATGCACAAAACATCCCACCTTTCTGAAGTCCGGTGTCAATTCAAAACACACGAACAAGCTCCTCTATGAGCGGAGATCGGATTTTCAACTCCTCGACGATTTCTTCCCAGGCCTTTTCTTGAAGCCTTTTGCCTTCCTCCGTAGCCACCAGAAATTGCGACAGGCTGGAAATAAAGGGGCAATCAGCGATGTTTGCGGCGCTAGATCAGAAAAGTCAACTTACTCGGGAAAGGCATCGTGCGTCCAGTATTTTCCGTGCGAATCCTCTCCAAGCAAGGTTGCGCTGACTAAAGACCGGCTACCTTGCTCTGCTGTCCTGCCAACGATGAAATAGAAAATGGCACCGAAAAAACGCTCTACAAAATTTGTTTTGTAGTCCCTCTCCAGATTTGTAGTACAAAGTCCCGGACACGCAGAATTCACGATGACACTGGGCTTCCCGCTTTCCTCAAGGGTTATCAACGCGATGCGTTTAACGGCAAATTCGAGCAAAATCTTGGAGGTTCTGTATTGGGATAAACTGTGATACTTTGCTTCTCTGTTGATATGTTGGAGGATGGGCTTATTATCAGGGCTAACAAGTTCGCTGCGTTTAACGAACTTGTGTGTTCCGCTAGAAGTAAAGGTGAGATGTGCCTGTCCTTCTTCTGTACAACTATCTCGTAGTTTTGGAAGAAGCAAGAGCGCTAGGAGGATGGTTGATAGGGCGTTGACTTGGATGGTCTGCTCCCATCCCTCTGGAGAGAGAAGATATTCCCGATTCAAAGCTCCTGCGTTCAACAGAACGATATCCAACTGTGAAAGCTCCTTGTTCACCCGTTCTGAGAAGGCAATCACGCTATCATAGCTATTCAGGTCCAACTGCCATACTTGCACGATGTCTTGTCGGCCGCTGAGAATCTCGATGGTTGACTTCGCTTGGTTTCCTCGTTCGATACTGCGACAGCCTAGTATTACCGTAGATGCCCCGAGATTGACGTATTTAATAACTGCTTCAAGGCCGAGGCCGCAGTTGCCGCCCGTCACGAGCACGGTTTTGTTCTCAAGCGATGCCGTTGGGTCGACAGGCGGAGTGAAACGCCCCTTGAGCAAGCGATATAAGCCAGTTACCATTGAGGCCATGTCTGGTGAGTTGCAAGGAGCAGTAAATAGGAGAGGTGAGGAGGTATGGATAGGGCAATGGAATGTAGATATGGCTCTTTGGGTTGATCGCAAACGACAGGTTGTGTGTGTGAGGGTGCCCACCTGTTGCTGGGAAAATTGAAGTTAGCGAAATAGCCATCTAACATTGAGCTTTAGAAGTACAAGGTTGTTCCGTCCCCTTGAGAAGGAGAGTTGTCAGGAAAGATCAAGAATGGCATTGTTGTTTCCATGTGGAATGATAGTTGATGCACAAGAGAAACAGCTGAGGAGAGTGCAGAGGAGCTACTCCGAACGGAGTACTCTGCATGGAGTACGGAGTAGTTACTTAACTAACTATTAACTAGTTAACTAACTATTAGTTATTTAACTAAATTAACCGGCTAACTGAATAACTGAATAACTTAACTAACTACTTGGTTAACTAGTTAGTTAAGTTAAGCTGTAGCTCCAACTCCATGAACTCTTGGATTCCCAAGGTTGATATCTTCAAAGTATCAACACAATCCAGATATGCAGTTTGAGTTACTCTGTAGTTAGATCAGAAAGCAAGTAACTACGATAGCTTTCCGGGCTCCCAAGCCATCCTGGACCCAGCCGAAAGCAATTCATTTCCTCTCTAAGCTGAACTAGAATCTGCATATGATGATTTCAAAATCAACATTACACCCTATTCGGTGCCGAGTAAGTGGAAATGTCTTTGAGTAGCAGCTGCTGGAGCATTTATCATTAGTTGAACAGTGGGGTTGCAATCACAACTCAAAGTGTACTTGCCAATTGGGCCATACCTTCAAATAAAGTATCTGATGTATTGAATGTTCCCAAGAGCCGTGGGCCATTCCAACTGGGTTCTCCAGGATCAGTCAAGGCATAATTGGAACACCCCATCCCAGGCCTCCAATGGTTGTTGCGCTAGTAAATAGCTCAGAACTGCGACCACGAAGCCGGAATCAAGCATATATGCGACCCTTCTTACACAAGCTGAGAAGGGAGACCAATGTTTAAAACATTTACATGATTGAAGTATTGTCGATGGCTTCACAAACGACGGTTGCACACCAAAAATTCTTGTATACTGTGTGACCTTGCACCAGGAATTCGAAACTCCACAATTCTCATGGTATTCCAAGAGAAATGTCAAAAGCCTATATCCAAAAAACCAAAACGACCGTCTTATCATCTCCATTTCGCCCGCTGGACACCGTTATCTTCAACTGGTTTGGGTATGCAATTCATGCCAATGTCTGGTGTATAGAAAGTCCAATGATAGATAATATATGAGGGATCAAATAAATGTAACAAAAGAAAGTGACAAAAGATAGTGGGTATACAGAGTATCGGGTCCGTGCTTTCCATATAAATTTCGACTAGGGCTGTAATCCAGGGCTTCCAGCCGAAAAAGAAGGGCAAAAGGCAAGAGGGACTTGATAGAGTAGCTAACAACGAGATGGCACGTGAATGAACTGCTGTTATCAACGAATAGCTTCTCATATCTCCAAGAGAAACAAGGAAACCAGGTAGAGAATGGTTTTGTAGCTGTGTTGAACTCGAATCTCGCTTGTTTGATAGAGTATTCTTCCGAGGCCGTCTGAGTTGCCTTCAGAGGGGAAACGGAGCTGTTTGGAATGGCATATTGTTGAAGAATATGTCTTCTTTGGCTACAGCGTGACGCATGATGTAGGTTAAACACAGTCCAAAAGACAAACTCGCAATTTCTCATTTTGGAGTAGTCAGGCTCCTGCTGAGAACCGAATAGGAATGTTGTGAAAAGTAAAGGGCTTCAAATCTTTCTTTTTTACGCCGGGCTGTGTAAAGTGTAAACGAAGGGACAAAAGTTGGGGTTCATATTGCCTGGAGTTCGAAACAGTGGGCGATTTCGCAACCTGGGTAGGAAAACGAGCTTTCTAATGGGTTTAAAACGAGCCTATACATCAAGGGCAGTTCAGGTCCAAATGCTGCCCAGCCTTTATCCTGTTCCATGGGTTTGGAGCCCAAGAGTATTGCTCTGCGCCTGCAAGGCCGTCATTCGGATGCTGATAAGAGAAACTGGAACCTGTAGTGTAGTGCCCGTGATAAGCTGGCTGTGAAGCATGACCTGATGAGACCATGGAGGTACTTCCTGTCGTTGAATCATAGCTAGGAGTGTCCTGTCGGACAACATTCATGGGCGCAGTGGCTAGGTATTGGCTCCCAGCTTGAAATCCGGATACTTCAATGGTGTTATTGAAGTCCACGGTTTGACTAGCAGTGGAGGTAACGGCCACAGGCCAGCCATGGTCATTGCAGTTATACGGCCCATATGGAGTATAAACATCTTGCAAACCAGCGAATGATTGCTTGTGGCTCATTCCATTAGTTTCTGAAGCGGGAGATCCTGAAAACGACTCGCTGACTGGGGATCGCTCAATTGGACTAGCATGCAAAGACGACGTATCCTCTGTGTCGACAGAGCTCGCAGATCGACGATGGAACCTCCAATATTGTGATGCTTCTATCGCATCTTCACCAAGAGCGTCTGAAGTCGTTTCTTCGGCCTCCTTGATCAAACCAAGTCTATCTAAGATGGCATGGGTTAATGGATACCCGTCCACCACATCGATAGGCTCCCCAGGAAAGCATTTGTTATCAATGCAATGGGTGTACAGTTGTTGCAGTGCCTTGACAACCAAAGCGTGATGTGACTCGAGCATTTCAACAAATCTATATCGTCACATCAGCATCCGATATAAGCTGTGTCAAAAAGAATAGGTCAAAGAACCAGAACATTATACACTAACCCTCGAGAGTAGGCCTTAGTCTGGGTGACCTTTCTTTCGCGGAAGAGGCAAGGATGGTTGTATGACGAGCAACGATAACAGGGCTGGTTTCCATCGCACTATAAAGTGACATATGTGAGCAAGAGCTGATGACAAAGAGGTACAAAAGCCAGCATAATCGAGTCTGATATAACTCGACCTTTGTTTTCTTCACTCTGCATCGATCACAAGCTTTAAGGACATGCTTCCGTTTAGTCCGAAATATTTGGTGATGCGGGTTGGTATCAGCAGCGTGCTGCGAAGTCCCGAAGTTTGGAAATGCTACCAGCGTATTGGGTGCGGACATAGGCCCCGGTGGCCTGGATGAAACATGAAGCTTCGGGAAGATTGTGGGTGGTTGTGGCATTGGCGGATGCTGCTTGAGAATTCAAAATGTGGCGGCGTGTAAAGGGAATGTTAGACGGTAAAAAAAGGGCAAGGTTTGATAGAAAAGGAATTAAGATCCGTCTCTATCAGCAGCTCGCCATCGAAAAAAAATCTCCAAATGGACGACAGGGAGAAGGGGAAACATTAAGATATAGAAATTAGTCGCCGGGGGGAAAGGGTGAGGAAACGGTACGGGGATCAGCGTTTTCCCTGAAAGGATTGCCACCCTCCTTGTTGATTATCATTCTATTTTCTTCTTAGCATTCTAACCATGGAGTGACTCCGAGTGACGTGGAAATTCAATTTCTCGTCACGGTGTGTATCGGGAATGGTCATTTACGCAAATTGCCTGCCCGTCTTGGAAGCCTGCATTCCACGGTGATTATTATTCGGGTAAACTCTGGGGAGGCATGCCGGTCACCAGTACTTTCACTGCAAAAGTAAACTCTGGGCACTCCAACGATATTGTGTTTTGAAGCAGCGTGACCCGAAAAACCTACGTTAGTTGCGTGGGGTTCGAGGATATCCCTCCAAAAGCGGCCCGATCCGGGCGCAAAGGTAACTAATTGACAGCGAAGAAAGAAGAGAAACCAAGGGTGTGAAACGGGGCGGGTGGCGTGAGAAAGAGCGAGAGAAACACACAGGAGGGCTGACTCTTTGGGCATCAATCCGACCGATCAACCCCGACTCACGTTTTCGTCCTGATCCATGGCCTTTATTCAAAGGGGGCGTCTCATGATGGGTGTGATTTGATTCAGCGCGAGATTAAGAGGAAGAAAAGCGGCCAAGCCCTTGCAAGCCCGGAGGAAGGATCACCTTTCTCGCCTAAGACCAAACGGGTAAGGGGGTAAAGAAAGACACCGGGCCATTTAAATCGAGTGTCTGTAAACGCGATTCCATGCCCGTTACGGGCGTTGTCTTGGAAAAATATTGGAAAGGGGGTGGATGTGTGAGAAGCAACAAGCACAAAGGAGCAGTTGCGCTTTTGTGCAAATCGGATCTCTCATCCGTACCAATCCTTCTCTCTGGTTCGCTGCCTCCTTATGTTCGTCACCATGTAACCAAATTCAGCCTGCCATGCATTATGTTGATGTTTCTTTTTGATGGTAATCCTTTGCATATGGTATTCAGCTGCTCGTGCTTGAAGGGCGAATGGCTGATCGATCATGCGCCGTCTTTTACGGAGTCCAATGCCGTTTTGTCGATAAAAAGCATTAGGAGGCCGAAACGCAGGCGGCAGCGACGAACTAACAGGGGGTTCTATAGTTATATCATTGCGGCGCATTTCGATGTTGCCTTGGTATCTCCGTACTTAATTCCAAAGTACCTTTTTGACCGTTCTAATAGTATTCCAATCGTTTCGATTCGAAAGCCACAATTCCCTGGCTGCTGAAGACATCATCTCTCGATCCTATGGATGAACAGGCTCGTTTGCCGGGCGCAAGCTGATGGGTTAATTAAATTCGTCGCTGAACGGGCCAAAGCTGTGGTTGTACGGGAGTACGGGATTCTGATACATCGTTTCTGGGATCATGGTCCTAAGCTTCTTTCGGATTAGCCCGTGCTCACGTAATATCCCCATTCGGCCTTAGTGGGCTGAGTATTAGTCATTTCACGGGAAACTCAATTGACGACGGGAACTTTTTGTTGCGCCAGGCGGAAAAGTACTCTGTATATGTACGCGGATTGCTGGGCGACCGTTAGCTGTCGTCGTCGGAGCGTCATGTGGTGTGGTTCGAGTGGCCCAAACCGATGCTGTTCAAGGGGCCTTTATCGAGTTTCCGTTCACTGCTCGGCGCGACACTGCGGAGCAAGCCAGGTAGTTGGGTACCTTCAAGCTTCTCCGCACATCTCAATAGGGAGCACCTGTCCAAATGCATCTCCCAGTTCTCTGTAGCCTATCAAGGGAGCGATTGCTACTTCCTCGGTACCGTGAGGTCAGACGCTTCGACCTCGCATTTTGGATACCCCTCCGTGCCCCTCATCGGTCTAATTCGCCGTTGTCTGTGCTGACGCATGTATTCCGTGCATGGGCTGGGGTACATTGCGCTCCCGAGAACAGCCAGCGACAGAATAATAGTCGAGTATCCCGGTTACTCGCATGCCGAGTGCTTCGTGCGCATTGACTAAGCAGGTGCGAGAGCCTGGGCCGCCTCTTCCTTCCCGTCCATTAAAAATCGGCCCAATCATCCCTTCTCTCACACTTCAACGGTCTTTTTGGCACTTATGTTCGCTAAAGCCCACATGAACAGGCGACTGTCTCGGTATGTCCGCTACCTAACGGTTAGCTTATGCATGCGGTGCCCGGATTGTACTCATAAAGGAAGCGCACCTACAGAGTACACACGGAGTGCCTCCCTGGTTAAGGGGCTCTTCGAGTTGATGTGCTGAAAAGGATTGGGTTGGGGTAACCTTGGCAGATACAAAGAAGCGGGAGATGGGACGTCGAACAGAGTGTGGCTTGAACCCTCGGAACGGAGCTACAGGAACAGCGCCTTGGAGGCAGATCAACCCATTCGGCCGATCAGGAGGCGCTTTTTTAGTGCGTTTTCCACATTCGTCGGTTCGAGAATAGGCAAGCACACAATTTGTTTGTCAAATTCCAAGTCCTTCATGGCTTGTTGGCCTTACAAAAAGAATATTCAGACGTAATAGGAAATATGCCAAAAGCCCCAAAGCACAATTTCTCTTGGTTCGGTTCACATCGTGTCCACACCCCACTGCTTTACACGCGCATGAAGAAATGCAAATCGACTGATGACATACATATGGCGAGCACAAACAACCATGCAAACCGACAATCCACGGCACATTGCATGAACTCAAGGAGAGAACTCGACCCTGAGGGCCGCATTGACCAGTGGCCTGCGAAACAGGATATTGCAAAAAGAACAACAAGAGTACGGATCGGCTTTTGCACCTGCGAGACATCGGCTATTGAACAGGGATTCGGCAGCCGACACTTTCGCAGTTTTTTTTCATGCCTTTCCTGTATTAACACAGACTTCGGAGTCATGGAGAAATGCAGTTGTCTGAAAATAGCAAAATTGCGCTGTCGTGGGACAGGGATGTGATTTTGTTGAGAGAGGAGCCTCCATCCCCGCTTAGGCCCGGAATATTGGACAGTCGTTTGGTCGCAAAAGCAGAATAGTTCGGCCCAAATCCCAAGGTAGATTCACATGCAGCCGGGCGCAGTAACAGTGATATCAGGGATGACATTGACAGGCGATGATGTCAAGTTTGCATTAGCGGGGCGGCTGGAGGCGCACAGGCCAGACAGAGTATAGAAGACGCGAATCATGATCGTACCGAATACCAGACATGCGGGATAGGACGGGCGGGATTGGTCTGTCAGTGTGACATTTCATCCTCGCAAGCATGGGATCACAGCGCTGGGGCACGCAGGGCGGAGGAATACATCAAAAGTCGGTGCCCAACTCTCATATCTTCCCATCTTTCAAAAGAAGAGCCAGACCTGTTGGGATTATCCACGTCACCAAACTCGTGTAATATAGCAGATTCTCTAACTGTACAGGGTAGGCACCAGCCCCGGACACAAAAGGCTTAAAATTTAGAACCATCTCGTCCTGACAATCCCACGAGACTTGCTTCACCGTGGGCCAGGTAGTCAAAACTTTCTTCACTTGTTGTAGTTGCTGGTGGACTCGGGGTAGAAGTGTTCTGAAAATAGTCACCCTCCTTGGGTCTGCCAAGTTCGGCCTTGGGATGGGACCAAGCTCTATCCCCAATCCACTCAAGACCATCCCCGGCACCAAGTTTCCCAAACTTTCGGCGCTCTTGCTCCCGCTCTGCAAGCGGGAAAGCGGAATTGATCGAGTCATCCTGTTGGGCGGAAAGAAACGCTCTGCGATGCCATTCACCCAGGAACATCCCAACAGGATCTGCCTCATTTCTGACTCTTAGCCATTCATCAAGGTCAGTCCCATACATGGCCTGAAAATCCACGGGCCCTAATTTCTCGCTGAAATTCTTCGCCCAATGAGGACGTCCACCGAGCTCCTTCATCAGCCATTCAAAGGCTTCATAATACCTTTCAGTACACGGTGGATCGCGGAGGTATGGGCGATATAGCGTGGCATTGAGATACAACGTCGGACCGGATCTGTTACTTGCATCTAAATAAGGACGTGGCGTGTTTGATTTCGATGTGTCTGACACCCTAACTTCAATAGGGCAATGCACCCATACGCCTTTGGGGCTGAAGGGTATCTTAGCAGTTTCAGTGTCACCGTGGAGCCATGCGGATAGTCTAGTAATGGCTTCCGGCCCCTTTTCAAGGGGAATAGCCCATTCATTGACAAACTGAGAGTATAAACAGTTCATCAGCAGACCAGTTCGACCAGGTTCCACGGCCTCTGGCACGTATCTTCCAGGCTTGAACCCATATTGCAAGCCGAAAACGAGCCATTCCACCCAAGGTAGCAGCCTGGGAATGTAATTGGCTAGGTATAACAAGTTGTGATAAATCGCGCTCCCTAATCGCCCACCATAGAAATTGGAAGGCGGTTTTCGAAGTGGCAATTCAGTTTTGTCGGCACGCCAGAGGACGGCACGCTTAAGATACGGTAACCACCACACTCTCACGTATTCCGAGCTTGTCCATAACCCAGAGTCCCAGTCGTCCAACACCTGCGGTAGCGTCTTCAAGGTTTGTTTCCAAGCGATATTGAACGTGGGGACCGCCTGAATCGTTATCTCAGTAATGATACCGATAGCGCCAAGGGACAACAGCGCCGCTCGAAACAGCGAAGAGTTGCTGGCTTCGCTACATCTCACAACTTGACCATTGGCGAGGACTATCGACAGCGACTGCACCAAATCAGACAGAAGCCCAAAGCGCAAAGAGCTCCCATGGGTACCCGTCGATATCACCCCTGCAACCGACTGGCTGTCAATGCTCCCCAGATTTGGCAGCATGAGACCGCATTTCTCTAATTCGTCACCCAGTTGCCACAGCCTTATTCCCGATTCAACGGTTACCACCCCCGTTTCGCTCGAAAAAGATAAGATACGACGGAAATTGTCAAGGTTGATGATCCACGAGGAGGTGCAGGTCAGATCCGAAGGGGAGTGCCCACTGCCCACGGTCACGAGCCGGCGACGACATCTGCGCGCGAGATTGACAATCTTTTGGATTTCGGCAACAGATTCAGGCTGGATGTAAAGCTCCGGCCGGGAATAAAAGGTCTTGGCCCAAGTGTGGTGTAGGTGCGCTTTGGTCGCTCGGAACGGTACGTCTGGGTCGAGCTTCGAAAGCTCGTGTGCCACCTGCGGATCAAGCGAGTTCATGCTGTCGGTTGAACAAATGCTGGGTAATCGTCGACTTCTTCTTTTCAATTTCCTTTATCGGGTGGGTTGTTCGACGTTGATAAAAGGTTCAAGCTGGGCAAATGGCGGTAAGGTGGGTAATTCAGCAGTCAACCCCGCATGGTCGACTGAACAGTGTGTAGTTGCGCAATTGAGGCTGGGGTCAACTTTAAAACATATCCTTTCAGATTCCCCGGTATCTTTAGAAATGACTTGTCCGCGAAGTTATCTGCTATTCTCGATGTGATGAAAACTGACTAAATGTCTGAGAAAGTAGTTGACCAGGGACGGAGGAGACAACCTAACCACACCATATAAAAAGCCCCTCACACAAACTGCTCGGGCAAGTGTGGTAAAGACTGTGTCTGCAACAAAAGAAACAGAGATCGTGCCGAGTAATCTTTCCAGATTGATTCGGGGCGCCAAAGCTTTGCATCAGGTGGACAGCCAGCTGTTTTTAATATGCCGAGGATATCCCGCTGATGCAACGCCACAAAATGCCACCTCCCGGATACACAAAAGACTTCTGCTACTCACGGTAGGCAGGTGTACCCATAAGCATCAATGGTCTAGTGGTATGACGCTTGCCTTCCAAGCAAGCTGCCCGCGTTCGATTCGCGGTTGATGCAACACAGAGATTTATTTTTGGCCTCCTTTTTCCTCCTGGGAGGAGTGCGGAAAAGAAACACTACGCTCCGTACGTACCAGCTACCATGTTTATCAGCGCTTCAGCTTGATTGGGCATCTACAATACTTTTTGTAATCCATCCTTTATCGCCCCAGAGATGCTAGATGCGCTGTACATACAAGATATGTCGCAACCAAGGGGAGAAGGAAAATAGGCCCCGTTATAACCATGCATGGGAATCTTTGCTCAAAAAAGGACGCGAGGACAGCAATATCAAAATGTAATAACAAACCCGACCAGTACCATAGTCAAGCGCAAGCTTATGCACCGAAACGAAAGGAAGAAAAAGGAAAGCAAGAGGTGACACGTACTTTTGAAGAACTCATCCCTCATCGGATGGCTTCAATTGCAGCATTCAGCGGAAGTTGAACCGGGTTGCTAGTTCCAAAGCCAGCAAGGCGATCATCCCATTTTCTAAACGCCCTTTTGCACTCATCCGTCAATCCATGCATCACAACATGGCCCTTTGGAAGGAAAGGCCGATCTTGCTCCGAAACAGCCAGGAAACCATACTCCTGCGCAAATACGAGAGCCGACGCAAACTCTGCAGAGCGGGAATGAGCTTGTGCGCCGACAATCCTGCAGTGCACATGGTTAGCTTGGCTTAAATCTTCGAGAACACGTAATGCATTCTACTTACACATAGATCTCGAAGAAGGCATCGAGGACATAGATATGGTCTGAATCGAGGTCTCGTTGGCAGAATGGCTCTATCTCTTGCACTGTATCGTTCGGTCGTGCTACGGGCGAGTTGGCTCCGCGACGATTCCAAAAGGCAGCACCGAATCCCTGGCCAAGCTCATGGTCTATGCGAAACAGTCGACAGCAGTATTTCTCACTGCTTGCTTTGCATTGCCAGTGCGGGCCGGATGAATACGTTCGCGTATCCTTTGATCCTGGAAAATAGTCGAAGAAGCTGGCTGGTTCTTGGCCTTCGGTGATCTCTTCGATTTCACCGGTTAATCCGAGATCCATTCCAATAAGCCTTGCGCACCCCAACTCATCTGCAGTGCTACCTTGTCCTTTCCACAAGTATAAACTGCCAAACTTGGCCGATATAATGAACGGGTACCCCGAGCAAAGGCTCTGAGGGGTTAGATCCACTTCATCAAAAGCAATCTGGCCCAGGTGCCTTCGGCCACAGAGCATATACAAGGCAGATGAATTCGCACGGCTGCTTGACCCACGACGAGTGAGGATGATACCTCCCAGGGCTTGTATGAAATTTGCCGATTCCTTGCCTTGCCGCAAGATTTCAAGTTTGCAATTGTTTTCTCTAGCCACTTTGCGTGCAAATAGTTGAGCATCTTCGATGGCTCCTTCGCTGACGCCATCACCGCACCATAAGTGTGTTTGGGTGGTCTTCGAGCCACTGCTAGCTTCGAAATGATGGATACACAAATACATACTTTCTTCAAAAAGTATGTACTCTTGATTGGCAGGCAAGTCCTTCTTCCTTCCGTCATTGCCTATTTCCCATATCTGCTTTTTCAAAGTCTTAATTTTCGGAGATGGGCCTGAGCGGGACGAGAGAATAGTCGAAGGGTCGATGTCTACCTTTTTTTTAGCACTGGGTTGTATATCAAAGAAATCAGCAAACATTTGTGCCGCTTTAGGAGTTTGCGGAAAGGGCGAGGCCGGGACAAGGCTTTTGCGATTGGATTGAATCGTATTGATCGTTGATGGTTTCGGTGGCACCGGCGGGCTCACAACTCGTTTACCTACAGACGACGGAATGCTTTCCCGCGACCGTTTCTCCTTAAGACCTGAAAGACGAGGGGAGTTTGTTTCATCTAACGCGATTGAAGGACTTCCCGGCTCAATTTTAAGAATCATCGGCTGCTCTGCCAAATGTGATAGCGTTCTTTTTTGAACCACGGGGCTCTGATCTAGTTGTGAGGGTGAGATGAATGACAGGGGAGGAGAATTTTGCGGGTCCCTCGACTCAACATTGACTCTCAAATCAGACGATGCCGGTAGGGGCTCGATAGGCTCCTTGGGGGCGGAGTAGGTGGTAGAAGGTAGGAACTCGAGTTGACCATCAGCAACGTCCCTTGCCTTAGCCGAGTCATTTCGCGACTCCTCTAACATCACCATCTGCCGTTGTTTGTTAGCATTTAAGAATTCTAATCTTTCCTCTAGGCTTGATGCACTTTTCGTTGGTAAAGTATTAGTAGGACGGCGATCCCGGCTTGCATCAGGCGGTACAGCTTTGTTGACTGAAGGAGCTAGCGGCGATTCTACTCTCGCTTGCTGGGGTAATCTTCTTTTAGGTCCTTTTGTACGAGATTTCGTGATATGTGTTAACGGAGCTGATGGCGTTTCCGGTGTTTGTTGGGTGTTAGAAATAGTTACAGTCTCAGTTTTGAGAGGCTTCAATTCCGAAGGCGGGCCCCTCGCAAGAATTCCAGCCAGTGCTGGGTTTAAACGACCAGCTAGTTTGCCCTTAGCGGTCTCTTTGGTAAACCGAGAGACTAGTGGCTCTGGTGAGGATATTGGTGAGAGAGCTTTTGGATCAGGTTCATCGGGCGGTTTAGAGGCGATAGCACGGGTAGGTGAGACTTGCGGCGAGATGGCTTGCTTTACATCATCCGCCTGTTTCGTAGGCGAGTTTCCACGCGACGGAAGAGGAGACTCCGAGCCAAAACTCGAAGGGATGATATTCGTCTGGAGTGGTCTGGGGGATATGGGAGTGCTGCGCGGCGTTGATAAGCCGCTTTTCACGCTATCTGACCGGCCAAGTGTGTTGAGCCTTGCGATAGCTTCAGGAATAGGAGAATTCGAGGCAGCAGTAACTCGATCTTGGTTTGCTGTCCGCCTGATAGAACCTCCACCGGCTTTCATCGCTTCCTTTTGCTTTAGGATACTTTCCTTGAACTCATCAACCCGTGCTGTCTTCTTTGGGCCGCCTGTTACGTTCAAGGCTGCTTTACCCCTGAGAATATTGTCCTTAAGCTCATCGGGAGCAACATAGTTCTTTGTCTCGGTTCGCCTTAGTTTTCCAAACACATTTTTGAACTCCGGCTCCTGGCTGTCAGATTTTTCAGTAGGAATTTCACGGCGGCGGAGATTTGCGCGAAAATCAGTAACCAGAGGCTTCTGCGGCGCTGGTTTGGCAGGCTCTAAGCTATGTGGCGATCTTTCGCTAGTGTTGCTTGTTGGCTTCTCCAAAGATGGAGTGAGAGAATCATTACTTTTCGAGACGGCACGAACTTTTGATTCCAGGTCTTGACTTTTTGGGGGTATAGCCGGTGATTGAGTTATCTTCTTTTCTGCGGGTTTATTTTCTGCAGGGTGTTCAGGATCTGTCCCGACGGGTTCCTGGGGGAGGGTTTCAGGTACTGTCTCCTTACAACCTCCTACAGGTCCAGAAATTTCCTCCCGCGAATCCTCGGGTCTCAATGGCAATTCTGGAAGCGGGCCGACATCCCGGGAATTGCGAATCTTATGAGTGAGATCCTTCTTCCATCCAGGCCCTTGGGTTGTGGTGGTAGCTTTCAGTCGAGGAGAATCAGGCTTATTAAGTGCGCTCTCTAACCAGGAAGCCTTGGTAGGGCTCCATCTTTTGGGATCCATTGTTTTAGAAGGGGTCGTGGGAAGCTCGTCAGGCGTTGAGATGGAGTCTGACCTCGATGCTGAATATGATGAGAACGATGATCTTGGAAAACGGTTGCTTGGTGCAACAGCACCGTCCTTGACATCTTCTGTGTCAGTATTCGAAGTTGTATTCTGGGAATGCCGAACCACAGTAGCTTCACTATGACTGGATCCAGGTCGCGATGTGGATTCCTGCGAAGCTAAAGGCTCTTGGGGTTTTGGGAATTGAAGGCTTGCTGTGGAGGGCGTAAGCTCGCCGCGGTTTGAAATAAAGCTATTTCGAAAAGTATTTGGTCCCGATTGGACACTCCACCGTTTTGAAACACTATCAGAACGCTTCATCATGGCACTCTGGACGAAACCGCCGAGACCTTTAGTAGGCGATGACGCGCGATCGGAGGCAAGGCGCGTTTGCGAGGGTGACATGGTAACGCGATCGCTGGGTTGTGATTCTCCATGGCTTGACACTGGGCGCGCTTCAAACTTGGAGGCACTCGCTATCGGGATGGGAGACCCCAAACCACCGGCCGCGGAGACAGAGGATATGCTTGAAAACCGATTTCCGAAGCTGCTGGTGCCATAAACAGAACTCGCTCTAGACGGGGACCGCGACCGTTCGCTTCCATCGTAACTCGATTCTGCGCCAATGGTAGGCTCTTTGCTAATCCCTGGAAGTCTGATACCTCCTGCGTTCAGCTGTATTTCTGAGAGAGGTGTAGTAGATGATTTTCGGTAGGCCTGGGAACCAACACCCCGCTCAGACGTTTGACTGAACCAAGACGGATCCTTTGAGCTTAATGACTGTGCGATTTGCGCACGAGACATTACCGATTCGGGCGCAGCCGCAAAAGTTTTCTTCGTCTCCTCCGGCGTTATTTTCGGTAAATCTCCAGGAAACTTCAAGGTCGAAGCCAAAGATTCAATGTCTCTTGACTGTGGACGCTGTCTCCACGACATAGCGCGTGATCGGCTACGCGAGAGCGTGCTATTTTCCGTGGAGTTGTTTGGACTGCCACCAGATTTCTTGTCTATATCCGAATCGGCACTAGGAGGGTTGGTTTGGCGTGAGACAAGATCCAGGTCAAGTGTTTTCGTGGTGGGGAGAAGGTCAACGGGGGGGAGAATTGATTGCGACGACGCAGATGGGCTTAAAGGCGAATCCCTCTGGATAGAGCTATCCAATATCAGAGGGGAGTCTTTGGTCGGGGAGATAGATCGCGCGCGTTCTGTGATACAGCAAATGGTCAGTTGTGAACCCTGTGGGATTTGTTTATTTTGCTCGATTGTTGACATCATGTGAATCAATGAAGACAGCCTACCAGCACGCCGAGCTTCTCTCTCCCTCCGTCCCTGTAGGATCTCCTCTTCTAGCTTCCGAGTTCGCTCTTCGTCCTCCTTGTCGCGCTTTTCACCCAGCTCTCGAATGCGCACGAGGAAGTCATTGACGTCCTCCGACCCGCCCGGGCCCTGTTCCAGCGTCATTGTGTACAGTCGACAGGACGTAACACTCGGTAGCACTGACAACCTCGTTGATCCGACACACGCCCCAGTATGTTATGAACCTAGCATCAACACCCTGATCGGTCGGTATAAAATAGCTTGGGGCTAATTGGGCGGGCTGAAACCCCGATTTACTCGCAGCCGAGCCCGCTCCCTGCCTTACATAATGGCGCCTCGTTATCAAGTGACTCGCAAGCGGGAGTGTCGTGTGATGGATTTGAGAGGCTTTGGAGATGTCGTGATGTATAAGATTACAAATTACAAATTAATGCCAGTAGTCTTTGCATGGATAGAAGGGAGAGCAGCACTCTGTGCTTCGTGCCGAAACACAATTGAGTCTGGTTCTCAATGCACAGATGGTGGTTCCCCAACATCGCGATCCATGGGCCAAGGCGCCACCAAAGCTGCAGAAAAGCCCCTGGTTACGGAGCACAAGCGAACTCACTATTATTAGCTAAAACAGAGGAACTGAGAGCTTGCGTGTGTGGACAAAGGTTCTCAATTCACATAGTCAAAGAGAGCCCATGTCATTGCACAGTCCGACCAAGGCACTCTGTAGTATCAAAGTTGTCCAAAAAAATTCTTTCAGTCAAGCGGTTGAAGTTCAGTAGAGAAATAGCCGCTCCTTCGCATCCTGTACCACCCAGGAGAGCCCTTCAGTCAAGTTCAGGCCCGTCATGGCGCTACAGCGGATTATGGTCCATTTGTGAGTTTTGATTGCGTCGAGTTGCAACGCCTCAAGCACATGTCAGCTCTTGTGGGCGAAGTTGCGTGGATTATGATCTTACCTCGCGGACTTCGGCTTCGTCCATGCAGCCATCAACATCAGTTTTGTTTAGAAATACCAGGAGACTCGCTCCCATGAGTCGCTTGACATGGTCAGCCACAAGCAGGGTCACAGGGTACGAAGAAAGAGAATGCAACATCGTGCGCCAGCGGACTGTACCTCTTCCAGGAGCAAGCCAGCTAGCTCCTGACGGCAGTCGTCAGTTCGCAACCGATCCGTCGCGTCGACCACCCATATCAAGGCGTCTGTCTTTTCGAAATAGTTCCTCCAGTAAGACCGCAAGGTCTTTTGGCCGCCAACGTCCCCTTTTAACATCAGCGTTTCAAAAGCACTTTCGGGATCGGATTGAGAGGGTCCTGTAGCTTACAGATATTCAACTTGTAGCTTATAAGACTATCAGCAATCTTTTACACCGAGGAGGGATGATAGGCAAGCGTACCCTTCGAAATCGATAGATTTTATGATGAACCCCAGTGTTGGACTTACGGTAGTCACATCTTCATTCATAATCCTTTTCACAATCGTTGTTTTACCTGCATTGTCCAGTCCGCTGGCTCATGTTAGCAGCCCGGTTGGTGGTGAGGAGCCAGGAATGGGGAATCTCATACAGCATCAGCACCCTCATCTCCTTATCCTTTAACCGTGCTTTTCTCAGGACTGAAAGCATGTTTCTGATGCTTCGGCCTTTCCAACTAGTGGTTGGCTGAATGAAATCCTATGTGGTTTGGTAGAAGGGAGTTTCCCAGACTCTGATGAGATTTGGCGTCGAGAGGAACAATAGTTCCCTCCCCTCATGATTAACACAAAAGTGAACAAGTCCCAAAAGGAGAAATTTTTCATGGAATTTTTACTTTTGCTTCAATTTCTATTCTTTCACTCTCTTCTTTCTGTCATTTTGCCAAATCACTTCTTCACCGTGGGGACTGCAACAGCTTACTATCTCCGAACATACACTACTCTTCTCATTGATTCGCAGACTTCTGATACTTCTTTCGTCTAAAGATTACACTCAATTCATCGCATTCATTGCCCTTCCAATCCGGTTCAAATCTGATCCAATTCTCAACCTGAAAAGCCACCGTTGTGGGCGCTATCAAGTTGCAGTTTTTTCATGTATGTTTGCATTCAACCTGCAGGCGATGGGATCTTAACTATGGCCTTTCTCTTCACAACACGGCTTGATTGACAAACCTATTGTGCACAGATATCGAAGGCGTCCTTCTCCTGTCGTGTGAATAGTCGCCGCGCAGGATCTCCCACGGCTCTTGCAACCCAAATGGCCACACCAATGGTGCCAGACTGGAAGGATTATTTAGCCGCCTTTCAATCATTTCAAAATGAATCAAAGTCCAAATATAGGGCGGTCTCCATTAACACCAAGGATGAGGGTGAAAAATCATCCAGAACAACAGAGAGCCTAGCTGCTGAGGGTACCCCTGTGAAACCTCCCTCTGGCGCTCAGGTTACTATATTGAACGTTAGCATGGGAACTGCAAGTACTGCTTTCACATCTCCAAACCAAGGGAACCTTTCTACAGGTCCTGCAGACACCTGCCCTAGCAGCATCTCATCAGAAGCCTCTAAAAGGAGTGAAAATGTGGTGAATGAGCTGAATAATTCAGAGGGAACAGTGAACGATCTGAAAGAAACTGAGAATCGTGAGTCTTCTTTTGCCCTCAATTCTGTTTCATATCTTGCGTCCAATAATTGCTCTCGCTTTTCCCTCTTGCTTGCTGGCTAGCTCATTTTATAAAGTATTAATTCTCTAACTCTGTTAGCTTTTGATCCTGGATCCGTTGAGCCGCAATCCTCACTGCCTCGTACGGTAATGTCCGAATTAGTCGAGGAAGGAGAAAAGTCAACTCGCGAGCAATGTACCTCAGGCAATCTCTCAACTTCAACAATGGACTTGAAGTTTTCTAAACAGCTTGAGCCCGAAGACTCGAAAAGCGAGCAAAGCCAGCCAAGTGAGCCAATCTACCAGGCTGAGAATGCATCACCATCAAAGCGTGAATCTGACAATGGTATTTTTCTTTTGTGATGATGTTGAAGCAACTTCAAATCTTCTAACTGTGATTTTTTCTCCGGTAGGCATGGATTCGGACGGTTCTGACGAAATCGTATTTCGTCAGGATGAACATAACATGGTTGGCCCTCGATTGTACCCAGGGAAGCAATTTACTGAGCAAGAGAAACGTGCTTTTCCAATTGCGGGACAAATGAATAACTCAAAGGAAGCCCCGAAGCCTGAGCTAACTCGGCCAAGTCCAAACACGAAAGCACAGAAGAATGCCGCTCCCAAAGAGGCCACCATCGAAGACAAGAGGGCCAAGCTACAGAGACTCCAGGAGGCAGAATTGCTTAAGATCCGTAGGAAGCAACTGGGGCTCGACGAAACCCAGGCCAAAGATAGCCTACTACATCTCGCGCGTCAGGGACCAGGAGCTGATCCTGAATCTGAAATCACTCGCGGGATTCGGAACCTTGTCCTCGCGGCACCACAACAAGCGACTCTTACCCCTCCACCTCTAGGATCTGGTAACCGTCAGCAGTGTGGTTTGTCCGGTGTGGAACTGGTAGCCGCCAACTCTGCTCTTACAGAAGGACATCGAGAAACCGGGGTTGAACTTCGAGAAGTTAGCGCATTTCAACCTGTTTTGATAGACTGGCAGTATCGCCCCTGGCAGGCCTATGGAGACGACTGGACCAAAAGATTTGGCGACTGGCTGGAGTATACAATGAGACTCGGCTGTGTCGTTGATACCCATTCCGGCCCTTTTACTAATCCTGACCTTCACCCCGATGGCGTAAGCGGGTTTGTTGAATTTGACATTCAAGAACCGGTCGTGGACACATCTATTGCGGAAAGCGCGCATGCCCACGAAACTGCTGCTGGTTATATTTATAACTGGAATCTTAGAATCGAACAGGATAAGGCAAAGGAACTGCAGAAAAAACAACTGTCCATCGCGCATATGAAAGCCATGGCCAAAGTCAAACCAGAGCCACATCCTTTCGCTCCGAAAACGAACCTTTATCTTCGTCCCGTTGAGCCAAAGGATATTCCCGGCCTAACAAGTCTATACAACTGGTATATCAAAAACTCAGTCCGGTGTATCGAGTTAGACGAAAAGTCCCCAGACCAAATGAGGCTTTGTGTGAATCAGAGCGAAGCTGCAGGACTCCCATGTCTTATCGCAGCCGAGCATAAACCAGGACGTGGATATGCTATGAACAGCGAAAAAGAAACGGTTTATGGCTTTATCATTGCGAAGGACTTCTCTGGAATACGAACCGCAAATCGATATACTGCCGAATTAGAGCTGTTCGTAAACCCGACCCAGTATAACCGTCGCGTTGGCAGAAGTCTTTTGGACAAAATGCTCGAGCTTTGTGATCCAAGGTACACGCCTAAACGCGGTTATACATTCGACTGCGCTGCGCCTGGAAGAAGCCTATACTGCGGTGCAGATGTTCGCCCATTGTCCAGGCTCGTCATCGTCTTCCATTATTCAGCCGACGATGCCAATGAATACCAGTGGTTTAAGACGTGGATGACCGAGGAATTTGGTTTCGCCGAACAGGGTGTGCTTCAAGGAACAGCAGTGAAGAACTGTAAAGTGTAAGTTCTCTTACCTTGCCCCTTCTGGTGGTAATATGCTTAACAACGCGACAGGCTGAGCTCTGGTTATCTCGTTCGAAACACCACCCTGAAGCCAGAGACAAAGGGAGATACGGAGATCGTTCGCTGGCGTTTTGGCTAAAGACATTCAAGACTAGAGCCCACAGGCTTCAAGACGATGTGACGGAAGCGTTGCACGATTCCTTTCTTCGATATCTAGTTAACGCGATGCTCACTCTCCCCTCCGCCCCCCATGGTTTCAGACCGCGTTGTGTTTCTGCCTACCCAACGGCTGCGACACGGCCTCGTCCTTGACCAAAGTTGCTTCTTTTTGTCCCCAACCTGGCGATAGTGATTTTGATTTTTGCCTGGTTATCGAGTACGATGCACTATTTCTGATATTTTTGCGAGTTTGTCTGGATTTGATGCCGCGGTTTGCTAAAGTCAAAAAAAGAGAGATATACCTAAGCTGTGATAATAAAGAGACTCCGTAAATGAAATGGACTGAATAGATCAGAATTGTTATCCCGTCGTCGTTGTCTCGTAATATCAAGGAGCTAACTAGCTAGTTAATTAGGCGGTGAGCAACGGAGTTTTCTGCCACAGCTGGTGGACGAATTTCTCGCCGACAGACAGCAATGTCCACGCTTGTTTTGCCGCAATTGCCCACGGGATTAATTTCCTGGATATTTTGGCATTTAGAATTGAATTGATATACTTTTACTTCCAAGGCAGTACTAAGCTGATTACCGCAAATGGCGAGCAGGAAAAAGGCTCGCGATGACGAGTTTGTCCTTACTTTATCCGACGAGGAAACACCCTATTTGAACGGCGATGACCTCGAGGAAGAAGACGGTAATGAGACACTCGGAAACTCGCAAAGCGCCAAATCGGCCCAATCGACGTCGAAACCGTCGTCTAAAAAGCGAAGGCGGGAGGAAAGCGACACTGTTGCGCAGAACAAGAAGTTGAAAAAGCAAGAGCAAGCAAAAGGGAGGGGGAAGAAGGCCCTGCTCAACGGAGAGGATGTGGAAGAAAGCGAAAAGGGGGAAGAAGTGCAAGAGGAGGAGGAGGATGGAATACTAGATCCCGATTTCGAATTCGATATTGGCGGTGCCGCGAATGCTGGGGACCTCGAGGAATTTGACGGCTGGGGTGCGGACGACCGAGGCAAGCAAAACAACGCAGATGGCGTTAAAAAGGGTGTGGACTTGGATGTGATCTTGTTCAGAAGGAGACAGAAAAGACTGGAGGCGCAAAAGAAGCAGACGGACAAGGCTGCAGGGTCGGATTCGGATGATTCCTTCCAGGGGCTGAGTGACCACGATGATGAGGGCGGAGACAAAAACGGGGAGCTACCCAATTTCGAAGATGATGAGCTTTTGGCGGCCGACGCTTTTGGAATGGGTGCGGCAAGTGATTCGGAAGACGGGGATGCAGCAATCGCAGGGCAAGACTCAGAGGACGACTCAATGCCCGATGCGGACGAGGATGAGGACAATTCCGGTGCTGATGATGACGAAGACGACGACAACGACAGTGTAGCGTCACCCGTTCCTCATCCGGAAGATTTGCGATCTGACGAAAGCTCAGAGAGCGAGGCGGAAGATGCTGAAGAGGTCGCAAAACGAAATGCTTTCTTCGCCCCCGAGGAGAACACTACCGATCCCGAAGGGTCTTCATCGAGCTCTACATTCCAGAATTTCAATCTCTCCCGCCCAATCCTCCGCGGTCTGGCCGCTGTGGGCTTCTCCGCACCCACTCCCATTCAACGAAAAGCTATCCCTGTTGGACTCCTTGGTAAAGACCTGGTTGGCGGTGCGGTAACTGGTTCCGGAAAGACTGCTGCTTTTATAATCCCCATCCTCGAGAGACTGCTCTACCGGCCCCGGAAAGTCCCCACGAGCCGCGTTGTTATTCTAATGCCTACCAGAGAACTTGCCGTTCAGTGCTACAACGTCGCGACAAAACTAGCTACGTACACTGACATCACGTTCTGTCAACTTGTGGGTGGGTTCAGCTTAAGGGAACAAGAGAATGTGTTGAAGCAACGGCCGGATGTCATCATCGCGACTCCCGGCCGGTTTATTGACCATATGAGAAATTCCGCCAGTTTTACTGTGGATACCCTTGAGATTTTGGTTCTAGATGAAGCGGATCGAATGCTCGAAGATGGTTTCGCCGATGAACTGAACGAGATTCTTACCACCATTCCAAAATCCAGGCAAACGATGCTTTTCTCTGCTACGATGACCGATTCTGTTGACAAACTGATTCGTGTCGGCCTCAATAGACCCGTTCGACTGATGGTTGATGCGAAAAAGCAAACTGTTGGGACGCTGGTTCAGGAGTTTGTAAGGTTACGACCAGGGAGGGAAGGGAAACGAATGGGATATCTTGTCCTGCTTTGCCAGACGGTCTATACGAATCGCGTGATTGTATTTTTCCGCCAGAAAAAGGAGGCTCATCGTGCCCGGATTGTATTTGGGCTTCTGGGGCTAAAAGCAGCAGAGTTGCACGGCAGTATGAGCCAGGAGCAGGTAAGCCGACGCTGAAAAGCGCAAGTTTCGCTCCTGGAACCCTGGAAACTGACACTACTTTTAGCGGATTCACGCTGTTGAAGCTTTTCGGGATGGTAAAGTCCCGTTTCTGCTCGCCACCGACCTTGCTTCTAGAGGTTTGGATATTAAAGGGGTCGAATCTGTTATCAACTACGAGGCGCCACAGTCGCACGAGATCTACCTTCACAGAGTTGGCCGTACTGCCCGTGCCGGGCGCAGTGGTCGTGCATGCACAATTGCGGCAGAGCCGGACCGCAAGATTGTCAAAGCCGCTGTCAAAGCCGGGCGGGCTCAAGGAGCGAAGATCGTCAGTCGCATCGTGGACCCCAACGTAGCAGACGAATGGGCGATCAAAGTAGAAGAAATGCAGTCTGAAATCGAAGATATTCTCAAGGAAGAGAAGGCGGAGAAGCACTTAGCTCAAGCAGAAATGCAGGTCACCCGCGGACACAATCTCATCAAACACGAGGATGAGATCATGTCGCGTCCGAAACGGACATGGTTCGAGACGGAACGAGAAAAGAAGGAAGCGAAAAACCGGGCACTAAGCGAGCTGAACGGGCCCGGCTCGGTTTTAAAGAAGGAGAAGCGGAAGCTAAGCGGCAAGGAGAAGAAGAAGCTTGACGATACCCGGTTACGCGAGGAGGGCAAGGTATGGAAAAAGGGCAAAAAGGAGCGGGAGAGCAAGGGGGGACTGCAGGGCCAGAGCAAAGGGAAAGCAAAGAAGCACAAGACCAGGGGCAAGCCTGCAGGGAGAGCAAGCAAGTAGGGGAGATATAGCAAGCAGCATATTCGGCATTGTCACACTGTATGTAGGTGCAGATCAACGCCATGGTGATACCTTTTTGTACAGCCAGCCGCTCTCAGCAGTTGTTTGTTCACAGTCCATGACCCCATTTATATAACTAGCCAGCTGGCCCTTTTGCATCCTCCGCGATTCTTCACGCCAGCCGATGTCGGTGCAGCTCGGAGAATTACAGGCGTGTTGTGGGGAACTCTAAAAAAAGATCGATTGAAGCTCGCCACCATTGAGTCACAGAGCACGAAGACTCATCTTGTCCCCGGGATATCCACGGTGGCACTCGCTGGGCTCTTTGTTTGCTCTTGAATTCAATCTCGACTGTGCTTCTGTTGTCCTCGTGTGCCTGCATTCTTCCTCTCTTCTCACCTCCGCCGTTATCGGCCTAGCTGCTCTAACTATAGCTGCCCCGCGACCAACGCCGTGAGAGCTCTCTACACTGTACTCCTCCAGCTCAGTTCTTGAGTTGCAGTCAAAATGCCAATGTATGTGTGCCTGGATTACACAAGTGATGAATAACTACTGATGCTCTGTGATTCTCCAGGCTCAAAGATCCCTCGACAAAGTACAAGAGGTTCCAGCCAATTCAGCTTCCGAACCGGACATGGCCTAACAAGACGATCGATAAACCTCCAAGATGGCTGGCCACCGATCTCAGAGACGGGAACCAGAGCTTGGTCGACCCTATGGTATGCCTGCCACATTCCGTTGCATCCAATTGTGTCTTTTTCGCGAGACAATTGACTGACCTGCCTTGCTGCTAGGATGGCGACCAAAAACACAGGTATTTCAGAATGCTCGTCGAGCTCGGCTATAAAGAGATTGAAATCTCATTCCCCTCCGCCTCCGAAACAGACTTTGACTTTACTCGACGTTTGATTGATATGCCTGGAGAGGTCCCCGATGACGTCTGGCTCCAAGTTCTGTGTCCTTGCCGTGAAGACTTCATCCGCCGCACCGTGGATTCCCTCAAGGGAGCCAAAAAAGCAATTCTTCATTTATATCTTGCTACGAGCGAATGTTTCCGGAGGATTGTGTTTGGTATGACCAAAGAGCAGAGCATTGAATTGGCGGTGAAATGTACGAAATATGCGCGTTCCATAACAAAGGACGATCCATCGACGGCGGGCACGGAGTGGCGCTACGAGTTCTCTCCCGAAACATTCTCTGATACTGATCCCGAGTTTGTGATCGAGATTTGCGAGGCTGTCAAGGCGGCCTGGGAGCCAACAGTCGAAGAACAAATCATTTTCAATCTCCCTGCTACCGTCGAAATGTCAACGCCAAACGTCTACGCAGACCAGATCGAATATTTCTGTACACATATCTCCGAAAGAGAGAAAGTCTGTGTTTCCCTTCACCCGCATAATGACCGCGGTTGTGCCGTTGCCGCCGCGGAACTCGCCCAAATGGCTGGCGCCGACCGTGTTGAAGGCACCCTCTTCGGCAATGGAGAAAGAACCGGCAATGTTGACCTGGTCACCCTTGCTCTGAATCTCTACACCCAAGGTATCCACCCGAATATTGATTTCTCGGATATCAACTCTGTGATTAGGGTCGTGGAAGAAAGCAACAAAATTCCAGTTAATGAAAGATGGCCGTATGGCGGCCAGCTTGTGGTTTGTGCATTCAGCGGTAGCCATCAAGATGCTATCAAGAAAGGATTCAAAGAAAGAGCAGCAAGCGGTCTCAAATCCGAAGACCGCTGGCAGATGCCATATCTTCCGCTGGATCCAGAAGACATTGGTCGCAATTATGAAGCCATTATCCGCGTCAACTCTCAAAGTGGCAAGGGTGGGGTTGCTTGGATCATTCTGCGCATGCTGGAGCTGGATCTACCTCGAGGATTACAAGTCGCCTTTAGCAAGATTGTCCAAAGGGATGCGGACAGACTGGGCCGTGAGCTCAAGCCAACTGAGATTGTTTCCCTCTTTGAAGAGGCATACCATCTGAAGACGAATCCTCGGTTTTCTTTGATAGATTACAATATCACAACAGACCGGTCCCAGACCCCTGCCCCTCCCGAGCCAGGAAAGGCTCTTAGCACAGAGAACCTCAAGAGAAGGTTCACGGGCATCATCGAAATTGATAGTATTCAACATGGAATTGTTGGTGTCGGCAACGGTGCTATCTCTTCTCTGGCAAATGCCCTGAAGTCTCTTGGTATCGACCTGGACGTCGTAGACTACAAGGAACACGCAATGGGAAGCGACCGTGACACCAAAGCTGCCACTTTCATTGAGTGCGTTGCTGCTGGATCCGACCAAAAGGTTTGGGGCGTGGGCATTCATCACGATGTCGTCCAGGCGAGTTTGACCGCGCTCCTGAGCGCTGCAAGCTCGGTAAGCCATTTTCAAACGCAAACCGAGTCGTCTTTCAACATACATACTAACTGATAACGCTGTAGTTCCTTTCATCTCGTGCTCCAACACCCTTCCGCCCGGTGAGGTCCAAGACTTTGACTAACACAGAAATACAGGCATTGGAAAAGCTCAACGGTGCGATGATGGACCCTAAGGACTTTGCGCATGGCGTGGTTAATGCAATCCAGCAACAAAAGGTGGACATAGACGCCTTGGAAGCAGCGGCAAACAAAATTTAGCCAAACAGAAAGAAAAAGGGTAGTGGTTATCAAAGCAAGTGCTGCATCATGGGTTAAAGAAGTTGTACAACTTTCCCTGTTCAACATGGAGTTTAAGCGCCCTTTCATGAATCCCGGGTATCTAGTTATATGAAGATTAAAAGGTATATGATTAAAAACCAAAAGAACCGAAAAGAAAGGGCAATTCAGTTGCATATCTAAAACTGGAGTCTCAAGCGTCAACGAGTATTATTTAGGAAGAAGAAGAAGAAGGGATTCGAACCCTGGCTTAACCTTCTCCCTTCCACAACAACCGCAGTTGCAATACATATTTATTTCTTTATCCACTCCTTAGACGGTATGAGATATCTAAGTTCGGTACAATAAATATAAAACATTAAGTTCTCAACAACAAACATGGGTTCCACTAAGGATATCCTCATCGCAAACCGAGCAGAAGTGATCCAGACCAACGCCCGTATGCTGATGCCATGCAAGGAGCAAACTCCCAAACAACAACAGCCCCAAGGAAGAGAGCCCACAAGAAGCCCTAGAGTTAAGAAAAATACAAAAGGTCAAGCTATAGAACAAAATGTTCACGATTATCTCTTAATCTTATTATTTGTGCTTACTGATACCCAGCATCATTCTGGGTTTGATAGAGAAGCGCTTCTTGAGGCCATTCTGGCTCAGCCTGTTCATCGTACCTGATCGGACCTTGTGCTTGAGCCTGCGTTGGTGGAGGATTGTATGGACCTGACATCATGCTGTATCGTAACTGTTGGCTGGGCAAGGAATCCCTGCCTTGCGACATAACGGGTGGCTGGATCCGAGGGGTAGCCTGTAGAGCGGGATTAGAGCTATTAGAACCTGGGCCTGGGCTGGACCGGTGAGACGAAGGAGTATTCCCTCGTGAAATTGGTTTCATGGGGACAAGGCCGGTGTGGCTAAACGGGACGGGTTCGGAGTGTTGCGGCTGGGGGGCCTGGGTTCCAGGAGGGATTTGTTGGAAGGAAGCGTCTTGGGCAGTGTCACCCTGAGTGAAGCCAGTGGGTGATTCAACCAAAAAATCGTTTTGCTCGGGGATCGGATTCTGGTTGTGGCCATAGTAATTCGCGGAGGAACCCCGGCTGTCATAGTTAAAAGACTGGTGATATTGCTCAGTGTCATGTGCATTTCCAAATGACGGATCTCCAGCAGTATAATGATCCGCAGCAATACCTTCATGGGAACGGGGATAATGCTCAACAGGTTCATCTGCATGCGCCTTGCCGCCCCTTGGCGGAGGAGCCGGCTGATAGCCTCCATATTCTTCCGCTTCCAGCAGTGTAGACGGTAGACGACCGCTCCCTTCGATCATGCTTCCAGTTTTGGATGCCCTGGCATAGGCCTCTGCCAATTGGGTTGCAGATCCATCTGCATCCCGGATACTGAATTGGGCGATCGTACGGATCTTTCGTGTCACCCATAACCCAAGAATCTTGCCTCGTTGCTTCTCGCCTAGACGCGAGCGCGGGAAATCGCCTCGAGGAACAAAGGCGACGATGTCAATGACGACCTGATGCTCAGTGAGCACAGCATTCACTATTACAGGCACAATGGATGCAAGATAGGCTTTCCGGGTAACTTCAACAAGGGCAACAACGAGCCCACCAGCTTGAAATACAGCACTACGTTTGTCAGGCATCAGTATAAGAACAGAATGTTGGCAGGTAAACTGAACAACTAACCTTCCACCCTTGACGATATTCCGATGGCTTTTCTCGATTGTAAGCTCAATATCCATAGGGAAATGGTTTAGACCGTTGACTTCAAACGTTTCACCGATACCACCAAGCACAAACAGCACTTGCATCTCGACCGGCTGTCCGCCGGGTCCAATTGGCCTTGTTACCGTGTGCAAAAAGCCTAAATCGCCAGTACGCACGTATATGGCATTTGGGTCACCGTCTACTGTCCGTCCCCTGAACCTCTCCAGATCAAATTCCTGTTTAGAACGGTAGAATGATTTGACGCAGGCATCCGATTGGACCCATATTTCGCCGTATTCGCCAACGTGGGAAAGACAACACGTCTCCGGGTTCACTACAGCTATTTGAGTGCTCACGGGTACCATACCTGAATCTTGGACTAATAGCGTATGGCCAGGAGTATCCGGATCTACCGGAACGACATACCCCTGACGAAGATATTTGGTATCGAGCCAGAGCTCGATTGGCTCAATGCACATGTATGATCTAGATGCGATCATAGGATTTAGAACGTGGGAGTAAATGGTATTAATTGCGGTACGATCAAGCCCAACGGCAGCAAAGTGTAATCGCACTCGTTGATCTAAATGAAGGGTCAGCTTATTGAAGCATTATTCGCGAACGGGATTTGAACATACAAACATCGATTCTGGGCCTACCCTCTACAGAGATCATGAGATTCTTTAATTCATGTAGCTGGAAACCTTTGGCAGCCATGCTACCCATCGCGTGGTCTAACATTTGGCTAGTAGCATATGTATCCTTGATTTTGTATCTCGCTAGGGTTAGGAATAAAGATAATGGGTTTGCAGCAAAGTCAATGGGCGAAACCAAGTAAGTAGGTGCACCTATGGATAAATGAGTTCAAGGCAAAGGGCATTTCTTACGGGGGCGAGTAAAAACATACCGACATATGGTCCCATCAAGCAAGTATGCAGAAAACCCAGGCCTATCGTACTGCGCACGCTCCCTAGAACCGGCCGCGCACTAGACATCTGGCAGGTTTCTTTTTGAACCTTGCACATTCCCATAATCGTGTCATGTCCGATCTCAACCGAGAGTCTTCGTTGGTCCGCAGTCCAGTACGTCCAAATCAACGCTGGTTGATTATTCTTTAGCCATTGAGGGTTCATGGTAAATCCCAAATGACGGCAACCGTGCGATTGTTTTGGGGGCTTCGATGTATTATAAGTATTTGGAACATTTGTGCGAACGACGTGCGCGGACTGCTTGATATGCTGAGATACGATTTTCTGCTTCATCAAGTCGTTCACTTCGCTGTTGACAAGAATCGCCTTTACATTGAAATCGCTGATGACATGGAGTAAAGCCGGAGCATCTTCGGAAAGTCGATTTTGGTCCACTGGGGAGACGGGGATAGCTATCAAGCCCAAACAGAAGCAGGCGTGTACGGCGAACACGTAATCCTCGGAGTGGGTATACATGAGAATAACATGGTCTCCCGGGCGAAGTTTCGCTTTATTTTTAAGATAAGCCGCCACCGCAGCGACCTTTGTGTCAAACTTCTTCCAAGTGATGCCTTTACCTTCGCGCCCACGTCCGTCGATGGAGCAATAACAGAGCTCCTCCCCTTGACGACTGATCCGCCATTGAAGTAAATCGACAATACTCGTGAAGTTATTCAGTGGCGTCGAGGTGCGGTCATCCATGATAACATCGCGCAAATCGACACCCGAATACTGTTTTTCTTGCATAGCCAAGGCATCCTGTCTTGCAGCGGATGAAGGAACAGACCATATTCCACCGGCTGGATCAACGCCTATTGGAAGGTTCAGAACAGACCGTTCGACGCCGAATTTAACATGCTCGCAGGGAAGTGACCCATTATCAAACTCCTTGCGACATAGCATGTTTCCGATCTCTTGTCGTCCGTTTTTTATCACCCGTGGAAGCGTATTTGGCGCAGTGAGCATCACACAATAAACACGAAGATGATGCTCTTGGTACAATATGTCCATGCATTTTTCTGCTAAGGAATCCAGAAGAGCGACATCCAGCTGTCGAGGCGGCCCACCTGAAGTCACCGGAGCTGTTGAAGCGGTATACGATTCCAAAACCACGACGGGCAAATGTTCCTCGTTCACGAAAACATCAAAAGCTGAGCAGTCGTGGATTTTGGGCACGTTTTTCATGATGCTGATGATTAGGTGCTGGACAAAGAAGTACCGGTGCTCTGTAACTTCGACACCATGCTCAACCCATTCAACCTTTTGACGCAGGCGGTCTTCGTAGAGCCCGAGGACAAATATCTGACCCTCAATAACGCAACCAAGAAGTCCAGTTCGCAAAAACTCGGGTTCTACGAGTATGGGTGTTGGACTCCCCTCTTGGAACCGGTAAGGGCGAGCGTGGAAGATGGCCTCTGTGTGCTTAGGAAGCGCCCAGAAACCTCCTGACAGAGAAGGGGAATCGACCCATATCTCGCCGATAACATTAGGGGTACATAACAATCCGGTCTCCGGATCAACGATTGCTAACGTTGCATCGGGAAGAGGATAGCCAAAGGCACCAACCCTTACAGCGTTCGGTGTGCTGTCACCCAATCTTCTTGCTTCCTCACCCACAGCTAAAATCACAAGTTCATTATTTTTCAGGGCTTCCTTGTCTAGAAGAACCTCTGCAAGGTCATTCCGAGGACCTTCTTTTTGCGTTGGTGCCGCAGTACCGCCTATCAGGCTGCTTCCGAAAGTGGCTTTTGGCTCCTCACCCTTAGGTTCCTCTCCATCCTTTTTATCGGCTCCGGCTTCTTCCTTTTGCTCTCCAGGCGGTTGTACTTCATGCTTCAAAGGGCAACCCATGCGTTCTCCTCCTCCAAGCCAATCACGTAAACTGACAACCATACCACCGTGTTCAGGGAGACACAGCATGGGCGCAACCAATTCACGGGCTCGGGGATTCCGCAGTGGCCTTAGCCACCTGTCAGCTAATACTTCATGAAACTCGCAGTCAACGGTCAACGTGTCAATCAGGCATAACTTCAGACTTGCGAAGTTGGGTTCAGTATTCTTTTTGAAGTTTCTAGTAGCCATCGGGTCCTGCTGATAATTGTACACGGCTCTTTTGAGGCCCGGATAATCCGCCGCAAGCAAGGTGGCTCTATATTTGGTAATCAGACTAGCATAAAGCCCGGGAGTCTCTACTGCCAGCGACTCAAGCCAAACAGTAGTGTTGCCAGCATAAACCGTAAAAAGAACACTGAGAATCATGCCAATCCCCTGTCTAGGGTCGAGATAACTCATAAGTATTTCGTCGTGAGGTCTCGGCACGGGTTGGCCAGTGGTGTTGCCGCTGGTAGGTATGGTCGACACAATAGCAGACATGCAAGACATCTGATGCATTATCGTGCGGTGGCTCATCACTACTCCCCTCAAATCACCGGTCGGAGCCCTGGCAAACTCAATATATGCCAAATCGGGCACAGCCAGTGCGGGCATTTCATCTTTTCTCTTGGGATGATAACTTCCAAACTCGTTGGTTTTCCACCACTCGACGCCTCTCGGCCACTGTAACTTTTGAGTGGCGATATCGCGCTGGAATGTTTTCAAGTTGTTTTCCGTTGTGAGCGCAAGGTGGGCCTGAGTTGACGTGAGAATGACATTGAGGCTGGCGTAATCTTCAAGGTTGTTGATAGGAACGGCGACTACACCGGCTATGAAACATCCCAGTAGTGCCACTGCAAACTCTATGACTTCGGTATCACGATACACTAGGGCAACCCGGTCTCCTCGATATAAGCTACTCTTGTCACGGATCACTTGAGCAACCTTCTCTGCTCGGCTCCCCAGTTTCTCCCAGGTTATCGACGCTGTCTCCTTTCCTCGCTGGTCAAGGACCCAATACGCGGGTTGCTTTGGATGGGAGCGTGCACGATAGCGTAAGACTCCGGGCAAATTCTCAAATTTAGACATTGGATACTTAGCATCATGAGGGTCGCAAATTTCGAACGTAATATCCCGTGGCTCTAATGGTAAAAGATGGTCAACAGCTACGGCTCCTGCCAGCCCTGTTGTAGGCATAGGTGGTGGAGCCATATTGGCTGTGGGTGAAAAAGTTTCATGTTGAGAATACCGAAGCCCACCACCATAGCTCCCTCTTCGTTCAGCGTGCTGCTGGCCAGCAAAGTCCGAAAAATATGCTTGCTGTGAGTCAAGCATTGAAGAGTTTCTGGCGTGGCCACCATAGCCTTGTTGATCGTTGGGATTGAACGCATAGCTTTGGCTCATAATCGTTGGGGATCGAGATTGATCATATTGTGAAATGCTCGTATTGACCCCCGAGTTTCGCAGAGAATCGTAAGAAGCTCTTGTTGGCTGATGGCCCGAGTCAAGCGAGAAACCCAGCTCATTTTCGTGTATTCGCGACAGAGGGTTTACCGGGGGATTAGCATATTCACTTTCTGTTGGCGATACAAGGAGATTCGCAGGAAGGTAGTCTGACTGCCGCCGGTTATCCGCATAAACTGATCGGCGGGCTGTCTGTGCGCTAGGTATGGAAGCGGGAGCGCCTTGCGGGAGATCCTTTCGGGGAAGGTTAAGGCCCTGGTGTCCCTGATGGCCGTCCGCGGAGAGATACTGCGACAAGAGGAGGGTTCGACGCTTCTGATATCTTGAAAGCAGTTAACAAAACGCCCGCGAGTATGCAACTCCGCTCACTTCCGGTTGGCGCGAACGAGGTCCAATAGGGCCCGAACACTGGACGAGCTGATGATTTGAGAGCCGCTTACCCTTTTTCTGTGATATCCCCATCCTATAGCAATGAACATCAGTACTGACCGTAATTCAGGCCAACGTCAGAGGCATAGAAAAGCGCCGACATACCTCCAACTCCTGGTCGAGTTCCCGCAGCACGGCCTGGAGCTCGGGATTGTCCTCAGCCATCATGGACGCCAATTCACTTCGTTGTTCAGCGATTGCGCCACATATCAGTGTGTTCTCATGGGCGTGGAAGGTCAGGCAATCCAGTCCAGGATTTATCGCTGCATTCCAGGAAAGATGACGAGCAGTGATCAGCTGCGACCTGCAATCCCGGGAGCCAATTGGTGGGGGGCCAGTGAAGAAGGCAAACTAGCGACGGACAAACTATTTCGCGCGGCTCGCTCGTGAAGGGATTCTTTCTGTGAGGAATGGTGATGAAAGGCGTTTAGGAGGGAGAGGATATGTGCTCGCCTTCGAATGAACTGAGATTAAACTGAGACAATGGTAGCTTGCTTTGTTGGAGTCTACCAAGCTTAAAGCGACATCAGCCCGTTACCCCAAGCCTTCGATTCGCCATCATCCTCTGTAGGCATGATGTAAATACACTCCGAACACAGTCCTCAGGTCTAGGGAGTTTGGAGATGCATGGAAAATGGCTAGGGCATATCAACTTACAGCGGCACTCATTGTCTAACTACTGCCCTCGGCCCTGCCGGCGCGACTCCACGAGCACGGAATCTAGATCCTGGGGACCAAAGGACGGAAGATAAACCATGCTTGCTCGACTTCTCATCTCCAACCGCATGTGGCTGTCGAAATCGAATTCATTGGCTGGCAATCGATGCGAGAAGCATACGATGCGAGAATGATGTGACCCTTCGCTGGGGCATGCTGGCGATCGGCAGCGTCTCAGCAGAAGCTATAAAAACCAGCTGAACAGCCCTGTTCGGAATGTCGAGCTGGGCCAAAAGATGATGGTAGTGAGACAGGTTATTGCATAAGTTCTGATTGAATTCTGGCTGTCGTCTAGTTACCCTCAATCATGCTGTTATCCCCCATCTTCCTCCTAGTTGTGCATATTTTCGGCACCATTGCGTGTTCTGGCTGTTATGGGCCTTCGGATCTGAACCAACATGCGAGACTGGTTCGTCGTATGCAACCTGAAGCTCTGAACGCGACGACTAAACCAAGAGGGCCCCTTGAATGGGGCCAGATCAATTTCCTCCATACCACAGATACGCACGGCTGGCTTGCTGGCCATCTGAAAGAGCGAAACTACGGTGCCGACTGGGGAGACTTTGTGTCTTTTGTAAAGCATATGCGCAGGAAGGCTGATCGGCTCAATGTCGATTTGCTTGTCATTGACACTGGTAAGATATGATATTAAATGGACGCCATATCTCAAGCAATAATTCCTGACCATGGATATAGGAGATTTGCATGACGGCAATGGGCTCACCGATGTCACAACTCCTAATGGCGCGATTAGTGACGGTATTTTCACCGAAATAGACTACGACCTGCTTGCAATTGGCAACCATGAACTATACGTCACAGAAGTAGCGTACCACAGTCAGGCCAACATCTCGAGACTCTATGGTGATAAATATCTGACCAGCAATGTCCAATTACTCAACCGCGATACTGGCGAGTTCCAGGATTTCGGCAGCAAATACCGCTATTTTACCACGAAACATGGACTTCGGATCATGGCCTTTGGCGTACTGTTTGATTTCACAGGGAATTCGAATGTTTCCCGGGTAACAAAGGCGGAAGATATGGTAAAACAACCTTGGTTTAGAAGCGCAGTGAATTTCCGCAAACCAATCGACCTCTTCCTCATCATTGGACACAATCCTGTCCGACTGGGAGTCAGCTCTGGCACCTTCGGCACAGTGTACAAGAGTATCCGAGAAATGCGGCCAGATGTTCCAATTCAAACCTTTGGAGGTCATACACATATCCCGGGATTTCGTTGTGTACGACGAGATGTCAACCGGGACTCGAGTCCGGGCGCTATTGTGAAACGTTGGGATGGCTTGCCATGACCGGCATTAAATCCCGCACATTCACTGGTAGTATGCGTCCGAGGAGGCGTTCCAAATCCGACCAGAAAAGCCATCAAACATCAGAGCCAGCAACAACAGCGATCTTCTGACCGTGGAAGACGGTCGCTGAGGTATGCTCGTCGCTACCTTGACTGGAATCGATTGACATTTGCGTACCACGCACGAAAGTCGCAGGATCGCAGATTCGATACCCACCATGGAGTGGAGGTGACTGGTGACATCACAAAGTCTCTAAAAGATTTGAATCTCACACACATTTTTGGCTGTGCACCGAGGACATACTGCCAATCGTGCAAGCCATTTGGCGCAGAAGGTAGTATTTACAAACTCGTTGAGACGGCTCTTGCGGCCACTGTTGTCAATCAGTCCCGGGCCGAAATCCCACGATATATCCTCATTAACAGCGGGACCATGCGGTTTGACTTGGTCCAAGGCCCTTTCACTGTCGGGGATTCGTATATTGTTAGTCCCTTTAAGAATGCTTTCCAGTTTATTCCAGATGTCCCATACTCGGTGGCAAGCAAGGTCCTCAGCGTTCTGAATCGTGGGCCATGGCAGAAGCGCAACGCCTACACATACCCGGCTCCCACGTTCACTGGCGAAGATGCCTGTGTTGACCCTCCGTATACCGCCATGAAGGAGAGGAGCGAAATACTCCAGTCCAACGTGTTAGCCCTCCGTGGACTGACACCTCCAAAAATATATCCCGGCTACACCACAGTCGACGACTTTGGAGCGGACGGGGATGATACACCGCACTCCAAGATCCCATACTTTGCGGCGGAAAATGACGTCCAGGCAAATGCATCTTTTCCCACTGACGGTTCGATGCCAGAAGCGGTGGATCTGGTGTTTTCTGAGTTTATTGGCGTCAGATATGTGCTGCCTGCATTGGCCAAACTGGGAGCCAACTACACGAGTAGCGACATTCAGCTCTATCTCCCCAGGACGTTCACGAGTAATGATGTTCTGCCGGCATATGCAATGAAGGCCTGGCAGGAGAATGTGCCGGACTGCCCAGTGGGCGAGGGCGTTGAGTAGATACTAGTAGAGGTACTTGTAGGAATAACATACGCGGTTGCCGCTAAGACTAGTATTAGTAATCTGATATTTGCACGTGACTGCTTAGTAAAGACACAGCAAGAGCTCTGATTGGCCCAGACGCCAAGCTGCCCTAACGCTGCCCACACAGAATTGCAGGCAAGTCGCTAAGCGAGCCCGCACCTCCAATTTTGCGTCGACAAGCAACCGAACGACAATCAACGACCGACGCTCGTCCTCGACACCTTTTGCCAGCAACACCCAGCTTCTTCCTCGACCAGGTGTAATCAGCGTCAATCATGTCCGACAGCGGGGAAGTCGAGGTCGAGAGCCCGTCCGGCTTCTCGATGTTGCCCAGAGATGTCGCCTCTGAAATCGGCAGCGTCAAGCTCTTCAACAAGTGGAGTTATGAGGATATCGAGGTTCGGGATATATCTTTGACGTACGTGTCGTCTTACTTTTCCTGGCTGCCTTTGGTTTATCGAACGACGAGTCTGCAATCTGTCGAGTTGGGGGGGGTGATATAAAACGAACAGCAGGTCTTCTATTTGGAGAGGGCGTCTTGACTGACTTGGACCTTGAAACTTGCAGCGATTACATTCAGATCAGACAACCCGTGTACCTCCCTCACTCTGCTGGCCGATATGCTGCCAAGCGCTTCCGCAAGGCTCAATGCCCGATCATTGAGCGTCTCACCAACTCCCTCATGATGAACGGCCGAAACAACGGAAAGAAGTTGATGGCTGTCCGGATCGTTGCTCATGCCTTCGAAATCGTACGTTTTCCCGCCTACCTATATTACGTGTATAGACCTTTTGGCGGGGGATGAAATGGATATTAATTGCACTCTACAGATCCACATCATGACCGACCAGAACCCCATCCAAGTTGCTGTTGATGCTATCGCCAACTGCGGTCCTAGAGAAGACAGCACTCGTATCGGTTCCGCTGGTACCGTTCGTCGCCAGGCCGTCGATGTTTCTCCTCTCCGCCGTGTCAACCAAGCCATTGCTCTCCTCACCATCGGAGCCCGTGAGGCCTCGTTCCGCAACGTGAAGAGCATCGCTGAGTGTCTCGCTGAAGAATTGATCAATGCCGCCAAGGGAAGCTCGAACTCATATGCCATCAAGAAGAAGGACGAGTTGGAGCGTGTCGCAAAGAGCAACCGATAAACGATTTCAGAAAAAGTATTATGGTTGTTGCTTTTGTCGTATCCAGGTGGATGGTGTCCGGTTCTGGTGATTTGCTTTCATATACGACTATGGTCTATTGGACTGCTATTTGAAAGAGCAAAGTTCGAACGGATAACTTGTCTACCATGTAGTCGGAACGCAATTATGAAGTTCTCAAATACTATTCCCGGTTCATTTGTTTGTAGCATCTATCATTGCCTGTATAGTCCAACGCGGAATACGGTGAAATTGCTATTCCCGTTGAACTAGACGCTTCGTACGCCATGCTTGTTAAAATGCCCAGAAAATAGTCATCAGTCGTGCTGTCATAAAAAAGATTGACTCTTGACCGCAACTAGCGGCGTTTGTTGCGGCGATAAAAAACTTCGAGGAACCCGGGATCAAAAAATCCTCCGCCTTATCTCCTTAAAGCACCAACATCCAAATTCGTCCGGGAAGCCTGTGTGGCCATGGGGAAACGCAAATTAGGCGCCTTGGAAAAGGTGGACGCTGATCTGTATGTAAAATCGGCTGAGCCTCGCGCTCTCGCAGCGGATCGGAATCGCTGACAGGCCCATTATCCAGGACGAATCTACAATACAAAATCCGCAGAGATCCCAAGTACGTTTTGGCACGGGGCATCCTCTTCGCCTAAAGCAACAATATCTAATCATTTTAAATCGCTGTTTTAGATCCTACGTCGAAGATTTTCGCAGCCAGCATTTCCAATATGAATCGCACCGCGAGATATTCATGGCGGCGCCGTCCTCGGCCACAGACACTGGCATCATTTCGCTTCGAGACTTGATTGACTTCATTGCTCACGTTGCAGACTGCTATCCGGATATCACGAAGGGGTTTCCGCAGGAATTGATCGAGATCCTGTCGCTGCATCACGCAGTATTGGACCCAGACCTGAGAGAGAAAGTCGTGACGAGTTTGGTCTTGCTGAAAAGGAAGGACATTATTGATTCAGCTACGTATGCAAAACCTGGTTGCTTAACCTCCAGTTTGATTTGATCCTGAATATTGACCGTTGCTATCTCTAGTCTTTTGCAAACCCTCTTTCCCATACTCGTGTCAACGCTCAGCAAAACGCTGCGGGCTTTGCTATTTCAAAAGATCATTTCCGACCTACGCACATCGAATTCGAAGAGTACCAATCACAAGTTGAACAAGACGATCCAGACTGTCCTTTTCAACCTCGTCACCTCCGACCGAACCTCTACAAAAGCTCTATGGGCGATCAAAATCACAAGGGAGCTCTGGAAGCGGCAAATATGGGCCGACGCGAAAACCGTAGAGATTATGAAGGAAGCATCGTTAGCGGATAATGAGAAAGTCGTAGTTGGGGGTGTACGCTTCTTTCTCGGTGGCGATAAAGAGCGGGAGGAGCTGGAAGACGAAAGCAGTGACGAAGAGGCCATGGATGTAGCGCGTGTGCGCCACCAAGTTGGAATCAACAAGAAAAGCAAGAAGAAGGCCCGGCAGGTGGATAAAGCAATCGCGACAGTCAAGAAAAAGGAGCGGAAGAAGAATCAGCCACATCCGTTGAATTTTTCGGCCCTCCATCTCCTTCACGATCCCCAGGGGTTTGCGGAAACCCTTTTTCAGAAGCACCTCCAGAACACGAAATCGAAGCTGAATTTGGAGCAGAAGCTCCTTGTTTTGCAACTTGTCTCGCGGCTTGTCGGCCTACACAAACTCACGGTCATCCAGCTGTATTCTTATTTCCTGAAATACTTAACCCCGAAGCAACCCTCTGTCACTTCATTCCTCGCATCTCTCGCCCAGTCTACCCATTCCCTGGTACCCCCTGATGTTCTCGAGCCCTTGGTAATGAAGATTGCGAACGAGTTCGTTTCAGAAGCAGCGGCTGCCCAGGTTGCATCTGCCGGTCTGAACGCCATCCGAGAAATATGTGTCAGACAACCGCTTGCAATGAATGATACCTTACTTCAAGACCTTGTCATGTACAAGAAGAGTAAGGATAAAGGAGTCATGATGGCGGCAAAAGGACTCCTAGGACTCTATCGGGAAGTGGGTGCAAGCTTGCTGAAAAAGAGAGACCGAGGAAAAGATGCAAGCATTGCATTGAAAGCTGGTGATCGCAAGGAGAAAAGGTATGGTGAAGAGGAAGTCGGTGAAATTGAAGGCATCGAATTACTAGAACAGTGGAAAGAAGAAGAAAGAAGAAAAAGGAGGAGAGAAAAGGGTTTGCCGTCCGACGGAGAAAGTGGCGATGAAGAATCAGAAAATGATGACTGGGCTGCTTGGGATGTTGAAGAGGATGATAGTGACGACTCTGGAGGCTGGATCGACGTCCAAAGCGATGCAGAGATTGAAGTCAGTGACTCTGAAGACGAAACCCCTGCAACGAAGAAGCAGAAGATGGGAGACGAGATAAGCGGAGACGCGGAGAGTACGTCGACTCGCCCGAAGTCGGAAGAACCTACAAATAAGGTGTCGAAACTGGCAACGACAAAGGTCTTGACTCCGGCAGACCTTGCGAAACTTGCAGAGCTGCGTGCTGCGGCGGGTGTTTCGGCCCTGGTCAACGGAAGCAAGCCTGGGGCGCGAAAGCAAGCTGTCACAAACGCTGCCAGGCATATCGATGACCCACTGACAGCCGCGGAAATTGAAGGCCTGGCCGCCCTCTCTGTTGGCAAAGCAACTCGAGAGGAGAAAATTGCGCGCATGAATGAGAATAAGAGTGACAGGTCCGAGTTCAAGAGCAAAATGCAGCGAAAGAAGGAGAAGAAAGAATCTCAGGGCAAAAGTACCACCAACAAGGAGAAAGCAAGGAAGAAGAACTTCCTTATGACACTGGGCAAGGCAAAATCCAAGAACAAACGGAGTCTGGTGGAAACGAGGGCTGTTCTTCGGGCGCATCAGGAACGATCCAAAAGGGGCGGCAGGAGAGGTAACAAGTAGTGATATAGTGAGCGTTGAGGCATGGGGAATTTCTCCTCTGCGCCCTCTTGTGCAATGATAGAAGCCTTCATTAGAGCCGACATGCGAGATATTTGACTCACACTGCATTGCTAGATGCAACTAGATATAGAGAACAATAGTCCTTCTCAATATAAAAGCCATTTCGCTGCCTATTCACCACCGCTGCCCGGCCCCCTTGTATATCACGTGATCGTGAGCTTCGGCTGCATCTTTGAAGCTCGCCAACTTTGTGCTGCTGGAGGTCGCAAGATCAGTCAAAGGGAAAAGACCGATAGAGCAGTTCTTGCTGGTATCCGTACTGGCCACTGCTGAGCCTGATTCTACTGTCTGTACGCCTCCAGTGACTGATACAGGAAGACATCTTTCCCGCCTTCAAGGTGGTGATGCTGCTGAGCGGCATTATCCGCTGAAAACTGCGCCTTCTCAACCCTCTAATCTGGAATACCCTTTCGCTATGGCCTCTCCACGCCCTACCCCAACACCCACGGCGCCAGCGCAACCTCTCACCCCTCCTGCAGAACGACCTTCCTCCTCCAGCAACATCGCCGCCGGCAATCCATCCAATGCCGCCTCAACAACAACAGCTCCGAATCCTCCCCAGGTTCCCGGAACCTCGCTTCAAGACAGCGGTAAAACAAGACGGCCCCGCGATGCGCGACTAATACATATGCTTCTTGCGTCTTCCGGTGTGAGTGCATATCAAGAACGAGTACCCCTCCAGCTGCTCGATTTCGCATATCGCTACACATCCAGCGTCTTACAAGACGCCGTATATCTCGCCGCTGAGGGTTATGCCGGTGACGTATCGGGCTCAAAGGCTGGCGAGGGTACCAAAACCCAGCAACCTTCGCAGGAAATCTCGACTGTGAGTTTACAAGCTCTACGATTGAGCATCGCGTCGCGATTACATTATCAGTTTCAGCCTGGCTTGCCCAAGGAGTTCTTGATGGATATTGCCGCGGAGCGGAATCGGATAATGCTTCCCGGTCTTTCGAGAGGTGCTGAAGGCGGAATGTCTAATGTTGCGGCACCGGGCGTAATCATGGGTGGCATGAGGCTGCCGCCTGAGAGATTCTGTCAGACTGGTGTGGGTTGGGGTTTAAGAGACGAGTGGGAGAGTGAGGGAGAAGAGGAAATGGAGGTTGATGCTGCCGGACAGCAAGGAGCCCCTACCACTGCGGCTGCACCCGGGGGAGAGGAGGGCGGCGCTGAGGACGATGATGTTGACGGAAAGATGGAGGACATTTTCGGCGAAGACGCGATGGATGAGGACAATCCCGATGGCGATAAAACTATGACAGATGTCTGAGCATCTGGTTTTTCCCTCGAATCTCTTCTATTTCCAATTAACTACTGCGCGGCGTGGGCTCCATATCCCTTTCTCGGCGTCGCATGGGCTGGGTCTGTTCAACAGGTTTTATGGCGGGTGTCTTGGGTTCATTTGAGGTAAAAGGGTGAGAGGCATTTTCATGGCAAACCTGGCTAGCGGAGATATATCACGGTCATATCTGTACTGTACACTATAATCTAAATGAAAAGGGAAGCAAATAATGACCCACCAGGGCTCAACTCCTTTAACGCCGCTCGATGCGTGATTGTTGGGCGCGGGGAGATCCATAGATCTCATCCAACTGCAGAAGCCGATATCGTCAATCCACCGTCCTACCTCCAGGGGATTCCGGTCCGTTCACTTTCAAACCCAAAACCGTATGCTGTCTCCCAAACCCTTCCTCGTGAATGTCAACAAAGGTCATCTCGTCCCCAATCCAAGCCAATTCCCACCAGCAGCTTTTCCCTCTGCTTCCTTTGCCCTGCGCTGTTCTTCATCCCTTTTCATCAGCGCGATCACCTCTTTCCTCCGATCCTCTACCCCCTGCTCCTCCCTCTCGCGTGCCCTTCTCCGTTCTTCCCGCCCGGCAAACCATTCTTCCCGCGCCCGATCTTCTTCCTCGGGTTTGGCATGCTCAACCATACAAGCATTCATCGCCAATCGCTGCTTCCGACATACCCACGTCGCGGTTATTGTGCGATTAAGGGCGCAGGCGGCGAATTCTGTTCATAGAGTCGATGTTAGAAATTTGGATGGAACGGCGTCTAAGGGTTTGATTGCGAACGGAGGGAGGGGCATTCAACCTTTGATTTCTGCTGCGCAGTATCCTCGTACGCGTTTGTAGTATATGTCTTTAACCTCAGCTTCCTGCGATGCCGAAAGCGGTGTTGGGTTTCGGAGGTTTATTCTTGGGTGCGAGGGAGGAGGATTGTTTGCGGTTTCGGGGGTGGATGTAGTCGCTGCCATCATTGTGGGCCCCCCAATGTAGTTTATAGAAAGTAAGACACCGACCAGATGTGTAAATATGACTGTTTTAATGTCGTTCTTTAGAATAGGCCATAAGATTTGTGGTGCCTGGCGTGGTTGAAGATAATATCTGGTGACCAGATTGGACGAGTTGAAGTGGAGTTGAGTTGGGGAGCTTCAGAGTTCGAGAATTTTCAAGACCACCACAATCGATTCTGCCTTCAAATATCAACTACATGTGAACGACAGTCTGTCTCGCTTCCTCCACCTTGCAAAGGGAGATATATCATATTTACTCGTATATCTAGTCGTGATCCTACTGGATCCATTACCATTGGATACTCTGATACAGCCAGCTCCCACATGTCTTCTCTCCGCAACGCCGTCCAGCGACGGCAGCACCGCGAGCGGGCACAACCCACCGCCCGCGAAAAATGGGGCCTCCTAGAAAAGCACAAGGTAGAACGATACCCCCGTCCCCTCTAGAACACATCTTGTTAACAGTGCCATGCAACCAGGACTACTCTCTCCGCGCCGCCGACTACAACCTCAAAAAGGCCAAGCTCCAACGCCTGCGCGAAAAGGCCCGTGACCGCAACCCCGATGAATTCGCCTTTGGGATGATGTCCACGGGGTCTCGGGCCCAGGGACATCATGGCGCACGGGATGGTGCGCAGAATTCGTTGAGTATGGAGACGGTCAAGCTGCTGAAGACGCAGGATGCGGGATACTTGCGGGTGGTCGGAGAAAAGGTGCGGAGGCAGATGGAGCAGGTGGAGCAAGAGATTCGGCTACAGGATGGGTTGAAAGGTGCTCTGAGCAAAAACAAAGTCCGTGGGAGTCTGGCTGACCATGGGGACGAGGACGAGGACGAAGAGCTCGGGGGGATAAGAAAGGTCGGAAGTAAAGTTGTTTTCGTAGAGTCAGTGGAGGACCAAAAGGATGTTGTCGACGGAATCAGCGCGGGAGATGAAGATAACAACAGAAACGAGACTCTGGGCCGGGACCGGTCGTCTGCGCAGCGCAAATCCAAAAAACAGCTAGAAACAGAAGCACGGATGCGACGAGAGGTTCAAGCTGCGAAGAAACAAAAGAAGAGAGCCGCTGAATCGAGGCTAAAAAGGCTCGATGCGTTGAAAAAGCAGTATCGGGACATTGTCTCTGCTGAACAGGAACTGGATCTACAACGGGGGAAGATGGAAAACTCCGTCGGTGGTGTGAACAAATATGGCGTCAAATGGAAGGTCAGGGAGCGCAAACGATAATAGTCTACTTTCGTTTCCTTTGCTTTATGATATAATGATACCTCTTCTGCTTCTTGTCTGGGCTGCTCCGCGCTTTTCACTCTGGCGTGGTGTGCATAAAAGGATTCTAATAAATTCAGAAACGTTGAGCGATCTCTATAACAGCAATTATTCTCGAATGTACCTCGAAAGGCCACATGGTATGGTCTTCCCCATGTAAGGCAGAGATAACCCCGCTAAAAAATATATACAAGAAAAGGATTCGCAATATCTGCAACTTTTGAATAGCAGTACTAGGCCTTGTTTTGGTTGATGAAATCCATACGTATGCTGACAGCCCGGCGGTGGGCATCCAGACCCTCCACAGATGCTAACTGCATCACAGCCTCGGAAACATTCTGAAGCCCTTCAGCAGTAAGATTAGAGCTAGTGATGTGCTTCACGAATGACGCAAGGTTAACACCGGAGTATTGCTTTGCAAAGCCATATGTTGCTTTAAGAAATGTTAGTCAGAGAGTCGGGGTTGTAAATCGTCCTATGGGGGGGACTTACGTAGAGAATGATTTACTCCAGCAGAGTAGTCGCCGACACTCTCCGGAGTCCACTGGCCTATGAAGACACTGCCTGCATTTTCTACCATAGGGATCAAGTCTGCCGCATTCTGAACCTGGAGGATAAGATGCTCAGGGGCATATTCATTGCTTAGTGCAAGTGCCTCATTAATGTCTTTCACGACAAAGGTTACTGAGTGTTCTATAGAACCTCGCACAATGTCAACTCGAGGCAATTGACTTGCTTGCTGGTGCAGCTCGTCCTCGATAGCCGATAATTGCACATCGTTCAGGTCAACGGCAATCAAAATCACTTGAGAATCAACACCGTGCTCAGCTTGGCTGAGCAAGTCCGATGCAACAAATGCAGGATTTGCATGCTGGTCAGCAATGACCAGAACTTCGCTGGGCCCTGCAGGCATATCGATGCCCACGCCCGCCGAAGTGTCGTTTGAAACAAGCATTTTAGCAGCGGTCACAAACTGATTTCCTGGGCCAAGGATTTTGTCAACTTTGCTAACACTTTCAGTACCATACGCCATTGCAGCCACGGCTTGCGCGCCTCCTGCAAGCACAATGCTTTCAGCTTGAACCTTGTGCGCGATATAAACTATTTCGGGGGAGATACTACCGTCCGAACGGGGTGGGGATGCTAGCACAATCTTCTTACATCCAGCAACCATTGCAGGAACTCCTAGCATGAGGGCAGTAGAAGGTAAAACAGCCGTGCCGCCAGGAACATAAAGCCCAACTCTCTCGATAGGACGTGTAAAGCGGGAGCACACAACCCCCGGCATCGTTTCCACGCTCAGGGGCTTTTCTTCTTTTTGGGCTGCATGGAAACGTCGAATGTTCTCAAAGCTTATGTCAATGGCATTCCTCGTCTCGGGCGTAAGTTTCATCAGGTCTGCTGAAAAGGGAGCGCGGAGCACAGGAGAGCTGAGCGAGGTTGCTTTTTCAAACTTGTGCGTATATTTTAAAACTGCAGCATCTCCATTCTCTCGCACGTCCTGAATGATAGGCTTAACCAACCCCACGACAGCTTCATTCGACCTTTGCGACGGACGTTGCAGGGCATCTTTGATCTCCTTTTGTGAAGTCGAAGCCGTGATATACCGTTTCATTCGAATCTTTTGGTCCACATGTTGGATGGGCTCGCTTGATTTTGTAGATTCTGGCTGTTCTTGCGCTTCCACTGGAGCCGAAAGGCCAACTTTGGTAGCCCAGCCTGATTTCGCATCGCCCTTCCTTCTCGTTACTTTCAAACTTTTAAAATCAAGATTTCTTTCGACGTCTTCCAGAGTCACTCCCGCCGCGACGCATTTTGTGAGAGCGAAGTAGAGGAGGTCAGCTGCTTCGAAAGCAATGTGTTCCTTAGTCGATGCGTTGCATAGTTCCTCGGCTTCTTCCATAATCTTCGCATCCAACAATTTAGCATCATTGAATAGTCGCGACGTGTACGATCCCGATGGGGCGTCGTCCTTTCGAGCTTGTAAGGTCTTTTGAAGTCGGGCGAGTCCTGTGTATGAACCAAAGCAACTAGCGGTTCCTAAATGACAAAATCCTGATAGCAAAATCAGTATCACCTCACATTATGCATATTTCGGATCTGGACAGACCTCTGCCTTTCTGCCTAACTATAAAAATCAAGCAATCGCTATCGCAGTCGAGTCCAATTCGAACTAATTCTTGGATGTCTCCGCTGGATTGTCCTTTGTACCAGAGGCCGCGTTTTCGGCTCTGGTAGACCCCGGTGCCAGTCTTCAAGGCCTCAGAAATGCTCTTTTCGCTGCTCCATACAAGGCCCAAGGCCACTCCCCGCTCGTCTGTGACTATCGTCGCGTAGAGACCTGTGTTATTGTCCGGAACGGCACCGGTGACCAATAATTTAACAGCTGAGTTTTGTTCATCGCCAATGGTTAACGATGTAGAGGGGAATATGCTGATTACTCTTTCCTGTTCGTTCACGAGGAAATTGGTTTGCGTTGTCCCGTCCGTCGAAGAGCGGTAAACAGTTTTTACCAACGAATTGTCATCGAGCTCGGATAGAATAGCATCAATTGCAGGCGCCTCCGCACTGTGAACACTTATATCCCTTCTCTCCTTATTATCGGCGATCCAAGTTTTTAACTGGGCGACTTCGCTCGCAGATGAAACGGAAACGACCAATCGAGAGGAGGGAACAGCTTGTTCTTCAGACAAAGCTGTCAATTGGCCAAAAGTCACAAAGGCATTTGATGCCCCAGCGTTCAGTATATCTAGCACGTCACCCGCCGACCCGATACCGGTCGCATCGATACAGATCTCAAACGCAGCAAAGTTGGCTTTAATGAACGATAAGGCTTGGTCCAAGCTGGGGGACTTGAGAAGGACACAGCCAAAATACGAGATCTGCTTCAGTGTGAGACCATTGGACGAGGGGGAGGATATTGAATCCGCGTCCACAGATATAAGGAAGGGTAAAGACATCATGCAGCTTTGGTCCCTCAATCAAGCCAAAACCTGATGAGAATCCTAGTGCCCCAAGAGTTAAAAAGATCCGTAAAGCTTCAATCCCAAAGAATCTATAGCTCTCGAGGTGCCAATTGCTTCGAGCAAAAGAAAGAGACCTGTTCAACAGCCCGAGACTTTTTTCGAGTCATCCATCCAGGAAGAGGCGCCGGAACATTGTATTCCCGGTTGCCCCGCGGCAGCCCCTCCGGTATCGGAGCCACAAAAGTCCGATGGATCCTGGGCTGACTAATACGCCTGCTCTTTAGCGTGCGGGACGGGCCATCCCTAACCTCAACTCTCACTTGAAGACGGGCGGTGCAGCTGCAGCCAAGGCAACAAGGCTGGGAGAAGCCTGAGTACTTCGCCAACAGCCGTCTCCAAGTGCTTCATTGGGGCGTCCTTCCAACCCCGCCAACATGCAGCAGGAACAATACGAGATCTGGGGCTATGTACGGAGTAACGACGGAGGACATAAAACAAGCTGCGAACTTCTGAACAGCAAGTGGCATGGCGTCTCTGATCATGCCCCTGCATTGGGGCCCCACTCGTCAGGGTTTCTTGAGAGCTTGAGCGGTTCGCCTGTGAGGACGCGAAAAGAAAACAAAACGTGGCCGAGAATACTTGCTGAAGAGAAACGAGGGAGCAGCACAGAATCGAAGGCATTTCCGGGACTTCTAGCCTGGTTGCATTAAAAGACAATGTTAACTTGATACTTGCGACTCGTTCGTACTGCGGCGCTTTTCTGTTGCGCAATCGCCATGGCTAGCGAGTGGTGGGATAACTTCTCTAATAATCTTGCTACTGACCTCGCACCGCTGATTGCCTTGTTCGGAGAAGCGCCAACAAAACAGTATCTCAGCGAATGCCTGGATACCACGGACATAATCCTCTTCGCAATAGCACCCTTAGGTATTATCACTGCGATTATATCGGCCATACGGGTCTGCGGTACTGCTGCTCTACGCGCATTTATTGGGAGGGCACAAGAAGGAGGAGGCGCCGCAGAAGCAGAACTTTGCACATCTACCAGCCGTGAGGTTTGCGAACTTTACAATAACGGAGGTGTTGCTCGCGTTTTCGGCCGTCCGAAGTTGCTGGAAATAGTCCATGACAAACATGCAAGTGGTGAGGACTTTTATCGGCATTCCTCGAGACCCGCGACCGCCGGAATCTACCTGTTTAAAGACTATATTAAGCTTGATGGGCAAGAATGGAAAGAGCTTACAAAGACCCGGCTGCGTTTTAGGTCTGTTGAGGACGGCAAGCTTATCTCGTCATCAAAATCTGCGACCCCACAACTACGCTTTGCGCCAAACCCCAATCTCTCGTTAAACGTTGGGATAAAGCAACATAGAAAATCGGTGTTTGTGGTGGCAACAGTGATGGGTTTATTTATGCAATCCGCCGTCATCATCTGGGCTGGTATCGCGAGATATAGGCTTCAATTCGTCAAGGGTGACCTGCAAGACACTTATGCCGTGCCCATCGTCCTAATTGGGACCATCCTTCTCTGTGCTGGCATAGGGTGGTGTGCTTTACTGGTTGAGCGTAGTACTAGTGAACGCATTTTTGAAAGAGAGCGAGGCGGAGACCCCCGGTCGCAGCTCTACTGGGTGCAGCCAGGGACACAGTTTGTCGGTGACCAAGCATTCGATTCGTTTGCTTATACACACCCAAAAAATGAATTCTCCAGGTATATTACGTCCTGGAAAGAGAATCAGGAGGAATCCCGACTAGAGCTCTGGGCAGCTATTGCCTTATCGCTGGGTGGTTTCATCCTTCAATTCCTCGGCCTGAGGGCATGCCATTCTTCAGTTGCCGTGGCGCAGTTAGGCGTCACTATTCTGATGAGCTTGGCCCGTTCGATGCTTCGAACAGATCGCTTAAAAAAAGAGGAGATATTTCTAGCGGATCAGCCAGAGTTTTATGAAGGACATGAGCTCGATTGGTTATCGCTGAATATTGGTAACATCCATCAGCGGAAGCTCAACTGGCAAATTTCTTCTTCAAGGCGCCACCTCCCGACTCGAGACTCCGAAGAGAGATATGAGGACACTGCTCTGCGGAAGATGGTTATAGCTGACGAGAAGAAATGCGTTTTGACCGGCTTCCGACCAGACCATTCATTGCGGGCCAATTCGTCCCCCAAAACACCACTACGTACTGCTGCATTGGACCGGGGTGGAGACACCGCGGAAGATTACTGGTCTTCAGAGAAATGGCGCTTTGAGGCTCACCGCGACAGCAAGGAGTTGGGAAAGCAAGGGTCCCATTTGCCCTCTGACATCGCCAAAGTGTACTCATACAGATGTCGACTCTCCCACCTTACGTCGAACTGGGAAGAGCGACTGGTTTCTGTTCGTGACATCGCGTCATCATTAGCGAGAGCAATTGAGGCCACTACCAAGGTTCTCTTCACAAGTGATGTGGTGTTCAAGGAAGGGTGGGAAGAAGCATTCACATTATTTTGGCCTGTACCATGTGAAATGATAAGCATCACGGAATCGACGCCGCATAATGGGAAATCCAATCCCATATTGAATCCTGACATCGGCCTTAGAGCTACCCAGGGGACAGTGTATCTGTCGTTAAGACGCGGTTTGGACGTCGATGGTCGGGCAAAGGGCGAGTGGCGCGTGGATGATTCCGAGCTTGAGGCGGTACTTGGCCTCTGGCGATGGTCTCTCAAGGAAGCGGACAAAGATGTCGACCCAATCACGACGCCACGACGAATCCTCGGAGGAAAGATAGACTCCAGCGGCTCCAACGCGATTACAGATTTTGATCTCTGGCGCGAAGGGAAATCCGGGTTTAGTATTATGGAAACTCTTAATCCACCACGCGAGTCTTACGGGCGCCGTATATTCGGATGGCACAATGTCCCTGTTTCCAACGGAGCGGATATCACAGGAGATGTTACGGTCTTAGAGCTCCCGCTAACAACGAGATCCCTACCAACAATGTTTGCTCAGGAGCTTTATTCCCTATTTTTCGCGTCCATCCTCCAATCCATTGAGGATATCGGTGGCAAAACGGAGGTGAAGCAAAGCCAAAGTCTCTGCTTTACGAATTCTAACATTTCGCGAATCCAAGCATCCTTTACAGAAAGCGGGCTAGGCCCTATTGAAGATGCTTTCACATGCATAATGCCAGCAATTAGGAACCAGGGAAAACTGCCAACCGCAGTGGGAAATCTCCCTGCCGTCAGGTCAACCGCGGAATCTTACCTCGCCCAGGAGAATTGGGAAGAGGCAGAAAAGCTGTTGCGTTGGGCATCCCCACATATCCACGCACCAGATAATGGCAGTGAGGAAGGAATCGGATTGAGTAGCACGATAAACCAGCAGCGTTTGCTAACCCTGGATCTATGCGAATGCTACCGCAAGGCACTGACTAGCGCTACCGCACCGGATTTTGGTTGGAAGGGTATCGTCGAAATACTGCAAAACTCAACCAACGATGGACGTGATAAAATAACACTGGACACTGTGGGAGATCAATCCTCATATACACTTGCCCAAACCATTCGGTGCTATGCCCAGGCAGCACTACGAATCGCTCAGGATAACAATAACGAACAGGCTTCCAAAGAGCTAGCAGCAGGCATCCAGAGCAGCCTTGTCAATCCCGACCCCAAAACAGAAATTATGACTATAAAACCCGTGAAACCTGGTAAAACGATGTCTAAGTCAAACGACAAACAGGAGCGCTTGCTCTCCGAAGCCATTAAACGTGGCGATCTCAGGTCAGCCTTATATTATTTACATCGACCATCCGTGCTCGAAGAAAGAGACCCAATGAACCGCTCCGCACTCTCTCTGGCAGCTGGACGTGGCTGGTATATTGTTGTCAAAGACATGCTCAAACGTGGAGCGATTCTAGAGGAGAAAGACAAGAATGCTCGTAGCGCCATATCTTACGCCGCTGAAAACGGAGATCTCAACACTTTTGAGTACCTCTTGAACCAAGGCGCATTTTCGAATTTTCCGGATCATACGCGCCGCACACCGCTGTCATATGCTGCGCAGAATGGGCATACGGAGGTAGCGAGGCTGCTGCTGTACGATCTGCGCGTGGAAGCGGATCCAAGGGATGGTAAGGGACAAACTCCGTTGTTATATGCGGTGAAAAACGGGTCAAATGAGATTGTAAAGTTGCTGATGAAGAAGGGGGTGGACGTCAACCTCAAAGGCCAGCTTGGGCAGACACCATTGGCGATAGCAGTGGACAGTGAAAATGAACAATTAGTCGCAACGCTCTTGGCTAACGAGCGGGTTGACGTGGACATAAAAGATAGAAATGGCAATACACCTCTACTTCTCGCGGTTGTCAAAGGAAACGATAAGCTCGTTGAACTCATATTGACAAGGCAAGAGGTTGATATCAACACAAAAAATCAGCAAGGCATGACGCCTCTGACTTACGCAGCGGATGCTGGTTATGACAAAATCGTTTCCCTTCTACTCTCAAAGGGCAATATCAGAGTCAACCTCCAAAACAAGAACATAGAATCGCCCCTATTCTTGGCTGCAAGGAAAGGTCATGTACCAGTTGTTAGACAACTTCTGGCAAGGGATGATGTGGCGCTGGACCTCTTCAACAAAAACGTCCAAAGTCCACTTTCCGAAGCCGCGGCGGAGGGCCAGAGCGAAGCCGTCGCCCTACTTCTAAAACATGACTTTAAGACGGTGGACGAGTATGACATTAACGGACAATCTCCCCTCTCCCGAGCAGCAATGAACGGGCGCACTGACACCGTAGCCCAATTTCTCGCTATGGGCGACAAAGTGGATGTCAACTCGGGGGCCATTGCTGGCTGGACTCCGTTATGTTGGGCAGCGATCAAAGGCCACACTGACGTGGTTCAGCTCCTGCTCTCTGATAAACGAGTGATTGTTGATATGAGGGCCAACAATGGGCAGACGCCGCTGTCTATGGCGGCGGAGAAGGGGTTCGTTCGCTCCGTCGAGATACTCCTAGCAACGGAAGGAGTGGACCCGAACGCTAGCGACGGGGAGCAGATGACACCGGTGGCATGGGCAGCGAGAAGGGGGCATGTACGTGTTGTGGAGTTGTTATTAGAGCGGGGGGTCAATCTTGCTACGCGGGATGTGGATGGTCGGTCGCCGGCATGGTGGGCGAAGGAGAATAAGCATGAACGCATTCTTGAGATGTTGCTGGCAAAAGGCGCGGAGATATCTTGAAGCGTTGCCTATCAGGTATTTGGTTTGGACACAATTCCGTCACTTGATGCGTGAACAGGATATGGGTTCTTAACAGCTCTAATATGCCATCTTTTGTGCTGCTATTGAGTAGGGCCGCGAGCGTTCTATTTCATACGCCGAAATATCCGCATATCACAAGCTTGCTACACGATTTCAAAGAGTGGCCTGAGAGTCGCCTGGGGGGATAACTTCGTTGTATTTGCAAAGGCATTTCGCTTGTGAAAACAGCAGCTATTAAATCCCAAGAGGTCTGTCTAGGGACACCACATAATATCTAGGGACACCACATCTAACTCGGATATGGTTAGCGCCGTACATAGCCTTACATACAAATTACTACAAGCCTGTATGGGCAACACCATCTCACTCCCGCTGGCACCATGTTCAATTGACATTATCATTAACTTCCTCACCTTCCTCATCCTCAACTTGGGGCCTTTTGCTATATTGAGCAAACATGATAGGCTGAGCATTCCTACTCCCTACAAAGGGTCCATTAGGGCTACTGTACAAAGTACACTGACTGTATGCTGGGTGGGATCTGTCTTAGCCACCTCTAACACCTCTTACACCATTGCTGCCAGCAGGCACTCAACCAGAGGTCATGTTCCATTCACTCTGAAGCTGTCAGGTTGACTATTTGTCTCCTTGTTGCTGATGTTTATGTCTCTGTGGATGAATCTCCACTGATCCAAGTATGGTGACTGTGAGGTCAATTGAATATGACAGGAGTGACATTCAGTTGCTCATACAGGCCCATAGTAATTTGTATGTAAGGCTATGTACGGCGCTAACCATATCCGAGTTAGATGTGGTGTCCCGAGATATTATGTGGTGTCCCTAGACAGACCTAATCCCAAGCTGTTTCCTACCCTCATGCCAAACGCAGCGATTAGAAAGTGCTTCAATCTCACAGGAGCCATCACATTCTCTCCCTATCAAACATTCCAACATAAATTTAAAAATCAACTTACTCAAAGTGCAGACCAGTCAACCGACCACAAGGTGCGAAGTTGTCACATAAATGCGCTTTTTCTGTACGACATAAGCCGCTTGAATTCGCGCAAAAAAGTGAATACGGAAGGGGAATATTGGGAGCAAGAATCGGTAGAAGGGAATTGAAGCAGGCTTGCATTACTTTCTGAATGTTCAACCAATCAATCAATCTAGACTATTAAGGTGTACTGTGTACGGAGTAGTTGATATGAAGTACTACTCCGTACATGCGATGTTATTCACACTGACCCGGAGCCAACAGCTGCCTCGTCCCTAGTCACCCGCTGTCGCACGGTCCCTTAAACCCGGATATATGGGAAAAGCCAGCACCAAAGGACCAGATCATGCGTCTGTGCAACCCAGGCATTTTCTCCGAGTCATGATCATCGGAATGCAGGAGATTCCTACTGCGAATTGGCTCACGTGTCGCATACCATTTAGAGGGCGAGAGGGAATGATATGTCTGCATGACATCAAGAGGGGATCTTCAACATCCCATGGCGAAATGGCACCCGTCATTGGGAGAGTCTAAAACCAAACTCACAAGCTTCCTCTGGAGATCCTCAGGGGTTGTGGCAGGTCACGATTCGGCCATGTAGATCGTTCCGCCTCCGGGCCCACAGCCAGGCCATATCCAAACAACTTGGGCCCCTTGGAGCTTCTTCCACATCTGACCGGGTCTTGATGGTTGTTAAATAGCATAGAGTGCGATCAACGGGATTTGCTACGTGATGTCTGCCTCAGACATCTTCTCCGGGGTGTTGCATCTCTGCTCTGCTTCCTTTCCTCCCGACCAATGCTGGGCGCGTCTCCCCTCAATCTCGTTTGAGAGTTATTTGGCAGTTATCTTCAATTAATTGGGGTCAAATTTCGAAAATGAAGAGCTCCCCCATCCTCGTTGTATGCGCGGCGGCGCTGACGCTCATTCAATCCACCGTTTCCCTACCAACAATCGCCGAGCAGTCTCCAGGCAGGCAACATGCCCGTGAAACGACTGAAGAAAGAGCAAATGCGGTTAAGGACGCTTTCAAGTTTGCGTGGGAAGGCTATAGAAGATATGCGTTTCCAGATGATGAACTACATCCAGTGTCAAATACATCAGGAAACTCGCGGTATTACTCCTGTTGTATAACCTGGCAGATTAGTCAAATGCTTATGATTAAATAGAAACGGCTGGGGCGCATCTGCTGTTGATGCCCTCTCAACGGCAATCATTATGGAATTACCTGATATAGTGGAGCAAATCCTAGACCACATCGCTACAATCGATTATTCAAAGACAGATACCATGTGCAGTTTATTCGAAACCACCATTCGCTACCTGGGAGGCATGATATCAGCCTATGATCTATTGAAGGGTCCCAGTTCTCACCTCGTATCGGATGTATTTGAACCTAAATCAAACCATCATTGTGACTGAAGTGGTGCTAATTATATTCAATCAGCCTGCGAAGGTGGACGTGTTGCTGGAACAATCAAAAAACCTGGCTGACGTCCTGAAATTTGCGTTTGATACCAAGTCAGGCATCCCGGCAAATGGGTTGAACATCACGGCTCAAAAAACGGTGAGGCATTGTTTTACTTCGTAAGTCACATCCTGGCCTGACTATATATAGGATGGTGGTACCACCAACGGTATTGCCACAATAGGTACCCTAGTTCTGGAGTGTAAGTAAAGATTTAATAAACTGGTTAATCTCCCTTAACACGCATATAGGGACTCGCCTTTCGGACTTGACAAATAGCGCAGAATATGCCAAACTGGTACAAAGGGCGGAGTCACATCTGCTTAATCCGAAGCCCTCATCTGCTGAGCCCTTCCCTGGTCTGATCGGTCAAAACCTCGACATTAACACGGGGCTTTTTCAAGACGACTATGTTAGCTGGGGAGGAGGGTCGGACTCGTTTTATGAATATCTCATCAAGATGTACGTTTACGACCAGAAACGATTTGGAAAGTACAAAGATAGGTATGTTTTCGACTGGCCCGACCGGAAATATGTCCGTTAATGAGTTTCTCAGATGGGTTGCTGCTGCCGAATCCACCATGGAGCACCTTAAATCCTCCCCTTCTCACAGACCAGACTTGACGTTTGTGGCAACGTATTCCAGGGGGACATACAGTCTCCAATCTGGTCATTTGAACTGTTTTAACGGTGGTAACTTCCTCTTAGGCGGTCAGGTTCTCGGGCGGGGCGACTTCACAGACTTTGGGCTTAAGCTTGTGGATGGCTGTCAGGCAACGTATTCAGCGACCGCGACGAAAATAGGGCCTGAAGGGTTTGGCTGGGACCCCAAAAAGGTCCCAGAGAACCAACGGGACTTCTATAAGAAGGCTGGCTTTTATATCACGACCAGCTACTATAATCTTAGGCCGGAGGTCATCGAGAGCATTTACCATGCATATCGGATGACAAAGAATCGTAAAGTAAGCGAAGCTGATAGCTGCTTCTCAAACCTGAAGTCGTCTCACGTTTTTATCTGCAGTACCAACAATGGGCATGGGATGCCTTCGTAGCAATCAACGCGACGACGCGCACAGGCAGTGGCTTTACCGCCATTACGGATGTCAATGCTCCTGGCGGCGGCCGAAAATACGACAACCAAGAGAGCTTCCTCTTTGCAGAGGTCATGAAATATTCCTATCTCATTCATGCACCTGGTAGGGTCCTTCCCTGCGTTCCGACGGCCCCAAAATACATTTGGCTGACAGTTAATCAACAGAGGCAGAATGGCAGGTAGCCGGCCCGGGGCAGAGGAATAAGTTTGTGTTCAACACCGAAGCACATCCCGTAAAGGTGTTTTAGCGAAGGGAGGTGATTGTGAATCATTCTGGTCGTGAATGGGCGTCATTTGTGGGAAATGGGGAAGCAGTGGTTGACAGCTGGTCCGCGGGAGGGGGTTCTGCAGTTCTGTTCATCTTTGAACCAGCTATTCCATTAATCTGATCCTTGTATCATGCGTAGCGAGCTATCCGTTGTTGTTGCTGCATATCAATATGGCTCGACGTTGCTGAAAATCCGCGGCTGCGGTCCAGATCGCCGGATGCAGCCTAGCGCAGATCGGCAAAGCCAACTAGCCGACCGGCGCTTAGTCATGCAGCCGGCCCGGCTAAACGCGGCAAAAGCTGATAGGCTGCTGCGCAACGAAACGAAACGCCCGCGAATCGCAGCCGGAGCGTGCAGTCTGTGCCTCTGCAGGATAATAAGATCCACGAAAATGCGTCAAGGAAAGGGGGCCGCAATCTAGCCAGCCCTGACGACAAGCATGGAGAGACCACCATGGAGCAGAGCTTCCGGCAACCGCGAGTTCCTGCGAACGTACAAGGCCTGCATCTCGTGCCGGCAACGCAAGGCAAAATGCGAATTAGGCGGGAATCGAGAGCGCGGGATCCCACCCGGTCCGCCGTGCCTGAGATGCCGACGGGAGCAGCGGAATTGCCTGTTCAGCGAGGATCGCGCGTGGTCACGGAAGAAGAAGAGTAATTCTCACAGTCCCCCCCAGGCCCAGAATGCGCGCTTTGCGCCTCCCGGAATACCCGCTAACGGCGAAGAAGCCAATAATGTTATCAGCACCACATCGGCTGAGCAACAGTCTTCCCTCGCGGCGTCGCCACAAATACCCGGTTCGTCTCTCAGTATCGCGGGCACCCCGGGGAACGTCTCGCTACACGGGGCCCATAGTTCCGAAGTCGACGCATCTGGGAACGCTCCCGCTCCGCCGTCCATGCAGTATGAGACCACCGGGACGGCAAACACGCCGGCTAACATGAGCGCGAATAGCACATCACCGTTGACGTCGGGCATGCCGCGGGCGGCGGACCCTACATCGGAACACGGAGGTTCGAGCGGGCTGGCAAGTTCCGTGATGCGCACGGTGGTGTCGAGTGGGAATGATGCGCTGAACATTCTTTTTCAAGCTGCAGCGCAGGAACAAGGGAATAGTATGGGTGATTTGGCAACGAATGCGCGGGGGCCTTTGAGCCAGAGCGGCCAGCCCATGCAGCAGATGTATGAGACGCCGGGCTCAACGGCCTCACTGGGGATGGCGACGACTGTCTCAGAGCCCACGCACTTGTCTCCCGCGGAGCCCGATGTTATCGCAGTGTGGGATTCTTGCCGGTTTGTGAAGATGGGTTGGTTCTCATCGAGAGAGGCCGTGACGTACATTGATTTGTGAGTTCTTTCGGGTTTCCTTCCGGAGCTGACGTGACGGGCCGACTAACCATGTGTGTTTAGATTCTTTCGGAACATGGCGCCGCTGTCGCCGATACTGTCCAATTTCTACTCACACCATCGCAGCCACTACTGGCTAATTACGCAGGAACCCGTCCTTTGTTGCACGATCTTGATGATCTCATCCCGGTATCACACACTGCCGGGTGTCGGTGGGGCTTCGAGAGGATTTTTCATTCATCAACGATTGTGGCAGCATTGCCAGCATTTAATAATGCGAGTCATGCTTGGCCAGGAAAAGGGTTCGAAGGCGAAGACTCGAACGGTTGGCACCATTGAAGCTCTCCTTCTGATGTCTGAGTGGCATCCTCGATCCCTCCATTTCCCGCCTGAGAGTGATGGTTGGGACTCAGATCTGATGATGTCTCCAGAGCAACATCACGCAGTCACTCATCCGGATATGTCTGTCTCAGCACCGTGCCGGTGGCTTGAAGATGTAATTGAGCCGGCACGGCGATCTGATAGGATGTCGTGGATGCTCCTTGGCTCTGGTTTGACATTAGCCCATGAGCTTGGGATTTTCGATGCAGATGAGTCGCGAGCGCGGAGTATGATATCGAGTCCAGAAATGGAGGGTCAGGGCGTCGATATTAATCTTCGCCGGTACCGCATCCAACAATTACTCTATGTTTTCATAAATCAGCTAGCCTCACGACTTGGATGCATGTCGCTCATGCCACAGAGCCTGAACCATGCTGTTTTGGCCCCGTTATCGCAGCCTTCCCTACAGAGCGGCGATGAGTGGCATTCGTTTATGAATTCCTGGATCGAGCTCACAAAGCTCTCAAAATCCGTTACTGATACCTTCTTTCCCTCTGCATCTTTGACTCGGCAACAGTTCCATAGCGGGAGATACATTGGCCTTTTGGATCATTTTAGGCCGCTGCTTTCCCAGTGGCGGCAGAAACACTTGGATACAAGACGTGAGTTATCTCTAGATAACCCTTATATTATGACGATCAACGAAACTGATGCGCCATAGACTTATCTGCGCCATTCCGTGATATGATATTTATAGAATATCAATTCGCCCGGGTATATACAAATTCAATAGGGATGCAGGCAGTTGTAGAACGGCTACTTGCCGAATCGGATCCAGGCTCGGTTCTGGATGATGTCCGCCAAACGAACGTTGACGAAATCGACTATGAATTCATTCAAGAAGTTATAGATGGCTCATGCCATATCCTCCAAAAGGTGATCACGCTTGCAGAGACAGGCGCGCTGCGGTTTTCTCCTGTGAGAATTTTTCTCCGCGTGACGAGCTCTTCCATTTTCCTCCTCAAGGCGCTCAGTCTAGGCGTCCGCAACGCTAAACTTCAAGAGTCCCTCGAAATATTAAGTAGAAGTATTCAGGCGTTGCGTTCCAATTCGTTAGACGATATACATCTTGGATCTCGATATGCAACGCTACTCGAATCCCTTATTATTCGTCTTCGACGTAGCTTCGTCTTATCGAACAAAAAGGCTAGCCGAGGCACAACAAGGCCATCTTCTGTTCGGCCACCTTCTGACCCTCAAAATCCAAGCGGGCAGGCTGATTTAAGCCAGATGGCGGCGAACAATGGCTCGCAAATGGATGTTTCGAATCCCGTGTTTGATGATCAGATTCTATCCCTAAACGATATCAATGCCGATGATTGGCTTTCTCTGCCATTTGATCCGTCGATGGCGCCATTTGGGGATGGCGGGAACCAGATTTGGTCTGGGTTTGAGGGCTCAAATTTGAATTTTATATGGAATTTACCTTCTTGAACGGTCCCTGCTTTGGATACTAATATCAGGGTTATGACCTACTTCTTGAACCTAAGGAGATAGCGACATGCACTCGCCTCGAAAAACCAGGGAAGTGCCTGGGACCGCCCAGTTCTGAGATCGCCTCGAGCTCCTTCTAGCGTACTTCGCTAGCATTTCGATCGCAAACACGTTACAATAATGTTGGCTGAAAGGATATACCCTTTTTTCCCTAATATCTCCGGGGGGAAAAAGCTCTTCACCTAAATATAGCCGAAATCAAGCATATATTACCCGGCTGCCGGCATTTTGGCTCCGGCAAATCTGTAAGGATTAGACGTCCGTTATTGACAGGGGTCAAATTCTCCTTTGACCCTAAAGCTATGCCGGAGGTTGCATGGCGATTTGGATCGCGGTGATGTCAAATTTGCAATACTCGTTCCAGGGCTTCAGACTTATAGTCAATTGTGGAGCGTGACGAATATATTCTTTCAGTTTATATACCCCTTTCTTTTTTCCACCATTTTATGTATGTACAAGCCACAAAGTCACTTTATCTTCGTTGACCAGAACCCGATTCCGTTCCTATATCCATTCGGCCCACGATATGAACATTGAGTTGGCATATCAAGTCCTATTTCGAGTCCACTCAAAAACATGAAAACTTGCCCTCCCTCCACCCTTGACTTCCGGAAGGGGATAGGCATCTCTAACCGTTTCGAGGAGAGTGAATCCGTTTTTCTCAAACACCCGACTACTGCCGATGTTTCCGACTCCAACAAGAGCTCGAATATGGTGTACGTTCATGTTGCGCACAGCCCAATCAACCATGGTTTTGACGACAATGGTCATGATTCCCTTTCCATGGTGACTTTGCGCAAGCCAGTCTGGAGCACACAGAGTAAGCAAACGTATCAAGACATCCGGAGTAATTACTGACCTCCAATGGTCCAAATGATCTCTTCGTCTCCCACCTCTTTCTCATCATTGATCCGCTTCCTCTCCGCCCTCTTATCCTCATCTATTATCTCGGCAAAGGTATGCCTAGTGATACTAAAATCACCTACAAACATCTCCCCCACGCTCCCATCTTCATTCCGCCGTATCTCCCTGATCGCGCCCACAGGACACCCACCCAGCCACTTCTTCTGGCCGTTTTGCCGTTCTTGCATTTCGGCAAGGGCCCTTTGAGTTTTTTCCTCACATGCCTTGATCCACCCCTGAGCATCTTCGCGGGTATATGGGACAGGGGGAGATATCAGCCATTTGTAGATAGCTGGGTTGTTTAGGGACGAAACGCTGGGCTCTATGTCTAGTTCAGAACGATAGGGAGTGATGACTATCTGGCCCTCTGTGGCTGAGCCCGTTCTCGTAGCTGATAACGGGATAGCGAGGAAGGGTTCATGAGTGCTGGAGTTGAATTGGAGCTCAGGTGCTGCCATATTCGCAAGAGACCTGTTGAAGTTTCGTCTTCATTTAATCGATGGCTGCGGCCTTCTCATGGTTAAATATTTATACATCTGGTTGGGGGGTGAGTCACAATACCAATGTTGGAGCGGCCCCGCTGGATGTAACCTGATAATTGCACTTCGTTCAGCTGCACCAAGACTTGGGAAAATGGTCGCAAGAAAGAACACCACGTAATTATAATTGAAGACTTGTTGAATGATCTTGAAATCCTAATCCTCAGCCCAATACAGTTACACCTACCCAAGCATATTCTCACGCCTGAGAGGCTATTTATCGTTGAAAAGCTGCAACAGTACATCAATCGTTTCGGCGGTGATCCACCAATTCTACCCACGGTCTGATACGCGTTACTGGTCCTTTGTACACATTCCGGGCGTATGTGAAGTAGTAAATCAATGCAAATATGACCACTCCCCCAAAGATAGCGCAGCTCCAATTCATCGTCTGCACGTCCACCGACCTTGTCAAAGGAAAAAATGAGAACACCCAGGCTATCACGAGGAATAAGATGGCGATGGTTTCGACTGTGCTAGACCACTTTCCCATGCTCCAGCGCGCCGGTGGAAGTGGTTCGCCACGCCAGCGCTTGAGGCGGACACAGGAGATGGAAATGATGTAGGACGACAGAAGAGATGCGACACCAAGGGAAATGATTGCGTTGAAAGCAATAGAAGACCCGATGTTGACGAGTGACATGAGACAGACAACGATAAAGCTGACAAAGAGAGCGTTAAGTGGGACGATGTATCGGTTGTCGACCTGAAGATTAATTCAGTAATTGAATAAGAAAGATAGCACGTAGCCCTCACCTTTGAGAAAAAGGAAGCAAAAGGAAGCCCGCCATCGCGAGCAAAGGCATATACCTGTCGCGAAGTTGTGGCTACATTGCTAATCCCAGCGCAGGCTTGGAGGATTAACATGATAGCTGTCATTCCTGTTGCGCCAGACACAGATCTGGTCGCATGCACAAAGACCGAAATGAACGGAAACCCTGTAGAACTCTCTAAAGCCTCATCGATATTGTGGACGCAAAATGAGAACGTGATTAACATGATCAAGCCTGTCAGGCTGTTGAGAATAAGAGTCCAAACCATTGCGAGCGGCAAAACTCGCGAAGCATCTTTGATCTCTTCAGCTGTACGATTCTCAAGTTAGCATTCGGCTTTGGACCTGAAACTAACAATCGGGGTCATACACATGTGGACTGCAGAATCAGGGCCTAGGGCAATGTCAGTTTTCAGATATTTCAAAATACTCTTTGCGGAAAAACTCAACCTAGCCTTACCTATCAAAGCGTAGATTGGTGCAATGAGCCCGACGAGGCATGCAAGGCCACTGCTGCCCCATCCTCCCCGGTCTTCAAATGTCTGGAAAACCTGTTTAGGAGTGTTCCTTGGGGCCAACACCCACAGTGGAATCAGTACGGCAAAGAAGCCAAAAAAATGAAGGATTAAAATAAACCCTTCAACAAGTGGAAGTTTTTGGGCAAAAAAAGTGTTGAATACAATAGCGATAAACGCTATACCAATAATTAGAAGGGTACCATGCCATGCCTGGGGGATGTATGTTTCCGGGTGATTGATTGATATGATCCCGATGATCATATTGGCCACGGTATAGCAGCATCCAGCTATACCAGTATGCCAACCCAAAACACAGACCCATCCTGTGACATAGCTCAGGAATCTTTGGTAACGTTTTGGAGCAAATTCTGATACCCAGTGATACTGGCCTCCAGAAGTAGGTGCCCTAGGTGCCGTCTTAGAAGCCGTTCAGAACAATGCTGGTCAAATTGACTCACATTGACGCCATCTCGGCCATAGCAAGGATCGCGCAACTCATGCCAAAGGTACCCCCGATATAGGTATATATCATCCCACCCAGTCCGCCATTAATCAGTCCAGTCATGCTGAAGCTGTACCGCAAAGTGAGATGTGAGTCTAACAGGCGAGTAAACCGAGTACTGACATCATGACTACCTCCCATGTGCACATAAGAACCGCAGTAAATCCCAATACAGAAAGAAATCTGAAGTTCCGCTGTTAAGCCAACAGTTAATCGGCAGGATAGGCATTTTAATGGTACTGTTCTATTTTGATGCCGCTTACATTCAACTCCTGGGCCTTTCCGATTCTCCACATATCCTGCTTATCTTGGAGCGTCCCTCCCCTTTGGTCGATCGAAGAGCTTTCCGCAGATCCGGGCGCATCTTGGCTTGAATCGGTTTCGAACTTGACAGTCATGATTGCGAAAGGGATAAGGGTCGAATTTAGCTGACACCTTCACACCAGCGCATGGGTATCCAGACATATGTATAGCAGCCTAGCAGCTATAAAACGACAACAGAAATCATTCAGTCGCGCGAAGAACAACACGAGTGGCAGTCTCAAAGTAAAGACTGAGCAAGAGCATCCCGATTATCTTATTCAATGCAAATGGGTAAAAACAAGCCTGTGTCCGCTGGGCCTGGAACAAAAAACAAGCGAGGGCCCTGGGAGGCAAGCAATAATTCAACGCCATGGCCGAAATCGCGAAACCCTCGAGGGTGGCAGTGAATTGACAGCTCGCGTCCGATTCAAGCCCTGCAAGTTGATGTCTCATAGGCTCGATAAGGGGCGTTGAACATCTTCATTCGCTCCTTTTCCGTGTCATCCCTGTTTTGGTTTGAAAAGGAAAGTTTCGGTATCGGATATTACACCAACGGAGAAGGTAATTTACAGTCGCAGTTACCATGAGCGGGCGTATTACAATACCCGGCGTTGTTTTACCCACAGTAATACCATTATCTGTAACAACCACTTCGACACCTCTCATCTATTCCAGATTTTGACATCCTGAAGAATGAATATGGCGAAGCAGACTGCTGAAACCACAGTTCCATCAGCACATGGAAGGCTCCTCAACAGGCGATCGCCGCCATCCTGAGCTGTCCCGTGCATGAAATTTGTTTTCGGGCCACCTGTTGATCTGCACCTAAAAATTCTGATCCGACCATGCCAAACCATCTCTACAGACTCCGTATTGTCGGAATGATTTGCACAAAGTTCAATTGATCATCATGTGGCTGATTTTCTTTGCCAGTCTCTTGCGTGAATTTACGGTTAGACTTTTCTTCCGCTTCCACACAAAGCTTGGAACGTGGACAGGCCAAAGCTCATCTTCATCTCTGGGCTGGATTGGGACAGCAGGCTGTCCCAAGGAATGTGCCCTTTTCTTTTTCGTTTCTTTGTCGTTGATCCCACGATTGAAATTCCCCCCTCCAGGATGAAAATGCGCTGCTTGAGGATATCAATACTTTGGCCTCTCCTCAGCTTTTCTCGGCTCAAAATACTCCCTGGCTTGTTAGGTGGAACTCCAAAGCCTGCCCATGGAAAGCTCAAAGACCTTTTGCATTTCATGCAAAAATCTTAATGCTATGGGATGATTTCGTAAATTTTTGTTACGTTTCGCTATGGCTCCATCTCCAGAGGGCCCTCGTGCGTTTACCATTACTGCAACGAATAAGGGAGGCTTGCTGGTCATTGCCAGCACTACGTTGATGTCATGGATGGTTCTATGCTTCATGTTTCGGACATATACTCGAATGAATATCAATGGCCCCTTTGGCGTGGATGATTTAACCGCTGGAATTGGCACAGTAAGCATACTCTCGATTTGTGACTGTGGAACCTCTGTTGGCAATTGGACATACGGCTGATATATTTTCAGCTCTTTGGAGTGATTCATGTCAGTGTTTTACTCAAAGCCGTAACCGAGGGCTTGGGGAAATCCAAGTCTATCCTTGATGCCACCCAGATCAATGTCGCCGAGAAGGTAATTCAGATAAGCGAGGAGTGAATAGGCAATACGCTGAACCCGTGCCTCTAGTTCCTTTATATCAGCGACATTTTCTTTCTTCTTGGACACTATGCTGCTAAGGTCTCAGTTGCCCTCCTTGTCAGGCGGCTGGGTCGGGAACGGTTATACCGACGGATCTGCTCAGGAATTGTGGGTATAATAGCGATATTAGGACTGGTTTCAATCCTAACGACTTGCCTCAAATGCGACTTGTCCCAACCATGGCTGATTACTGATCGATGCACTAACACGGTAACATTTTTGCCCCATGGTGGTTCCTATCCTGGAATAACCTGCTTACTACTACATCCAGAAGCTCCGATGGCAGTTTGCAGCTGCGTTTGATGTCTTGAGTGAGATGTTGATTCTTAGTATTGTGATATACCTCGTTTGGGGCCTACGCATGTCGTTGACAAGTAAAGCTGTTGTCGTTGCTGCGTTTGGTTGTAGGATTCCGTAACTGCACCTTGAACTACCCTTTGCCACTGCCATAGTTATACGCTAATCTCCTTCGGCTAGGACGATACCTGCTACTATTGTCCGTGTCATTAGCATCGACGGCGCTGTTACTCCCATCGACCCAACACTGCGAAGCGTTGATTCTAGTATATGTACCGAGGTGCTACTTCACTATAGTCTGATGGCGGCAACTATCCCATGCCTTAAGCCTTTTGTGATCGCATTCAATACCGGGTGGGGCCAAGGACAAGGCAAGGGAAGTAGCTATGTTCTGAGGAATTCATATGGAGAGTCCACCAAACGAATCTCTCGGACAGTATGTGGGCAAAATCTTACGGCAGACCACTTCAGTGATGAGCCATGCGCACATGCCACTGAGGCAACCGGGGAGTTTGTTGATAATCGCACTGAGATTAGACCTGGGACTATTGAAAGTGACGGGTCTCAGAGAATGATAATCCAGGAGACTCGGTCTTGGATGGTTGAGCACGAAAGCTATGAGTTGAGGGAGTGCACTTCGGCTGGCAAATACGGCCATAGTGGGACAGTCTATTCAGCCGGAAGCTGATCTCGATTTATCTAATTCCAACGTTTACTTTTAGGTGTACTCTATATGCACCTACATGACCACACGTCCGTCCACCACCTTCGAATGCAGGTATGATCTAATATATCTTCATTTGAGCTCAGCCATGCACAATGGCGCTTTTGACAGAGTTCGGCTATCCTACTTCTGCTGAAAATGCATAAAAGGCAGCCATGTGGTTGGATAATGGATTGGGTCGGTCCAGAAAACACATGGTTGAATCCGTTCCGTCTGTCGTTGCATGACCACGCAGTCGTGTCACACAACATCAAGGTCGCGTGGGAAAGGCTCCCTCAACTGGGCTTTCGCTCCGGAATAAAGAAGGACGATATTGTTACTTTTATCACTCCGTATCGAGATTCAAGAATGATCCATCAGAAGCTAATAGTCAATCCGGCGTCGATGGCCGATCCCGGGAGTCACTCTCGTAATTCCGGGTCACAGCCTGAACGGCTAGCGGTAATATCGTATTACTGGTATCATATAAAGCCACTAGTAAAGCTGAAAGAACGTGGTTGATGGGACGGGAGCTGCCGTCGTTATGTGCCAGAAAACACTCCTGCAATCCAGGACAGGCTGCAAACCTATCGAGGATTGCAGAGAATGAAAAGCATTACAGGTGTTCGGGCAACATGAAGGACAAGCAATCGCAAATCAAAACTTTGGTATCTGTACTCCGTACTGCGTACAGCCCAAATGGAAATTTGGATGGATGTTTCGGGCATCGCGAACAAGAAACTAATAATATCGGACGCCTGTTGTATTTACTTTTTCCTCCTTTCACTGAAGGCTCGGGCAATGTGAACCACAGCTAGCCTGTCACCTGTGATGCCAAATTTGAGAAATCAGTGTCTGATCAGTTGTGACATGTTGCAGCCTGCAGCCATCGCTGGGTATCCGAAATCATTATTCTTGATCCAGGTTATCTTCGGGTAATTTACTAAAAAAGCGCTAAGAACGGCCTGGTCCGGGATTCGTTGCCCTTGGTGGATGGACTCAATCTGTCTTCTTTTCAACTTCTCTTCCAACCACAAGACATATCGACGGAACTGGGGACGCAGGTATTGGAAACAGAAATTTCAACTGGGGATTGGTGTGTGACAACCACAGTCTTTGCGATCTGACCAATTTTACCATGGGGCATTACATCCTGGCGCCAATCGAGAATGGAGACTGGGATGAAGTGGTAGAACTCCGATTCCGTGCTTTTTCAAAAGAGCTATTTTGCCAATTGACTCGCGGGCCGAACACCAGTCAGAACCGGGCTCAATGCAGAGCGCAATATGTGGATCAGCGACAGTCGCAACCTGACATCATCTGGCTCAAGGCGGTTGATGCAGACGACCCGAGCAAGAAAATACTTGGGTTTGCTAGATATAAGATCATGACGACGTATATGCCCCCCGCCCCGGTAACGTTTGACCCAAGCGCCTTTGACTGGCTGGAGGATGAAGATAGAGAGATTGCAGTTTCGCTACTTCATGATGTGGTTGATCGGAAGACTAGATTTATTCGGGAGGCACACATCGGTAAGTAATAGGATAGAGTATGTTTTCAATGCTTGCTGCTCGTTGTGGAATACTGGCGGCTATGTTAAGCCGTTTGAACTCGAAGATGAAGAGCCTGAAAGAAATCTAAGAATTTCAATCAATTCTAATAGCATCTTAGAGCTTGATACCTTTTGTGTTGACCCAGACTGCCGCGGGCGAGGAATTGGTTCCAGGTTGTTGCAATGGGGTGCTGAGCTCGCGGACCATATGATGCTCCCGTTATGGCTCGAATCTTCTACTATGGCGCACGGCCTGTATCTGCGGCATGGCTTTTTCGACAAAATTCATTGCAGGCTAGTCATGGGGAAATGGGATATTGAATATTTCATCATGAAGAGAAATCCGAGAGCAATGCACATCGACACCGAGGCCTTCAATGGAAGAAGCAAGCCAAATGGAAATTAAATCATCATTGAATTTCGCAATATTCGGAGTTAATGCCCGCAAGCATGTATCGAGCACGAGAAATGTTTCGAGATATTCAAAAACAAGCGAATCACAATTTAGAATTGGGAGGTGTCTCTTCTACATCGAATTCTGTCGTGCAGAGAAGCATCGTATCTCGAAGAGCCTAATTCGATGTTACTTTTATTCCTTGCTAAAAGCACAGGGCGACTTACCCCAAGTCTATACTTTGAATTGATCTCTTGATAGTCTTCGCCTGCTAACATATCGCAGAAATGGCGGATGGATGGGTAGTGAACAATAGATATTTCGTTCCACCATTCATTCTCAGATTTATCAGCATCCCCTCTGGAATCGATTTGGCCACTGGGAGGTTTCACGACGTTTCCGACAATCTTCGCATTGCCCCCTCGCTTTCCGGCAACTGAAGCGAAACCCTGTCACGACATTGACGATTAACAAACAGCGATAACTTGATGTTGCAGTGCGAGCTCACCTGTCCGTACTTGTAGTACTCTGGTTTCCCATTGGGGTGGAAGTGGAGAAGGTTCAGCATCGTAACTGGCTTGTCATGCTCCCTGACTAGCTCATCCATAAAGGCAAGCAGATCCGCCGACAATTCTAAGCTTTGGGAGGAGGGCTTGTTGCGCGCTTTTTCCAAGGCGCCAGTTAGCCGAGCTGATGAAGCCTCCCTTTTCAGCTTCGCATCGGCCTCTGGGTACGCCTTGAGCAGCTTGGAGGGAACTCCAGTGTGCACCGAATACTCATCGCTGATGGCAGACCGTAAAGCCGGAGGGATGCCATTTCCAGGCGATCGGAGGAGCAATAAAAGATCCCATTTCCCACTGGTCAATGCATGGATGTCAATAACCTCAGGACGAATGACGAGTCGCCGGGGTCGTGAAGCCACTACCACCTCGACGTCTGGGGAGCTGCGAACATTCTTCACAAATAGCTTGACATCCGTGCCAGGCTGAAGGCTGAGAAGGTGAAGAGTGAGAAGAGGCATGGTGTTTAGTTGGGAGGATTTCTTTACCTGTCAAATGAATGGTACTTGAACCCGTCGCTTCTTGTAATTGATATCCAGAGGTGAACCCAGACCGTGCTTTGAGAACCGAACCTGCCGAGGTTGAGATGGCAGTTTGATCTTATCAGATCTCTTGGCGGATCTGATTATATAATATTTACGCTAGTCCAATCTAGGGAAGGTCTGATTTGACATCACGTGATGTGCTACCCGTGTTGCTCTGTTCTTGGCACTCCAACGCGTGTTGGCTGGAGGATGAACCGCGTTCCACCAACAACATATGAAGTAGAGCTTAGATGTTGTCTTCAACTCACTCAACTAATTCGATTAATTATTGTGGGCAGCCATGTATCTGCCTAGGTCTCTGATCTCCCACCTTTACTCCCATTTACTCCGATCGCATCATCCCCTCTCTCCGCCAGTTTTAATCCTCGCGGCCCTCGAGCCAGACGCACTATGCGCGTGTCGAATCCTAACAGCATTGCTGAAACGAGATTATATTCCTCACAAAATACAACCGATCGCAGGCTATGGAGACCTCGCTCGTGCTGGCGAGGAGCTTGTTCGACCTATGCAAATTCCAATGGGTGGTAGTGGAGGTGTCGTGATCTGTATGGGTGTCGGGGGCTTGGTAGATTTAGGCGAAATACTAGGGCTTGAAACCGACGGAGACGCGGGAGACATGGGTGGAGTGGAGGTATGGGTTATAGACGCGAGAAGACCTTGGAATTTGGGAAATGTTTTTGGAGGTTATCTGGAACGAACCCGGTCGGACGAAACGAACGGCTTGACGACCACGCAAATTGCGGGTGTGGACAGGGGCCGTATAACAGAGGCGTATAAACCAGGAAGAGGGGGAATCATTGTTTACGATGACGGCGACATCGATGATGATCTCACCGCCCAAAGAGAGGCTTACTGCGGCCTAGAATCAATGCCCGAGTTGGACGATAACAGTGATGAAGGCGATACTTCTGACAGTGATCTGGACGAGAGGGAAATGAGCAACTCCAATAAAAAAAGAAAGTCTTGGTCTAGCCGCGAGGATGAAGATTCTGAAGATGAAGATGAACCACCACGGCAACGTCGGAGAAGCAATTCAGTGGGTTCCCCGTTCAGCGCCCTTGCAATCAACATTAGTTAACGCAATTATTCAAGGGATCCTCTATATCTACTCCTAACCCATATATAACTTCACAGCGAGATTCTTCACAGTCGTCCCGGTCACCCTCTCCACCTTCCGGCTCCGTTTCACCTACTACCCCAAAAGCACCCTCCGCTCGGACTTTAAGGCGGCGGCTAATTCGGCTCAAAAGAAAACATGAAGGTGTTCTTCGAGCATACTACTCCCTTGGAACATCGTATTCTGAGCCTATTTCGTCAATCCTGTACTCCTTGGCCTCTGAGCTGGGTCGCGAAGACAACGATCTCTTGTGGCTTGCGATTATTGGGGTTTGTAGCCTGGAGTTATCCGGTCGAACCATGTCAGGAGTTGGGATATCGGACGCATCCGAGTCTGGTGGATCAGCAGGGTGGGGTGGAGGGCGCGGCGAACGAATTCGACAAATCTTGCGAGACGAAGTTAGACGTTTAAATCCACCTGATGATAACGAAGCCGGGCGCGAGGCCCTACGAAGTGAAGTCAACGGTGTCATTCCCACCACAGGACGTTCGCCTACGGACACTTCCATTTTATTATCGCCTGAACCTCGTCTTCTATTACTACGGCATTGGTCACTCTATGACAGCATGCTCCACAGCCCATATCTGGCCCCTAGACTACATATCTGGAACGAAGTGGGACGAAAACGGCTTCGTAAGCTGTTGGCGAAGATGGGTGTTAGTCTAACCCAGTGTCATCAAAATTATACCCATATGGCCATGGATTTAAAGCGGGACTTACGGCAAAAGATGTTAAAGTACGCTCCCATGTACGGATTAGAAGGATTGGTACCTCCACCATCCTCCGGGGGGCTCTCGGGTACCCGAGAAGGGTGGGGTTTTGTCCGCAACTGGGGATGGAAGGCTTGTCTCTCTGCCACGGATGTTAGCGTGATTCTGGGTGCAATTTTAGAGGTCGGCTCTCTAAAACCTACTTCCTCAACTGTGTCAAAGGAAGATAGCGAACAGCTGGAAAATAACGATATTTCTTCGGATTCGGATTTATCAAGTGTTGTATCACGATTCTGGGATGCTTATGATGCTCTTTCACCGACATCCTCTGAATCCCCTACTCAGCTTTTGGCCTGCCTCCCACTAGCTCAACACCTACATCGCGCAATTCTACGAACGGGGGCGTCTTTACTTTCCAAAAAGCAAATTCGACACTTACGCGCTTTTCGCATCGCGGTGGTAAAAGATGGTCCTGATGTTAAGCTGTTTACCAATCCTGGCGCGTTGACGAAGCTAGCCCTATGGGTAGGCGAGGCAGTCCGCATTCAAGAAAAGGACAAAGTAGACGGTTACAGAATTGCAGGCAAGCGCGGAATGGGAACACCACTCGTTCTGGCGGGCTTGGATGAAGATAGGGATGTTTATGTCGTTGTGGGCACGGGCGGAGGAGGTGGCGTCATCGACTTCGCTGGTGCGACCCAACGTAAAGAGGAACGAAAGAAGAAAAAGGAACTTCAGGCGCAGAAGCGTGCAGAGCGCGAAGAACGCCGTGCAAAAAGAGCAGCTGAACGTGCAGAAAAGGGAGACGACGAGGCAGATGAGGAAGAAGATGAGGAAGAAGAAGACTCATCGTCTTCTGGTTCCGATTCGGAATCAGAGGATGAGCAGGCTATATTCTCCGGACATAAGTTTCTCAAAAATCGCTTCGGCATAGCGTTCCAAGAAGTTGTACGAGAGACAAATGCGCGTGTTCGCATTGACAGTTTTGAGCATTGCGTGGTGGAAGTGCAAAAGGAAGATTTGGGCGGGTTTTTAGAGGCCTTGAGCTTCAGAAGTGTCGTTGGCTGATTGCAATGTATATGATATTCAAATGCTCCTTGCGCCTTGATTTAGCCCAAAAGCCTCACAGGTGTTGATGGTGCCGACATGTTTTCCGACAGCCACGACGATACCCCTTCATTCGAATATATCAGCATCCACACAATATTTTGCATTCACATTTTGTGGAGTTCTCGCCTTCTTCTGTTTTGGTTGCTTTGGTGTCATAAGCGGGCGTGCGTCTTTACGGCTTTGTGTCGGTTTATGTATATATGAGTGTAGGCATGAAGCTGGCTAGGTAAGATGGGAAATTGATGTTCTTTCAGGATAAGGACTGAGTGCATATCCTGATTCTTGCGAGCTTGACATGATTCGTTAAATTTAGTAAAGAAACTACTTCTAATAGGAAAAGGGTATCAAAAACACCACGCCAGCCCCGGGGAAATATATATACAAGAAATAAATAGAGGCTCAGAATAGATGGCAAGTCTAAATGTTACGACTTTCCCAGCAAAGATCCAGCGAACCATACACTCCCTAAGCCAGCCAGCAAGGAAATGCCAATAGCCTGCTTACTCCAGGTATCCGCGTGAGTCATTCTCAGGGAACCAGAGGGCTTTTGGATGGTTGCAACAGTAGCACTGGTTTTCTTCGCACTAATCCTCGTGGATTCTTCCGCAATAGGCTCACTATTATTGGTTTTTGAAACATGGCCCTGTTCCCGTTGCTTCCATTTTTCGACTAACTTTGCAATAGCCGCCAGGTCTTCTTGAATGGACCCTCCCGTTCCGTTATAGCCGGCTTCAATCTCAACATCCTGTACATTGCCGAAAAAGTCCATGACCTTGCGTAACCGACCCGCTTGTTCGCCGCCGGGGAAAAGATCCCATCGCACACCTGGCTGAGAGTGGATTTTCGCCTCGTCGTATGAATCGAAAAGGTCACCGAGGGTGAGTTTAGAGCTTGGCGAGGTGACTTGTGTTTCGAGAAATTCAAGGATGTAGTAAGTCCAGCGATCAATAACGGCGACTCCGACGTCGCTATCGGCGTGGTGGGAGTAGGAGGACTGGTCCAAGGCACTGGAGCCAGTAGCGATGATGTTGGGGGAGTAAAAGTGCGTAAACATGGTGTTGGCCTGGCAAGTGTCGATCATAAAGAGCAGTTCATTATACCGCTTCTTCTCCCACATCTGCCCAAACGCGTCCGCGAGATCCCACGCGCCTATTTCTTCCGAGTCTTGGAATTTGAGGAATTGATCGCCGCCATGTCCGGTCATGTATACCAGGACATTGCTCCCGGCGTCGGAACCCAGACGTTTACTGCGAGGCACGTCGTCATCCAGCCGGTCTGTGAGTAGACGAATGAAGCTCTCCACCGTCACTTCGTAGCCCCGATAATCCACCTCGATGTTATCACCATACAGGTCCAGAGCTCTATCCGCGTTGTTGTAGACGGTCCCCGGAAATGCGTTCCGCGGATTGCACGCCATGTCGTCCGGTAGCATGAGGATGATCTGGGAGTCCGGAATGCCCAGGCGCTTCACCGTTCGATATAAGGAGAGGACATTGGCAAGGTGACGATAGTTGAACCAAAATCGCGAGGTCGAAACCAGAACGGCCCAGTTGGAGGTGTGGGCAGCAGCAACGAAAACGACGGGATTTGCGAAAAGAAGGACAAGGGAGAGAATACAGTAGAGGTGCAAAAGGGGATTCATGGTTGGGTCTGTTTGGATATAGGATCTGTTCAGGCCCAGCACATGCGTGCTTTCAATGCCAGAATGGACCTCAGCTTCTTGGATAATGCACGGTATGCTATGTAATTATATTACGCGTTATAATACTAGCTGTTCTGGTGTTTGTTGTGTTTGTCTTCGATTAGTGGGCAACCTGTCACTAGTCTGCTTCGGGCAAGGCTGAGTGGAGATCCCGCCTTGTCTTCCATCCAATCAGCCGCCGTTCCTGCCGTCACCGAGAGGCTCAAGGAAGGCAGTAACCCAATCGGGAAGTGAACTCCCCATCAACCCCAACCACCGCCTGCAAGACGACTCCCTTCATCTTCGCCTTCAGCTTCATCCTCACTCATTCCGGCAACGGCGTCGGCAGCCATCTCTCCGTCTCATCGCTGCCAATCCTCGCACCCTGTCATTCTGGCCTGCTGCCTGCCTGTTGCCTACGCCCGCCCAACCACATGAGGAGGAACGTGCACTGATTTTGTCTGTCAGTTTCGTTCAAAGCCACCGCTTTCCCTTCACCACCTTTGCCTTTCTTGCTACTTTATCTGTGTCTTTATATCAGAGTCGATCCGCAGCTTCGCCCATGCTTGCTGTTACCCTGTTTTGCCGACTTCATCATCGACTAGGACGGAAAAAGCCATAGACCTTATTGTAGTCTGTTTTAAACGGCTGCGAGACTGCATACCGCCCCTTTAAGAAGCTGTTCTTCTCATGGGTTCTCACGCCGCCGGCCCTTCCATGGCCAGGATTTCACCCCTTGAAATCCGCCATGGCAAAGCCACGGTTATTGGATCTTCCCTCGGAGACGCTGAGGGAAATATTGCTATATGTGAGTGCTCCTACCGCCTGCCAATCTTGTGACAGCTTATTGATAAATGCCTGGCACTATTTTAGCTAAGGCCTCGTGACCTAGTCAAATTAATGCTTGTTTCGCATGCCTTGCATGACCTTACTGCGAGCCAACTTTACCGCAGCTTTTGCCATAAATTTTCTGAGAATCTCAACCCCAGAGATACCCAAATGCCTGCTGATGAGCTCGCCGACCTTCTAGAAACACTAGCAACAAGTGATTTTAATTATGCGGCATATATAAAAGAGATATCATTTGATGTTTTATGGAACAATGATGTCACCTGGACTAGAACACAAGATAAAGTGGCTTCTCAGCTCAAATTTGACACGGGATGTGGGAGGTTTTTCAGCACTCTCCTCTTAGCAGCGCTTAAGAAGGTTGTGGCCCTAGAAACATTCCGGTAAGCCTTGGCCTTGTTTTCGGCAAACCCGTTTGTGGAGAAAGTATTCTCTAACATTTTTCCAGTTGGGATGTTAAAGTGCATCTCACACCGTCAATCTTTGCTACCCTAGGGAAATTCTCTAGCCTGCAGGATTTGTATGTCAGAATGCACATTGGTCCATCCATCTCTGGCGCAAATAATAGCAACTTTGGACAGTCCTGGGTCCCAGCTCCTGTACCGGTTCCACAGCAGCAACCGCCACCAACCATTGTGGGTAGTGCACACCCTCATCCCCATGGCCCTCCGCCTTCTACTACATTACCCGTCGTTACTACTAGGCGTGCTCCCAGGTCTAGGCTACCGATTTGGGATGGAACTTTTAGCCATATTCAAAAGCTCAAAAGCTTGGCTATTCTCGATATGGAATGTCTTGGATACCTAAACGAGATTGCTTGTTGTGTTTCAGCCTCCTCTACGACGCTTAAGACACTAAAATTGTCATTCTCCGAGAGGCTTGCTGCGAAAGCCCAGAAGAAAGCTGTTGTGGAGAATTCCGACACGGAATCCGATACTCAAGATGACGACATATATGAGCCCGATGATGCCGCACCACCTCCGCCACCAGCTACAGTATTTCCGTCCATAATCCCAACTACTTCTACATCAAATCCCAATAACGATGCCAAGGTTCGAAATGAGCGGCTCATGCAGGAGAAGACCCTTTCGCGGATTTTCAGCCTAGAAAATGAGGCTTCAATGCATAAGTTAGTTCATAAAATTGTCTACAGTAGCAATGCAGCCGCGCACGACCAGAAACTTGTTGCAGACAAAACAACTAACTCCCCCGACAAAACATTCATGTTTGAGCTACATGGCATTGTGACCGACCTGCATCTAGGAAAAGCCACTCTTACACCTGGCCTAAACGCCATGAAGACAGTTGAAAGAGTACAAAATGCCACATCCAAGTTTCTTAAAACCTGGGGCGATTCACAACTGTCTCAGAAATTATCCGCTTTTCAAATAGAGCTCTTAGAAAAGCATGCATTATCGTTGGAGAAGAAAGGTAGTATCGCCTTTGCTGCCGAACCAAGTCCGACTGATGTCACCCTTGCAAAGGACTTTGGACTAACCGCTCAAAGCTCGGACATTGATCCTGACGAGCAGAATAGCTCAAACTCAGATAATCCTGTCAGCCAAGAGACTACCAGTGCATCAGCTTCCGCGCACTTAATTGAACAACCTAATAGCTCGGAAGTAGCTACCCGCGGCTTCACCTTTTCAATTCCCGCGAAAAATGAAAATGAACTCGAAAGGCGCATGATGGCCATCGTGGACATGGAACATCCAGATAACCTAAGCGAAGGGGAAGACCAAGAATTTCTTGATCCCAGAGAGATTGCAGTTCAAAGAAACGACCGGGCCCCTGAAGACGTCAATGGCTGGCCTGGAAGCACTGAAGAACGGGACCTCCAATCTTCCATCAAGGGGAAGGAGCCAATACGCGGCCCGCATGAATCTCCTGCAAATGCGAAATTTGATAGCTCTCGAGAATTTGGTACAATGTCAACTGAGCAAGCGATCCAAGAGTACATTCGTCTAAACCACGGGATCGCACTCGAAAGCCTCTCAATTCAGCTAATTCCGCTCAAAACGTCAGTTATCTGCCGGGCGATAAACATTTGGTCATTAAAGCACATTTCCCTTTTAAACGTCGGACCTCAGCGAGCCTTCTGGGCAACATTGATGCAGCTTAATAAATCGAATCCTCTTCAAATTTCTTCAATTCACTCGGATAACGTTACGCTGCAACTGTTGGCGTTTATAGGCTCCCTAGATTTTGTGGACGAGTTGTTCCTCATAGAGCGAAAGGCTAGTCCAGTATCAGACCCTCCAGCACCGAAACCTCCTATCCGCATCTCGCATATTTATTCGTTGGCGTTAGAGACGCATATGAAGCATTTGAAACGACTTATGATTCGAAATGATGTTGACTCAAGTTGGAATCTTGACCGCTGGAATACTAGATGTATTACAACAAATGGTTCAAACCTTGTTGAACTTGTTGTAGCTGTAGATTCTGCGCATTTCGTGAGTGAAATTTGTCAAATCGTGCCTAATAGCCACTAATTGCTAATTCCTTACTACGTTTTAGCATATGATGATGCACTACGTGAAGCACTTGCGATCGCTTTTAGCCTTACACATCTTGTTCAATAATGCTGATTATTGTATATCATTATTGCGCGAGATACGTCTTTGTGCCATAGACAACATTCTCCATTTTCCCTCACTCAAGGTTCAGTATGTTGCCGTCAGTCACATGGCGAACGGTCCCACTACTACGAAAGTATCGCGCATTGTGAGAACCTCTGTTCGATTATTGAAGTCGAATGACGCCTCCGGTTCGAGGGATACGCTTTTAGAGTCTTTGAAACCTTATGCTTCCTCATTACGCAAATCGCTTCTTATTGGAAATCCGAACGGCTCTCCACCCGAAAGTCCGCTCAACTCCTCTCCCTCCGACGAAAGTGACGACGATCGTTTTGAGCAACGCCCAGCGACCTTGTTAGTCGACTCAATAGAGATTCATGAGATCCAAGGGATCAAAATTTGGCAAAAAGAGATATTTCACTCGAGGCTCTGAGGTAGTGCCGCGCTGTTCCTCAGACATTTTAACATTTTAATCTTGGCTATAGTTATTCTAGAAACACTCACAGTAGGCCGCAAAGAGCTTTTACCCAAAACCTACAAGATTCACAGCATGATTAAACTACCTTCTCAAATGTTCGCCATACTCCATCGCGCAACTCTGGCTAGTTTTCAGAGTCGCCTGCTCGCCATTTTCAGGGGTTGATTGCTTCACGGATTAATATTTACCCATAGTTACTGGTGATTTAACCACCAGTTGGACTTAGATTGATTAGATAATCCAGGAGTCATCCCACTTCTTGTTGATAATCAGCTAGACAATTATTAAAGCAGTTTGCCAGAAGCTCATGGTATTCATATTTCCATTACCTTCATAGGTATCTCGCTAGTGTATTGAGGAAAATTAGCACCACACGAGTACTATCTGCTATGGCGGGAAAGAAAGGCGAGAACACCAAAAAGGCTGCGGGCATGGCTCGTGTGAGTTTTCTTTGAGCGCTGGGAATCGTTAGGAAAGCGAAGAAGACCTAAACTGATGCGTTCCTGGGCTCATAGAAAGCCGAGGTCGCGGCTCAGAAACAAGCCGTGGCAGATGCCAAAAAGGCAGGGGACGAGGACCGGAAGTGGCAACAGGGCGCAAAGTCGAACTCGAAGAAGTAAGTAACATTGGGTTTGTCTGAATCCCTCATCAAGTATCCTATCGAGTCCCGCTCTAACTTGGGATAAATCAAACAACAGGGAACAGGAAGAATCTAAGCGAGCAGACGCCGCTCGCAAGAAAGCGGAGCGCGACGCGCTTCTCGCAGGGGAAGAAGCCGCCCAGCCATCCAAGCCCAAGGGCGCCGGCGCCAAAACCGCCGCAAAGAAGACTCGCGGCACCTTGGATCTTTCGCACCTGGACGCGGCTCTGGGCGTGTCCACCTCGGGATCCAAAAAGGCCAGCGCCATCAGCGCTTCGGGCATCGACAACGCTCTCGACGCATTGACGTTGACGTCGAATGCCGACTCTACCAAAGTGGACAGGCATCCGGAGCGCAGATTCAAGGCTGCGTATGCGGCGTTTGAAGCGAGGCGGTTGCCGGAGATTGAACAGGAACAACCGGGGTTGAGAAGGCAGCAGAGGATTGAAATCGTCAGAAAGGAGTTTGAGAAGAGTGAAGAGAACCCTTTCAATAAAGCCAATGTCGCTTTTGATGCGAGTAGAGAGGAAGTGGCGCGAGTTAAAGCATCCGAGAGAGCGAAGATTGAGACTCGGTTATCAGAAAGATGAGAAAGATAAATCGGCGTTGGGATTCGGGGTATACAGCGCTTAACAACTTTAAGCCCTTGTCCTCTTGCGGTCAAACGATAGCGGGAAAATCTGGACGTTTTGGGCCTTGCAAAGCAAGGCTCCCTTGACATGACTGATATGATACATGACATCGAATGATTTGTTGAGATTTTTCTATCTCTCTATTTGCTTGGACAGCGAAGCTTTCTTTTATCAGACTGAATCATCTGAAATACAAGCAAGACTGGTTAAACGACGTCAAAGGGCTTAAGCGCATTAATGCATAGGGACAAGAGTTATTTCCAACCACCAAAAACCAGGTATCATATACAATAACTATTTCAAAAAGATACCCATAAAGCGATAACCTAATGCCCAAGTAAAAGCATAGAGACCAACCATAAATCCAAGTGGTTGGCGAAATCCCAGGGTCAGCGCCGTACCAAATTTATCGAAAAGCACTGAATGATCCTGGAAACCCCCTCGTTGTAATAGTAAAGATGCTCCAAGAATCAGGGACCGTATTTTATCCAAAAATATTAAACCCACCTTTTAACAATTTGGTGTTGGTTCTTGCTCCCAGTCTCACTTTGGGAAAAGGGTCTTCGTGTAAAACAAAGTCAGATGCCCAAAGTTGTGCTGATATTGGCGCAAAGAAAGTGAGAGGGAGAAAAAACGGCGGGCAAGATTTATGCCATAACAGCCCTTGCATCCCAGACACATAATCTTTCATCCCAACCGCAGCTCGCGCACCATCCCTCACTACCAAAGAGGCACCAATCGACGCCAGTGACAAATTCCGTATGTCTGCCCATACGGCCCAGCTCCCTTCCCATTGTAGGCATGGGTCCAAGTCTCATTGCGTCCGCATCGCCTGCTGGAGCTCCAATTTCGGATCCGTCGGTCCAAACACGGCATGTCATATCGTAGCCGGCACTGAGTAGCACATGTGAAAGGTGGGGCGACCATGTTAGCTTCCGGACAGCATATTCATGTCCGACCATAGCGCAAAGAGGCCCTTGCTGGGGAGCACGGATATCAAAGGTTCGAATTATTCTATCAACACCGCCAGTTGCAAGGACAGAAGGGCGATATTTATTCCAATCATGCGTAAGAGCTTCGGAAGGAGGAGACGCTGCTGGAGCCATTGGTAAACCGGGGTTGGTAGGAATAGGAGTCTGGCCAGATCCATGAATAGGTATTTGAACGGTGAGATGATTGGATGCTGACGTTGGGGTACGCAGGTCGAATATACGCACGTATGAATCAGAAGAAACGCAAGATAGAATATCCGGTGAATGAGGTGAAAAAGCCGCAGAATAGGTGCAGCTATGTGTGGGAAGAGTGAGTAGCGACGTCGGTCGGTCTGGAGCCCATATTTTGACGGTGCCATCCCAGCTGCTGGAGCAAAATCGATCCTTCGCGACTAAATTCCAGTGAACAGAAAAGACCTCCCTGCTGTGCTCCTTCCATGCTTGAACGGGGAATTCATCCACAGTCAAATCAAAAAGCTTTACACTGCCATCTCCGGATGCAACGAGAGCCTGATTTTCATGGATTTCCGACCAGGCTAAGTCATATAAAGCATCTTGTGTCGTATACCTATAGTAGTACACCGCCTGTTAGCAAGGAATCATAATGCTTATAAGGATAGAGATCCAGGAACTAGTACCACTTTAACGGAGTTATGCCCTGCGGGGTGAGCTCAAAGATGTAAAATCGCCCGTTTCCAACGAGCCCAAAATTCGCCGAAGCCGCAACAGCTAGTCGTGAATCGAAAAAGGGCGAATATTTCACAGCTCCTCCATTGAAACCCTCCGTGCGGTATTCGAGCATATTGTCGGCGGCCGGAGGTTGGCGGGGCAGTCACAAGTATATTGGCCGGTTACAAGAACAACAGTCAAGGGTCGCTCATCGTGTCATCATGTTGGCGCCAGTTCGTCCTTTTATATTCTCTTTCCAGGAAACCCTGCCGATATGCCCATTGTCCAATGTCGTTGCTGCTGCCGCCGCTGCGATAACTGTCGAACACTCAAATAATGAACTGGGAGGTAGGAAACACCGAGGTAACTAGGCTAGTTAACTAGTTAATTTAGGCTTACATAATCCGGCAGGGACACAGCAACCGTTTAAATGGACGCCATCGCGGTCGATAACCATGTGCAAAGACATTCTAGGAGGATTTAGATCCATTGTAAGGGCACTGTGAGCTTTTCGTTGCTTCAATCCATATTTCGACCCGCTGGGGCCTTCGCCAGCGCAAAGTTTCTCCCCGTGTTCTGCTGGATCAAATCTGATTTCTGAGTTTTGACATCTTTATATATTCATCTCTATATTACATATTCAATGTCATCATCTCTAAGAGTGCCGCTTGCCACTTCCTTCCGCACAGAGCAGGTCCTAGGGATTGGGAGAACGGGCGTGGTGATCCAAGAGCAGGTTGCTGTGAAGCTACCTCTCAGATGGAGCACAAGTAGTGATGACGAAGTTCAAGCAAATATCGAATCGCCAAAACATGAGCAGGAAATCTATCTTCGGCTGAAAGATTGCGATGGTGTCGTTCCACTGCTAGGTTATTCCGACACAGCCACCCACCTCCGTCTAATGGAAAATGGTTGACCTTCGATCGTACTTAAGTCAAAATCAGCCATCGAATTACCGTCAACTTTCATGGTTTCGTCAAATGGCCCGCGCTCTTGCACAAATTCACGACCGCCGCATTATTGTGGTAGACATTGCCAGCCATAACTTTCTTCTTGACTCCGACCTATCAGTCAAATTCTGCGATTTCACAGAGTCGACTAAATTACCTCTTGACGCCTGTATGGAAACAGCTGACGATGGGGGCTATACAGTACGAACGGACATTGGGCAATTGGGAGCTGTGATGTACGAAGTCCTAACCAAGCAGCGTTGCGAATTTGATATATTCAAGGATGTCCCATCAGATATCAGTCACGGTTCATGGCCGCGAAGGGGAGGACCTCCCAAACACTGAAAATGTTTGGCTTGGCCAGATAATTGAAAAATGCTGGACAGAGGGCGCGTTCCACAATGCATACGACCTATTGAGCGAGTTAGAGTCCATCAACGATAACGAGTTGCACGAACATAAGACATGTCAAGGCTCAGGGCAACGCAAAAGATTGAATCTGGTTTCCCGCCTCAAAGGCATATTATTCTCCCCCATCACTCTAGCAACATTTGGCGCATTCATGCTTTATACATGGGGCTATTCTTTTCGGAGGCCTTTCTGTGGTCTCGTTCTGTAAACACCTGGAGGAAGTTTCCCTTTTGACAGGTTAGCGGTCGTATTTAGTTGAGTGTAATGGAGGCGCACCTTGATCTTTTTGTACTAATTGCTGCTTCATATCTGTCTGGGCAGCTTGCCTTGAAAGCTGAACAAGTCATGTCGATTGGCGACGAAGATAGATTTATGTCGCGGCCGGCTGGAGGTGAATGATGGATGTCTGATGGTAGATTCTTGAAAGTCTGCCAGAAACTGCTGGAAGGTGGTTGGGATGACTTCTGAGTAGTTAAGCGGATTCCATCATGCGCCTTGCTGTTGGAGCAAGGGGAAGTCATAGGCTGTAAGAAAGATAACTAGTGGTTAACATTGCATGAGCCCTGGACTAACCAGTAGGCTACATTTAAATCTCAGAAAAACAAGATTTTTTTATCAATATAATCTTATTATGCTCTAAGGTGCAGCCTTTGAGAGCTTGCAAGAGAGAATTGCCACTGATTTTCAGCTGGCCTTTTCGTGTTCTTAGGATGCCAATGTGAATCAGGTGCCCACACGTCAAGCCTCGGGTTTTGTTGCTCAACCATGAGGTTGACGTCCCTTGATGACAGCAACCTCATGAGAAAACTAACTACCATGGCTCCAAGTAACCACGGGGTAGGGGTTGATTCAAGGCCTTCAGATCATGGACAAATACCTCTCGACAAAACGCCCCAGGGCCTTATCGACTCCTCCAGCCAACGCAGCCGATGAATGCAACGACCAGGATGAGGATGATTCCACCGACGTCAAACTGGCAACGCTGGCATCTCTGTTCCCGGATATCTCCCAGGAAATTCTTTTGGACCTATTAATCGCGAATGATGGCTCGATATCCCTGACTTCGTCCTCAGTAAGGGCCGAACTCTCCCGAAAGAAAATCAAGCGGTCAATGACTGCGAACCTCGGCGTCCAAAGCTCCCTGGCTTCGTATGGAATGATGGTATCAGAAAACCTTTCTTCCCCGAAAAATCTGACCAAGAAAGGGCAGACGCTTCATCTCTTCTCTCCGGAAGACATATCAAAACATACCTCCTGCACCATTATCCACAACTTTCTCCCCCCCGAGGAAGCAATCTCTCTCCTCAAAGAGCTTCTCCAAGAATCCGAAACATTTTCTCGCCAACGTTTTCAGCTATTCGATAACGTCGTCGAGAGCCCACACACTGCAGGGTTCTATGTCGCCAGTCGCGAAGAACAAGAACAGCAAAAATCTGCATATTCATACAACGGCAACTACCGAACCGATGTGAGACAGCTAACTCCACAACTGCGCAATATTTCTACCAAAGTGCAAAAGGCTGTGAACGAGGAAATCCAAAAGCGTATTCGAGACCACTATCCCAACGGAAAGAAGCTGCAATATCAATCTCCGCTGGAGTGGGTTCCCAATGCCGCCTTTGTCAACTGCTACGATGGCCCATCTGAAAGTGTCGGTTATCATTCCGACGAACTGACCTACCTCGGGCCCCGCGCCGTCATTGGTAGTCTCAGCTTGGGAGTGGCAAGGGAATTCCGTGTCCGCAAAATCGTTCCTCCAGACGACGGAGACGCCAGCCATTCGACCTCTACAGGGAGCGCTTCAGACGCTCCGTCATTGCCAGAAAACTCCTTTTCACGTGCAGATATCCAAGGCCAAATCTCCATCCATCTGCCTCACAATTCTCTCCTAATAATGCATGCTGAAACGCAAGAAGAGTGGAAGCATAGCATTGCCCCGGCACAAAGTATTTCCCCGCACCCTGTTTCTGGAAACAAAAGAATAAACGTCACATATCGCTGGTATCGTGAATCATTGCATCCGAAAAACACACCTCGTTGCAGGTGCGACATCCCTTGTGTACTTCCGCTGTGTGCAACGGAAAAAAGAAACCCGGGGTAGATATATGTGGATGTGTTATGCTGGCTATGCACCTGGAAAAAAGACATGCTCCTTTTTCCAGTGGGCCGTATTTGATGAAGATGGCGAACCGATTTGGCAACACGATCCAAGTGACCACCGTTAATACAACCTTTAATAACACCCTCTTTTCCCCCATAGAAAAACTCGAATTAATGACATAAAACAATTTCAAAACATCTTCCAACTAGCCAAAGTCACCTCGTGAATTTCGGATATCCGAAAGATGCCCCCACTTATCTTGTCAATCGTTTTGCGAAATGCGAGCTCTGGTACTTCGACCTTGGTTCCGCTGTCCGCAGCAATCTTCTCATATTTTTCCCGAGGCCAACGTCACCTATATCACCTACGCACCCGTCAGATCGAGGCTACTGTTGAGGTGATCAAAAATCTGACCCCAAATCAATCATTGTAGGCTCGCATTTTGTCACTCGCTCAATTTCATCCTTGCTCTCACACTCCATCACATTAACGCCAAGACGCCATGAATCCGGCCGACCTTTGACTTGGTTTAATTCGTCGCTATTGTATCCGTCATTCTGAACTCTCGATTTGCACCTCGCCGTGTTTGCCGGGTTCGGAACGCCAATCCAGTCAAGTTGGCATTTTCCCTCTGATACAAGATGCGTGGAACTGACGAAACAAGAATTTCTGTATTCAACACTTGCGGCGACGATAGTACGAGCTTCGCTGAGCCGAGCAGGAGGTTCAAGCATTCCATGCAATTGATCAATCATGTTATCAAGCTCCTCCGTATTCATCGGTTCCTTTATCGCCAGGGAACTGGTGCTAGTCGAGCAAGGTGAATCGATCATATCAGCTTCTTCGTCGATCCCCCGTTCCCTAACTTTAATCAGCACCGTCCAAGACTCTCCTGGTCGTAGGCATTTGCGTTCCGTATTTCCAAGCATAGCAACCACCTCATAATTTTCGGAGGGCGTAAGCTTAACCGAAAGGTCAGAGAGCACGCCTGAGTCAATTCCTGTACGAAGATGCCTAACAATCAATTTAATATTAGACCTTAAGGCAGATTCAACTCCGTCGTAGTCCAAACTGCCAGATAAGTGCCACCCGCCTACTAGGCCGGGAGACTTTATCATGACTGAATTTTCGGGCGATATCGTATGAAAACGTAATCTCTCGTCCAAACCATTATTGAGATATATAGCTGAACGAGCAGTGATGAAAAACATATGGCAAAGGGCAGATTTTCCAGATTGTACTAGGAGCAAGGTAGAGGCTTCTCTCAGGGCACCTGAAAGCCGTGCTTGGTCCGCATCATCGTGGGGCAGCTGAAAGGTTGATAGAGATCGGAAAACGTTGCGAACAAGATCCAAGCCGTGGGATCCAAGAGGCAGCATCAGTTTGAGAGTCTCTCCGGGGTGTGGGGAAAGGCAGCCGATCGCCACTCGGTCTATCAATACATCCAACGAGGATGCAACGTAAAAAGCATTTTGACAGGCTCCTTTCAAAAGCTCTGGCGGTACTCTTGCCCTGCTAGAATGATTAGCGACAGTTTTTGGGGCAGCCTAGTTGCACGTACGAATTATCAACAATTATCATGACGTCCAAAGGAATATCAGCAGTGCACTGATCGTCTAGATTATTTTCCAGGTTATCAACTCGTGCAAATATTTCAACCGATAACCATGTTGACAGTTCGTTTCCAGCGTTTGTTCTGAGGGCATCCGCACTCAGCTCTACTGTGGCAGTTGTGACGGGAGCATTCCGTGGCCAGCGATTCCTACGTTTCACACGATTTCTAGGAATCTTCAGCTCTTCAGAAGCGAGCGGCGGCGTGTATTTTCTGTTTTGGCTTTGCTCCGTGTCTCTTGATAAGAAGTTATTTGGGCTTCCCGAAAAGGTTTCCCTTTTCAAATCATCTATAAATCCCCTCGAGGTCGGTAGAGGTTTCGTATAAGCAGACGACTTTGTTTTCATAACAGTATCAGAATGGATCCTTTCACTGCTGGATTCGCGATTCCTAAAATCAAATACTTGGGTAACTCGAGAAAAGAAGCCATTTTTGGGCGCAAGGACCGGATGTCGCTGACTCTGTGTGGTAGTCGGTTCAGTTTGCTTTTGCGGTCCCTAAGACACAAGTTTGCGTCAGTATGAGGTCGAAAGTAAGATTTTACTCAGAAAAACGAGGATATACAGAAGGGTTCCCCATCTTGGAGTAATCAGCACTAGTTATTGGAGTACTCGAAAGCGAATGCCAATACCCTTGGTTTTGGCTTGGCCGTAACAACCGAGGATCTCCCTTGTTCAGATCTGGTAGAGGCGGGACTTCAGATATCGATGGAGAGCGGATAGCGTAGGACGACCGTCTTCGGGGAATAGGAATTGGAGGACTATCTTTGGCCCAGGTGTCGCGAACTTGGCCTTTGCGACGCGTCTTGAGAATCCGTAGAGGCTTGGGAGCCGGAGCATATCGAGTTTCTTCAGGGTAGTCCATCTGTTCGTTGTCTACCAATGAGACAAACTTCAACGCTGGCGAGATCCGGCTTCACACGTGCTCCCTCTCTATGGCTTTCTGATCCATATCTGTGTTTCCGTCACTTGAATCAGAGCCCTTTGACGAGGAAGAAAAGTACCAAGGAGGATCTGAGCGACTCCTTTTGTGGGGTTTTCTGCCTCGTCGACAGGTATAACGACGCTGACTACGGAGGCTCCAAAATTCAGCACACCCAAGAGCTACGGCCACAATAATAAGTAGCAGGAATATGGGGACAAGGACAAAAGCAATCAAGATTAGTGTTCTGCGAGCTTCACCGCTGGGCATATCGGCGCGATTTTGAAAACAAGGTCATGGACGAGGATGCCATAAGCACCTATTTGATGGCCAAAACGGATTTGGTTTTAAGGAGCAATATATTTAGAAATGAGAAGGCAAGAACAACTAGGCTTCTTGGTCAAATACGAAGAAACTACGATGGGTATATAGGATAAAGGAAAGCATCAGAAAGCATCCAAAGTGGATACCAAAACAGCCTGCAGCCGTAGCTAAGGAGCTACTGTCGAAGAGTCATTCAGCTCGGCTCCCGAACTATGGGAAGCTGGCGCCAGGTCAATTACTCATTGGACCAACTATCTCCAATTTGATTTCCGTTAGCAAATCATGATCAAGTTTCTGAAATCGAACCTAACAACAAGTCAGTCAGCAACTCGTCTTGTATTAAAACGAACAAGAGAGGGAACGTGGAGGGATATAGATGGCGTACAAGATCATCCGACGCATTCCGTGGGGAGTTCCCAAACAGAACAGATTCTAGATAGCTGTTTTGAATTCCGTTCTGCACCCTCTTTTCCCAAACCCCTGCCCAATTCCATTCCCCCGGCGCACGAGCTTGCGTGTTTCCTTTCTTATATGTAGAATCCAGGCTCACTTCTCCCTGTCGACTTCCTTCTGCGTTTTGTGGTTCGTTGTTTGCACCCTTAACGGTGCGCCGATGTGTTCGCCATGCATGCCATGCACCAGGATTTCCCGCAGCTTCGACTGGAATAGAGTCCAATACCTCCTCGTTGTCAAAGGTCGAACAAATATAGTTCAACAGCTTTATAACGGGAACATCTGTGCCTCCATGTTGATATATATCTCCCGTTGGGATAGGACTCCTCCGGATGCTGGCAGCGTACGAATCCGCTGCCGTCCGCAGTGACTCCTTCGTTGCAGTCTCTAATTGCACATCGGCCGTTGAATCCAGCGACCCAGCGCCTTCCACCAAAGGTGTGTTCCCGCCTGAGTTCCGTCTAGTTGAAGTCGCATTACCACTTGCGTTCCTAGATGAAGTTGTTGAATTCACCGCATTCTTTCTTCCTCTTCCAAACCAATGTGGAAATCCATGCCGTAAACTAAAACCACCGGGCGGTAAACGTTCTTCGTCCGTGGCACTTACAGTACCCGTCCCCGAGGACCCGGTCGTGAAAGTGTAAGTCGTCAAGGGTACAAGCAGAGGATGGAATATATCTGTGCTGAAAGTTACGAGCGGTGGGAGGTCGGGGTAAGTCGGTGGGAATCGGATTTGAAAGCGCAGAATGGCGGATGCATATGGACCTGTGCAGGACGATTCTCAGACATGTAAAACCAATGCTTTGATAAAAGACGATTCAATACCGGTTTGAACAAACAGCACTCCCGACCATACAGTTGGGTCCGTAGGAGAGATTGAGACATATACACCTGGCGGGGGAGCGGCTTGGAGGCTCGCACTGGGATAGGGAACTCGAATAAGAAGCTGGAGATCGCATTATTATGGGCCCAATCGACTTACAATTCAAGATAAAGCTGTTGCGCACGGAGCGAAGGGACGTTGGGAAGCCTAAAGCTCGACATCGTCTTGTTGGTTGAGTTGTTCCCGCGAGCTTGTGAACTCGCTCTGGAGGCTGTCGTTAATGCTTTGGTCTCGAGGCAGAACACAGCGATTGATGCGAATCAACCAACTAGTTAGCTATGCTTCATGATGCTGATACAAAGCGATATAACTATCTAGCTCAGTATAAGTAGTTAGCTACCCATAAAGAGTAGATGACTCCAGAACTCAAGAGCTTGCTATTTAATTTTGCTTCTTTGACAACCTTGCTTAGCTACGTGCATTAACTACAACTTCATCTGTTTAAACCAATATAAAGCAATCAATCAACCAGAAGGGGGAAAAATGGAAAAGAAGAGACAGAAGAGGAAATGTTCTATTCCGCCTCTCATAGAAATGACCAAAATAAGAAGTTAAACTAGCATGCTGATATGGGATAAACTCGCCCAACAATGAATATATATCTTTTTTTGCTTGCAATAGGCGGCGGTTTTCGTTCCCCTCTTCAATATATTAACCGCCATATATTTGCTTGAAACTCACTCGATTTTGAAGGTATCACAAGCATCAAACAGTCGTAAAAAGCCCAAGTTACGCCCCTTTCCCGATACAGCCCCGTGAGTGGAAATTATGCCCGTCATACCATATCTATACTTCGCCTTCTTGATTATAAATGGAGTCATTGCATATAATTATCTCAATGCCCAGAACCCTCAATGTTGGAAAACAGCGAAGACGAATCGAACGTCTTCTGATATCCTGCCCCAAAAGGTGTAGTAACGGGAGGTCCCGATGTAGCGTGAAGTTGGGACGGCGCCGAGGTCGCAGTTACGTTAAAGGCCGTCTCACTGAAACCAAATCCCTGAAAACCAGAACCTCCCTGCCCGAACTTTTCAAGATGCAAATCGTCTAGCTCGTGACCAATATCTCCGTAGTCATCATCCAGATGTTGAACAAAATCAGCATCGAAGCCCATCTCGATGAGTGGGTCGTTCTCTAAAGTAACAGGCGCAGAGGAAGAGAGTGTACCAATCATAGTGGAAGTCGGCAAACCATCAAGGCTCCCGTGGCCGATGGCCCCAGCAGAGAAGTCGACGCTACCAGACAAGCTACCTGCGTGACTACCTCGATGGCTGGCAACAGCAGAATGGAATCCTGAACCAGGTATCGCTGGGCTTTGGAGACCTGAAGAATTGCTGGGAGGCGGAGCTGCTTTCAAACTGTGTGCGGGAGCTCGTCGAAGCCCGCCGTTTGCAGCGAATGGCGGTTGCATACCTAAATCACCCAGCTGAATGCTTTGCGATCCCGGAAGGTCGTATATTCCAGCATCGCGTTTCAAGATGGCTAACCAGGTCGGGTTATCAGCACATGTTTGATTCCATGGGTCATCAGTCCCATATATGATACGGCGCGCTTCTGCTTGTATCATTCCGTCAGTTGGAACGATACCTTGGGCAGCCATGCGACCAATAAATGCTGATACCTCAATTTCCAACCGGCGGAAACAACTAGCATCATTCGGTACTGGAATGTTTGCGGAAGAGCGGCCTGCATTATGATCACCCGCTTCTTTCGCCGCAGGACTTGGTCGCTGGGCGATCCAGGGATTCATGGAATTTCGTTCTTCAGCAATCAGGTAAGGTGGCATGGCGCCTTCGACGCAGCGCTGGATGCAAGGGTCAAACCCCCAGTCCCCTTTCCATTGCGACATCTCTGTTCCGGCCTTGAAATGAGCCGCGAGGTGGTCAACACGATCTTTCCATGTTGTGAAGGTCGCCGAGCAGAAGCCACAACGAGATTTGAGTTCAGTTGTAGCACTCTTCCACTGGTCCATCCATGGACCTAGTTTTACATTGTGCATAAGCCGTAGGTGCTGGTTAAGATGATCCTTCCTGTAAAATGTCCGTTCTTGCGTCGATTTCTCTTGGCATGCCGTATAGTTGTGGGATTCTAGATGGCCTTCGTCCGGATTCGGCTGTCGGCAAAAAGCACATAGAGCTTCACCATTCTCTAGAATGATTCCACCTTGAGGGGCACAGGTCCATTTGTCTAAAGCAAGGTGCAGGGACTTCTCATGACGCTGCCAATCATACTTGGTTGGAAAAGAATCAGTGCAAAAAGTGCACTGATATATGCGGGCGGCGCGAGATTTTTGGAACACATTTTGGCCAACTGCAGACTTGTGACGCCGTCGTCGACGGTCCCTCGTGTCTGCGGACCCAAAAGACGAACGTGACGACCGATGGGAAAAAACAGAGGCAAAAGACATATCGGAAATGCTAGACTGTGCTGTGTCCATACTGTAGCCGCTTGAAGATTTTGCTGGCCGCACGTTTGAAAGGCTGGAATCATCATTACTGGAACCTGTTCGTCTCGAATTTGATCGTCTGGGCCCAGAGGATGCGTCATTCGGATTACGGGAATGGAAGGGGGTGGTAGCCATGGCTTGGATAATGTCACGGACTGAAGCAGGTTCGTTCTCAGGTGGAGAGTGTTTCCATCGTTCCAAGGGGTTCAAGTCTGACAAATGGACTCCGGGAGAAAGCTTTCTAGCCGGAATCGGTACACCAATGGAAGGTGAAGCAGAGCGTGGTGGCTGGCGGACCTTTCCCCGGCGACGAGCATTCGCTAGCCAATTGCAGATTTGGCTCCGTTTCAAGCCAGTTTTCGCTTTCAATTGATCTTTTTCTTCGTCTGTTGGGTACGGGTGGGCTGTGTGGTCCGATAGCCACGATCTCAGGACCCTAACAGCTTCCCTGGGGAATCTAGAGCCGTTTTTCCTCCCTCTTTGTTCAGATTCTTCGAGCAGGGTGCTGGTGGATGGCCCGCGGTATGATTTCAAAGCTCTCTTTCCCGTCAGACTTCCCGTGGGGACATAAGAATCTTCCCCAACCACGTGTAAGGTTTCCAGATATTCCTCTCGCGGCCTCGCGTTGGTGAAGCTGCACTCTCGATACAAAGCTATGCAACAAGTGCACCCGTTTTGTAATGCACCTCTTTGAGCCACAAAGCAATCCAAGCCCATAGAACGACAGAAGAAGCACTTCTCTGAAGCTCGATACATGGGCCAAGGTCCGTCCAAAGCCGGGCAAGACTGTGAGGCTGTTTCGTCGGCGGCCGCGGCGGTGTTTACGGCATCATCGGTAGACGTGGGAATGTTTTCACCGTTGACAAGTGAAGCGAGATCCGAATCAATGGTCTCTGAGCAATCGAAAGCTACATCATTTTCCCGAGCAGCTTGGTCAAAATCAAAGTACTCCATTGCGCCGAGGTGGAAGTTTTATATACTTTCTTTGATGTGCAAGGGCCCCCGACAGGAAAAGCTAGGCCGAGATGACTCTTCCTTGCAGCGCCAAACCGATAGGTAAGCCAAAGCAGCCAATGGACGGTGAATACTTTGAGCCACACGTCACTTCGAGGTTTGAAGTGCTGGTTGAAACAGTCACGAAAGTGAGAAAGAGAGGATGACAAAATGTGAAGAAGAGGTAGAAGCAAAAAGAGGGCAGACCCGGGCGCCTTTGAGTCACCCAGCTAGTTAGCTCTCATTAGTTACTTTTGTTAACTAGTTACCGACATGGCTGTTCTCATCGGTCTCCGCTTTCCCCATAATCTAAAGTAATGGGGAATTGGGGGTTTGTTCCAACCACAAGGCGACGGATGCGATAGTCTCTGGCTCCAAGAGCGGTGACCATCGGAGCGATTTCCCCAAGGAGCATCGACAAGGACCGAGAAACGGGAGACTGGTCAGTGGTCACTCTTGTCATGTGGCCGAACAACTCTGTCTCAGCCAGCAAACCTTGTCGATTGCGGAAATTGCTTGACTTTCTAGAGTCCACGGAACCATCCGCGAGCAACCCCGGCACTGACTAATCCAGAATGCAGGCAGAAATCAGGCAGAGAGATTCAAGGCCCCCTATCAGAACGGCGCGACCCCGACGAACAGATCCCCAAGCTCATGCAGCTGACCAAGGGTGCGGCCATTTGGTACCGCCGTGGCGTCGTGCGCTCAGCGGGAAGCTGACTGGCATCCGGCGTGAATCTCTGGGACCCTGCTCGTGTTTCTGGCCCGAAGAAGGGTGATAGCCGCATCACAACGGGCGATGTCGACGTGGGGTGTTGGGAGCTGCGAGAAGGGACGACGTGAGATTGGCGGGGAATGGCGATGAGGTAATCACCGGCTGAATTGAGTTTCGCAGCCTGCTTACGTGCTCGGGCTCTGATTGGCCATATTGGGAATAAACTCTAAACCACGCCCTTTCTTTGACAAGTCGCGCTAAAGGCTTCGATGCTAGCCCGATTGGGCGATTTCTAGAACGAATTTCAAATGCCCCTTCCCCACAGCAGCCTTTCGTCCCATCTTTCCAGACGAGAATCCTGTGGAGATGTCCGTTCTCTATCTTGGTTCTTGAGGGATCATCGGAATTAGTCAACTGCGGCCCTGTGCGATTCAGGTGGGCCGATCTCGGAGCTTCGACTGGTCACCATCGATCCTCTTTTCCACCCTCGGTTCGACCAACGCTGGACGCAGGTCATTCCTTGGATGATGGTGTGAAACGGCCCTTGCCAGATGCATGCTGACCGCAGCAGTGCAGCTACCCTTGTAGCGCGGCAGCAAACGTGTTCCGTCTCCTTAAATCGTATCCTGACGCGTGTTTGTTGATGGCTGATGGTTCCTCCTCAAATGCGCTCACCAAGGATCACGCTCAACGTCATATGCTAAATTTATGCTCCCACCAGAACTTCTCCAGGACTGAAACGCTAGGAAAACAGATATCTCGATACCCTGGAGGCAAAGTGGTCTATTAATAACCTGGAAGGAGCCACCTCTCATCAAATTGTTGTTGGAAACATATGGACCTGCAATCCTTCCATGATCCCAGTCTCATTTTAATCGAGACTTGAAAGGAAACGGCTGGACCTTCATTCGCAGCCATTGTGAGATCCAGAGTAAGGTTTCTCCAAGGATTGCTTGTTTTGTTTGGGATCGAACAAGAAGGGGCGGCGCCGTGATCACACCGCGTTTCCTGCAATGCTTGCACGAATGTGATTGCACTTCCAGTCATTTTTGGTCAACGTTGGTGTCTGGCTAGCCCATGGTTGTTCTTCCTGGTTGTCCGGTCGCATATCCATGCCCTACAGAGCAAAGCCATCTGCCTTGGCTCGTATCTGATTCGCTCCACTGACCTGCAGGCTGGTTTCTGAGAAAGTTAATTCGGATCGATTCTGCCGAAGGGCACATGCGCCGAGCATGAAGATGATTTGAACTCCGATCACGACTCTCAAGTCCTGGCCGGAATACGGACTGAATGGAGTTCAAAGATCTTTTTGTCCCACATGCCAGGAACCCTCTGGCTTGGTCCTTCGTCCCTCCATCCCTGCTTCTCATGGCTCTTTGCCAAATGCGTGACGTATGGGCTGAGAAGCAACGTCGAAGCCCATTCATTAAAACTTGACCCATCAGTTTTATGATAGGTTGGAGAGCGGAGTCCAAAAGTAGTAATCCCAACAACCTTCCTGTTCCCCGGGCTGATGCTTTGCAGGGGAAGTGGTCGTGGGCCTGTTGATGCAGTTATCTGGGATACTCCAACCATGGTCGATATATGTAGATTGATTGGGAACAATCTTTAACGATCGTCAAAGATGAAAGTGGAATGCCTGGGAAGAACAAGCCGAGTACTATATATAGGTATTCAGACAGGTAAAATATACACCAACGGGTTTCACTTTCAAAAAGGGATCTATACAAAAAGCATCATTCATTGTCGTCCAATTTACTCTTAAGGCTGAGGTAAAAGCCCTGACACTTCAAGGTTGTTGAAACTACCTTGTGGAAATCGAAGAATTCTTCTTCAACCCTTGGTCTATTTGCTTCTCACTTCTCTCTTTACCTCGTTGTTTCCCGGGCTTAATCCGAACCAAGGTGAAGCGAACAAAAGATCATGGTTGACACAACTGCGTACACATCACTCCAGCTCCATCTTACAAACAACCATATGGAGTTTGTTCGCACATGACCTACATGTTTCCCATATGTCCAGCTCATCAATGACATGATGCTAGTGGGCGCAAAACAGCGCGCATATACGACGAAAACTCCCTCCAAGAAGGCTTGGATCTCAAGCCATTTTCGATCCACTTGAAGTTTTGCAAGAGAAAGAAAAGTATCACAGATCAATGGGGGAAGTTCTGAGCTGGCCGGTAAACCAGCTGATCGATTTCAAAGATTTCGGCAAGCAGCGGACAAATGTGAACGTATGGGATGAGGAGAATGTCTTTTGATCAATGTGGACGGTTGGGAGGATCGCTCGGCGGCATCGTTATCTTTACGTTTTGTTTATACGCAACGAGACTGATAATCTGATCAGCAGTGCCTACTAATCCTACCGGGATCATAGTAGACGAAATGCTTTCTCTGTAGTTGCTCTGGAGTAGTAAGGCCGCTAAATCCGGCGTTAAATAACGCCTGCCGACGACATATTCACCGGTTAGCCAGCTGACCCGGCGAGAAGAATTGGCGTCATCATTAAGTATTGGACGCAAGACCGCAATGAGCAAGGTGTTTGGCTCAACTTAGATATCAGCACATGTTCTCCCTGCGCTAACTCGCCGTCGGCAATATAGTAGCCAGGTCCGATGGTAACCGAAGGGGCAAGATGTAGCACAGCACGAACGCATCGTGAGAGTGTCAGATATGATTCGCTGGGGAAAGGTTCTTCAAACTGTAGTTGATCCTCTATCTGCGCCGGATAACTAGTTCTTGGGAGCTGTCCCGGCGCCGGCCAGCCGCAGAACGCTTATCTGGCGCGAGGCTAGAATCGGCTGTCAATCGGTTCGGCAAATAATTACGGCCTTTCGAAAGTCGGCGAGATAACGACAAGAAGGCGTCTTGATTAATTCCTTTTTGCGAAGGCAAATATGCCACACAAATGCATCAATCCCACCAGAAACTAACACTGATTCCAGCCTGCAGGCCGCGCACATAATGCCACCAGCCAACCGGTATGTAAAGACATTCTCCTTCCCTCAACACCGTCTCAACATAGTTTGCTTCCGCGAATCCGGGCCAGAGAGAATCCCAGGTCTCAGCCTCAGCGGGGGAGAGCTCAATGGCCGCGATATCTACCTTCGAAGTGTTGGACATGTCAATTGATTGCTCCCCGGAACACGAAACAGAATGACCACTCTTGGATTCTTTCTGCTGAGCCTGACTTTCTTCGTTTGAGTCCCACGATGACGAATTCACAACTTCCATACCGCGAGGATGTATAAGAGACGCAGGAGTGCAGGGGGAGTATAGCCGTATATATTTCGCGCCGACGACCTGCACCAGGATATTGTGATATGGGTCGTGGTGGAGCGGAGATATTGTCCACGCTGGCCCAACCCATATATTAGTTATCGGATCACATAGTCCACCATGTTCCTCCATATTGTGCTCTGGCTGAACGGCGGATTCATGATTGAGCCTGGTTGCTTTCTTATCAATGGACCCTTTCTTTCGCATTTTCTTCTCATATACGGGAGTACCCGGTTCGGGGCCTGGAGGTTCAGCAAAGCAATAGTCTGGGATGGAAATGTCGTTCCTCAACGCGGGTATTTGGGCCAGCAGATCATGCTGCGCGAGATACCCCGTCTGACGTTCCGCGGCTTCGTCTAATTGTTTCTCATTTCCCCGACAACTGACTTCATCGTTTTCACCTTCTCTCCAGATATAATTTTTTACAAACTCTCCAAAGGGAATGATGCGCTGTCCCCAACCCTCATCCGTGTATGAGCGACCAACCTCAACGGGGACTAGCCTCCGTCCCCCAAAAGTTCTCCGAGACCAGTAATCTCTCGACGACCAAGGCCTGCTTGATAATGCTGGCCAATGGCTCACTGCATCAGTAATGACAAGCGGTGTACGTTGATCCCACATGTGTTCTGTAAACTCCTCAAACGACAGAGCGGAAACACGTGGAACAGGGTAGCCCAAGCGCGGCGCGGGAACGACATCAGGTGGAAACATTGGCAACTGCGCCAACTTTCTGCGTTTTGATTGTGATGTTTCACGTACGCCAAAATTAGGCAACGGATAGGGCTCAAACGCCATTTTTTCAGGACCACTAGCATCTTGCAGCGCCGATATTAAAGACTCAATCAGCTGTCCACGTCGTGGAGCGCCAGTCATTATCACCGCTTTGTCAAGAATATGAATAACGGGACACAACCAAGGAGTGTTCAGGCTTGGCTTTTCACCAGCCTCCGTCTTTTGAGTCTCATTTTCAATATTTCTCTCATCGTTTTGTTTTTTTGGATCCGAATCAGCGTCATTGTTGCGCTGACTATATTGACCCCGTATCATAAGGCAAGCCTTTGCAAGACTCGCATCACAAAACAACCTTCTCCAGCAGTCCTTCACATCTTTGAAAGGGAAGACACGGAGATTTTTATCAGCAAATGAGAGAGCACCGTCCGGATCCTCCTTCAGACAGATGCCGAGTTTGTAGTTGTCATTGTAGCATTCTATGATAGGGTCGTCCTCGGGGTTAGATTGGATCGCGGAGAGGATCTCGTCAACAAGGCCCATCACTGCCTGCATTATTGAGAACTGGGATTGAGTGACTGTCACTTAAGACTTTGATACACTTATTCTGCACTAACTGCTGCAGAATCACAATTCATTGCTTTCCATATTGATCAGGCACAAGGAGCCTGAATATCGTTGAGCACCAGATCTTGACGTTGGGATGTTGCAGACTGCCAAGAAAAGACGACATCCCGTGACCGCCTCTTGGAACTCGCGCTAGGAAAATAATGCCCAATCAACTTGATCCCATGAGCAGTGACTAAGCCTCACTAGTTATTAGTGCACAAGTGACTCCGCTACGGAAGGAAATCAAATAATATTTATGAACCGCCTCGAAGAACGGCTCTACAGAGTTATAGACATTCGGTTCTTTGCTCCTAAAAGCACGAGAGCACGGTAAAAATTCTCATTCATGAACTACTAGTGAACCAGTGAATTACTTCCAAGCAATTTCCCAATGGCTACTCTACCCCTTCTATTGGGCACGTAGAAGACATCCTGAACCCAGGAGTCTGAGTTGCCCTGATCATCTCGACTTGATAGACCTAATACAACTAAATTTGTTGATGTTATTCAGCTAGTTAATGATGGCCAAAGGAGCCACTGCCAGAAAAGTAATAACGCAAATGCACGAGGCCACCCAACCTTTCCCCAAATCCCAACTTGACATAAAAGGAAAAATGAAAGGCCGACACCCAATGCATAGTTGAACCCGCAAAACCCACATAACAGCATATAGGAAAGCAAAGAGAAAGCCCTGTTGGTTGATTCGCACAGTCTATTCCGTTCTCCAACCTGATTTCGAGATTAGAAATGCTGTAGCAACTGAAGGAAAAAAAAGAAACAAAAGAAAAAGGGAAAGCTCTTGGGACAACATAAAGGGGTATCAAGGTAAGCAATGGACATGTGATGGTAAAGTTTTGGCCGGTGAGGTTATTACAAGCACGATATGAATGGTTCGTGAAGTGACGAAAGAGGAGGGCAGAATGTAAGTAGAAAGGTAAGCGGGAAGTGAAATTTGAAAGAATGAAAGGGATCACTCGGAGTCATTAAGGTCAAATTCGAGAATATCGTCCGTGTCGGCCTGTAAGATGGCTAAATCGTATTGCCCTCGAGGAGATGGCGCGAGAAAAAGCAGCTCTTCTACATGTGGGCCCGATAGCTCATGTGGCTCGACGGGGTTTATGATCTGTATCCCGGTCTCGCAATCGTCTATGGGTACTTTCTCTGATAATTCAGGCACGTCTTGCTCTCCGGCATCTTCGTCGATCCAGAAGCTCTCGATCGCACCAGCCAAACAGATAGCGCCACATACCCACCATGAGAGTATTGAATAACCAGATTCAAGCCCACGGGAATGCAAGAACCCAGTAAATGTTGGCCCGAGGGATCGACTTAAGCTTGCAACGGACGCTCCGACCCCATTGATTGAGCCTAGGACAGTTTTTGAGGGCGCGGCGTTTGCAAGAAGCATCGAACTTGACGGGAACGCGATGACGTGTAGAGTAATCTTCCCTATCAACGCCATGTAGGCAGCAGGAGTTTGCAGAGTCGGAGGCAAAAGTACCAAGTATGGTACAGCGAGGTAAAGCGGCGGCCATATGCACATGACAAGCCGATATGTCTTGAGGGTTCCGAATATTTCAACCACAAAGGGAAATAACCACAACTGAGCAATCATTGCATAAACTCCTTGGACAGCCATCATGAACCCAATCGCTTTGGTCGAGAGGCCCAATCCCCCTTGAAATTTGAAAGGAAGCTCAAACGTCGTATTCGAAGTTGGCGAACTGAGAAATATTGGCATCAGCTGGTCGAAGGAAACGCTATGGCTATCAACAAGTAAGTATCCCACAGTTTAAATAGCATCATAGTCGATACATACTAGGCAAGAATTCCATATCCCAAGATAATATAAATGATCCGTGGAGTAAATATTTTGAGAACCGATTTCTTTGGCTTTGGACAATAGTCCCTCAGTGACATCGCTGGAGTTTTAACGGAGCTGAGGCGAGGTGAATTCTCTGTACTTTCGTACCCTAGCGGCGGTTCTTCGAACAAAAACGGTGCGCGGTCATCGGACAGTTCGTCTTTGGCACTCCGCGCTCTGAGTTTCGTCATCAGCCAGTTCCCAACCTCACGACCCCTATCGCGTTTAAGTCTCTTTTCCGCGTGGGTTTCTTCCAGGAATAGAAGACCAATGGTGATGCCAACCGCCAATATCACCACGCATACCAAGTTCGGCAGCAGGAAAGGGTATTTAGCGAAGATTGAATCTTGTGAAAAGAGAGACGGATAGTTATCACATGGCTGTGCCAACGCTCCTCCCAACGCAGGTCCAATGATCGAGCCAAGGCACCATACAAACGGCATAATGGAGTAAGCTCGAGGCTGGTGCTCTTTCTCCTTCACTAATTCCGCCACAGTGGTCTGCAGGACGCCAATGTTGCCGTTCAAGAGCCCTCCCAGAGCTCGAGCAAGAAGAGCAATCGGCAGAGAGGGTGCAAGCCCGAATAAGAGCATGCTGACCGCAGTGCCAAAAAGGCCCATAAGCAATACTGGTTTCCTTCCAAACGCGTCACTCATGCGGCCCCAGAACACGCCGGCGCAGAATTCTGCAAACGTGAAGGCCGATGTTACTGCACCAGCGTATAGAGCAATCTTACGGTTGTCGTCGGTTACATGGAAGGAGGAAACCATGTGATAAACGTATGGGAAAATTGACATGAAAGCAATTGGCTCGCAAATGCGACATAGTCCTGCAATATGTCAGTCCGTCCCCCAGTTGAAAGGAGCCTACATTATTTCGGCCCGCAGTCATACCAGCTGCAGCAAATCAAGCTGTTCGGCCTGGGAGGGGTTGCCACTTACCCAAAATGAAGAGTTGCCAGGAAGGAAAAGGTGACTTCCCATAGTGTTTGCCATCCTGCCGCTGAAAAAGAGGTGGTCGACGAATGGTTTTTGGGAACATGTTTTCCGATGCCAGCTTCGGTGTAAGTTCGTAGACCAATGACTTTTGAGGCTGAAAACCTGTGATCACTGAATATTTATGGAGTAGTTGTCAAGAGGACCGTTCATGGGAAGCATCCAGTAGCGCTAGAATATATCCCAAGCTGACCACGAACACTAGTCTCTAACGCCGAGAGAAGAGAAAGGAGAATATGCGTGTTTCGGAAGCTTGCGAGAGAAGAGTAGGGCGAAT